AAATTTTTTAATCAAAATATGGTAAACTCAGGGAATTTCGTACTGCAATCCCCAAAAAAGCAATTTTCGCACTAACATTGGAAGCAATCACTTTCTTGCTGTCTTTGATTTTGATTGTATGTATTGATGTATCATGTGAGTGTAATTCGGACAGCTGGCATAGAGCCAATTTCTGCAATGCCAATCAGATTGTCTTTTAGACAGGCAAAACAAGTTTCCAGCATCTTTGGTTTCCAGTACTCTCGAGAATCCAGAGATGCACATTTCCAGTGCATGTTGAAAGAAAATAAATCCACCCCATTCTCATATGAAACAAAATCTTTTAAAACTTTTCTTCTTTTTTAAATGCCTTGTTTGTCATTTTACAGTAAAATAAAAGAATATAATAGTCACCTAGGCTAACCATTTAATATATCTATATTCACCAAAATACTGTCAATTTTTGTAATTCAGTTTTTAATCCTTAAGTAATTAATTTATTTTAATGTTAATCATATCATTTTTAGCGTATTTTTCCTTCTAAATTTATTTCTTATTAGTTAAATAATACTTTAAAATTTCAGGCAATTTTCTCTGGGATACTTGTGAAACTAATTCTAGCAATAATATGACATAACATCACAAAATGTAGTGCACATATTTTGGTACTATTCCGTTTTGAGGGCCGTAAAAAAATTGCAGTGAAAATGTAGGTGCAAAAGCGCCAACTCCAGCAAACCAGTCATGCCCATTTAACAGCACGCCAAATCTAGCGTACGTGCTGATTTCAGATTACGCATACGCGCTGATTCAGTATAGTTCTATAGAATTCTTAAGACGCCATTGAAATACTAATTTAATTTTTAAATACTTTTTTGATTTTAAATCCTTTTTTGATATCCTATGGATTTAACAGTTTGGGAATTGCCCATGATGAAAAGTCGGCAATAGAATTTTGGGTAAAGTGCAGAATCACCCACTGCTTGATGCGTTTTTAAGAATTGCACATACTCAGTATCCATATGAAGATCGACCTATTTTCACTTAAAAAAAATCTCAGAATTGCACAAAAATGGCACTGTGCACACCCTTGACTTTATCTACATACACATCAACCTATTTTCACTTAAAAAGTAAAAGAAAATTGACAAAAGTCCAATTGTTTTTACCCTTGTAAAATGGGGCAAACAAATAAGTGAGTGATTCTGCACTTTACCAAGAATATTTTCAAAGAAAAGGCATCATTCATTATAGAAAATGACGTTTGAACAACCAACGAGATGAAATTATGCTTAGCGATAAGTCGGTAGCGAAATAGCGATGCAGGCATCCATTCAGTTATGTTTAGCAATTTTTATATAAATTATAATAATGATCTGAAATAGTTATTTACTCTTATGCTTCAGTCATGTTTAACCTTTTTCATGTAATTATAATAATAAAAATGTATTATTTGAAATTAACCTTTCATCTAAATTAAAACATCAATCTTAGATAGTTATTTACTATTATACTTCCTTTCTTGCCGCAATTATTTTTGGTAGCTTTGGCATCAACAATAGTTTGGCGATTTTTTACGGCCCTCGAAACCGAATAGTACCCATATTTTTTACTTATGTATACTGCTAAATAAATATAAAATATTTCAATTTAATTTAAAATATCATTAAACAGATTTACTTCTGCAAAATGGTGACAGAAAAGACATTTTTAAATCGCGAATGGGCAGATTCTAATTTCAATCCTCAGTGGAGAAACAACTCCTATTATAATTATAAAAGTAATGCTTTGGGGATTATACACTGACTACCAACAAGTATTTGGACACCTGTGATAGAAAAGGAAAACTAACTTTATTCAAAATCAATAGTTGGTAGAGCCTCCACGAGAGATAATTACAGCGTGGACCCTCCGGGGCATACTTTCCACAAGTCTTTGTATGACAGCTAATGGTAATTTCTTCCACTCGGCTTGGAGAAGACATAGAAGTTCCTTCACCAATTTTGCACGGGTAGTGCACCCCTGAATTCGGCGATGCAACTCGTCCCAGAGGTTCTCGATAAGGTTCAGGTTTGGACTCTGGGCAGGCCAGTCCATTCGATAAACTCCATTGGCACCATACCAAGCCTTGGTTAATGTCGAAACATGACAATTGGCATTGTTGTCCTGAAAGTAACTGGGGTTCAACCCGTAAAATTGCCACAATGTAGGAAACACACTGTCATCCAAAATAGTGCAGTAGGCATCGGAGTTGAGCTTACCATGAATAGGGACCAAGGGTCCCAGCCCATACCAGGAGAAACACCCCCAGACCATAATTCCACCTCCTCAGAACTTGACTGTTGGCACAATGCATTCTGGCAGGAGACGTTCTCCAGGTAGACGCGAGACCCAGACCCTGCCATCCAAACGGTAAAGGGTGAACCTTGATTCGTCACTCCAAATAACACGTTTCCACTGATCTCTACGGTCCAATTTCGATGTGCTTTGCACCACATTAACCGAGCAGCGCGGTTGGACTTTGTGATCAAAGGCTTATGGGCAGCAGCACGACCATGAAAACCAAGCAGATGTGCTTCCTTACGGATGGTATTCATTGAAACAATACTCCCGGATGCCTGTTGAAACTCCTCGCGGATGAGGGCCATCGGTTGGTTGCTGTTCTTCCGAATTTCTCTGGACAGCACTCGTCGGTCTCTATCTCCCAGTTTCATTGGTCTGCCGACTTAGGGCACATTCCGACAATCACTGCTCACCTTCCACTTCTTAATCACGTAGGCCACTGTCGATTTTGGGTACTTCAGATCGCTAGATATATCCCTTAAGGATCGGCCACATTTGTGATACCCGATAATTATACCTTTCTCGAAATCAGAGAGCTCTGAACTGCGAGGCATCTTGCATGCGACTAAAGCCAATGTTGTTTCCTACACGATATATACCGGCGGAGTCCGTGGCGTACCTTAGGACCACAGATATCGTCATTTGCATAGGTGTCCAAATACTTATTGGTAGTCAGTGTATATGTAAGATAAAAAATATGGAAGCAAACTTCTAAATTTAATTCATTATAACCTTTTGTTTCATTTGGGAACTTCATCTATCAGTCCTAAAAATCAAGTCTTAAGTCTAATCTTAGTCTAATCAAGTCTTAGTCAATCTTAAGTCTAAACTGCGTCATTCAAATTAATCATGCGATCATACGTAACCGTTAATGCAGATGCCTCTTGACCAGTCACCAAATTGCAAACTAAAACTTTTTTCTTTGTGTGCTTCCATCTTTCATAACTACGAACTTCAGCTTTTGTTGTCTACTGTACTAAGTTGTAATTTCCTGTCTTGCTTTCTATCTAAACAATATCAAAAATGTAAATCTTCTGTGGAAAGGCATTGCCAAGTGATTGTGGCCACAAATATCAATTGCAAATAAAAATGGAATTAAAACCGCTCCGACTGCCAAGTTCTTTAGATACAGTCAAAAGTTGTTAATTCGGACACCCATAATCCGGACCTCAAAGCTAAAAACTTTCTGCGCATGCGCCGCGTTGTCACATGCGCACAGGCGTTTTACGCGTGCGCGTAAGACCTTGACTACTGCGCATATGCGTGTGTGCAAGTGCAGAATACGTTTCCGCCTGCGCGTTTAATGTATAACGGACGGTGTAAGCTAAAATTATCTAATTATCTATTTCAGTTAATGTTAATGATTGCGTTGTTCCTTAATCTTCGAATTGGATCCCACTTATTATTTTTTGCAGACTGTAAGAGCAATTTTTATAAAAGTAAACTCTTGAACTTTCGATTATGTCAAATAGAATTTCTGCTGTGATTATCCAAAGGATCTACTAAAAAACGAAAGTATGTTTCGATGCGTCCAACAAACAAAAAGTGGAATTGCTGCAAAAAATGGATAAAGACATGAAGAATGTGACAGAGAGGTTAGTGAAACGAAAAAAATTTCGATTGACAAGTTAGTCGGTATTCTCGCCCCAGCAATTAACGGGACTTGAACAGCGGAACTTTGTAACTGAACAAAAAATTATGTCTGTTTATAGAATTAAAGAGAAAGTCTTATCACACATAAACGAAGCAAACTTAAACAACTTACATTGAAAGAAATGTTTAATAAAGTAAACAAATAATATTAAGCTTCTTTTTATAAATTTTGATACCCTTTAGATCATAATTGTTTTTATTTCATAAAATTATGGTTTCATATTTTTAGTTTTAGAATTTCTGCTGTTCATCTCGACGAGATTTAAACTGATGATCTATAATCCGGAAAAATCGATAATCCGGAATCGCCGAAGTCCCGACGAGTCCGGATGAACGACTTTTGACTGTATTACTAAGTTAACATTACTAGCATACTACATAATCAAAATTCTTTTTCAGTGTGGATCTAAGCACGCATCGACACTGCTCTGGCTTTTCCTTGTGCTTTTATTATTACATATGTATATAAATAAAGTCATGTAATTAGCAAATTTTTGTGCTTTCAAGTGGTACCGTAATTAATTTGCCCTCAGCATAGCCAAAACGCAGTATGCAGATAACATGGAATTTTCTTGAAACACACCTAGAAAAGTCAGGGAATTTCATTCTCCTGTTTGAGTGGCAACTCTGTTACGTTAGAAATATTCTAAACAAAGTATAACTTATCATGTTATGCTCATCTGTTTAAAACTATTATGGCATTTGTGCTACCTCTTACACTTGAATATGTATTTCATGTGTATTGTAGAAATAATGAAATTTGCATCCATAAGGAAACAAAACATACTGTCTTAAACTTGAAGGATTGAAATTTAATCAAAATAATTTGAACACGTAGAAAGGTATATTATCCACTGCATATCTTTTAAAATCAGATTTGCTTTCTCTCCTTTTTTTTTTTTTCTAATAAAATTTCTACCAGGTACTATGTGTTGAAAATAAGTATTAATAACCTTGTTTCCATGACTGAAACTTTTGTCTGTTTGCACAGAATCTAATGAAAGGTGTTTTTTTATTTTTGGTAGGGTACAAGCCGTAAGAATCAGAAATGTGCTACTTGTGGTTAACAAGTAAGTGACTGCATAGGCCATTTTGGATACATTGATTTAAAATTACCCGTCTTCCATGTTGGCTTTTTTAGGTCTACTATCACAATTCTGCAAACAATATGTAAGGTAAGTAAAAATTAATTTTAATTGAATCTTTTTTTTTTTTTTTTTTTCGAAAAGTGAAGTAGGAATGGAAAGGAATTTATGTTGTAGCATGAGATTGACTTACTGTGGCAAAATAATTTTAATAAAAATTCTATTTTTGTAGCATAGCAAGGAAAACAGTATGAATTTGAGTTCATCTAACAACATTTTGCTAACAGTCTTTGAATAGTTGTCAATGGAAAATAGAATTAGTTCATGATTAACAGCTGTTAGCATTGAAATTTTATGTCTGTTAGATGGAAATCACTACACAAGATATGATATTTTGAAGCAGCAGTAATGTAATGCATAGCATGCGCTGCTGTAGAGTAAAAAATTATTAGGGGCTTGCATTTTATTTTCAGACTAGACTTTTGGAGGTTTTCCAACACTGAAATTAAAAGATAACAATAAACAGTTACTGCTGTCTCGAATATTTTCCGTAAATCACACTGTGACAGATATATTACACATATTTCATGCTAATTTATTCACTACTTTCTTTGCCTTTTCCACATTAGATACATTATTACAAGATGGGTACAGAAATTACTGGTGCTGAAACAGAATTGATAAGGGAATATCACATATACAAACAATATTGAGGTAAAGTCAAAATATGGGTATGAAATTTTCCATTTAGTCAAAAAATAACATGCCCTTCTTTGCTATACTTTTATTAAAAAAATTGGTAGGGTTTTATAATAGGGTATATTTTGATAAATGGAATTACAGAATACATGAAAAGAGTTTAATTATCATCTTATACAGAATAATTAGACCATTGAAACATTAAGTAAGCATATAGGTAATTGCCCCTATTAAACATATAATGCAAAGAATTGGCCATATCTTCTGATCCAAGGTTGGGCAGATAATTGAACTTTGCGGATGTCATTTTTTAGCCCAAAGGGGTGTGAACACAGAAGGGCTATTAGTCTTGATTTGGCATTTTGCGCCAAATCACTTAAAGCGCTGAATTACTTTTCAAATTTCTGCTTCCAACTATTATTGCCTTATATTATATTTAAAGATATTAAATAATAAAGAATCTGCATGAATGTATGTATGCTTCTTGCACTGTGAAAAACAACGATATCTAGAGCCATTAAATTTTGATTAAATACTAATAGTCCCTTGGGCTAAAAAAGTTAAAAAATAATAGATAATGAAAATAAAAAATAAAAAAAAGGGTTCCCTGACTTTAATTAGAATGGAGAATATAGTAACAAAGGAACAGTTATGCCATAAACACCTTTTTCTGGGGAATAATGAGATTTTTGCCTGTCACTTCAAAAACCTGCTAGCTAGAAGTCCCAACCATGTGGCCATAACTATACAGGATTGAAGTTTTATTGATGTGGCCAGGATCCACTTTTATCCCGAGTTTGTGGGGAGAGGCAGCTCCCTATACTATCTAAATTCTGCAGTCCTGTTAACTCCGGTTTGCCCTTTAATTCTACGTTGCCCACCGCCCCCTTCTGCTCCCCAACATAATTTTTGCTCTTCTAATTTCTAAAATTTTTGGCACTACTAAATTCTGACACCCAGTGAAGCTGTTCTGGTTTCACCTGTTCTGGCACTGACCCTGTTAAGGTTTAGAATATTTCTATGTGACGTATACAGTAAGTACAGCCCAAATATCGCCAGGTGCTTTGTCACTCTTCAAAACTGTTAAACGAATCAAAATCCAAATCCCTGACAGTCGTGACTTATTCTGCCGCTTGGATATAGTGTTTATATATCGTTCTGCATACTGAATGATCCAAAAGTAACAATACAAAAATAAATAAATAAATAAGAATTTAGTTATTTTAAAAGGTAAATATCTGAAAGTTTTTTGAAAATTTGTTTGGCGTATAATTGTTTGTGCAGAAAACTTAATGTTTAGCCAAAAATGTTCCCAACTCGCTCTCGCGAACCTCTCAAACTAACTTCCATCTTTTGCTGCCTTTCGCAGGATCACTTCAAGTGTATCCTTACAAAATCCAAGATGTACAAAAGCTGAAAACAAGCAGTTTCAAGAAACAATATGAATTTACTCTTGTTTTTCCATCTGTTGGGTTTTCAAACAAAGAAAGAACCAGTGCTGTCTGACTGGCTGTCAAATGGCCTGTGGATTGATAAGGTGCACTTTTCATTTAGTTTGCTAATTAGAAGTTTAAATGTATATAACTGCCACATCTTAGCGAGATACAGTCAAAGTCGTTATCGGACTCGTCGGCCTTTCGCCGATTCCGGATTTATCGATTTTCCCTCCTTATAGATCTCAGTTAATTCGTAAGATGGCATGCAGAAATTCCCCCAATTAAAAATTGAACCATAATTTATGAAATAACAATTATGATCTAAAGGTATCAAATTGCCAAAAAAGAAAAAGCTTAATATTTATTGTTACTTTATTAAACATTCTTTCAATGTAAGTGTTTAAGTTTTGCTTGTTTCATGATAATACTTTCTCTTAAACACGACATAGCTTCTTGTTCATACAAGTTACAAAGTCAAGTGCTGGAGAATACCGACTTAATTTGTCTAATTTGAAATTGTTCGTTTTCAATACCTGTTACTTTTTCCTTTTCGGAAGGGAAATTATCTGCACTTCCATTAACTTGGCACAAACCAGATCAAATGACGGAAGGATTAATAAGCCAAAAAAATAAAAACATCTGCTCTGAAATAAGGATAGTGCTGAGATCAACTTCAAATTCATTACGCGCCCGCCCGGCGTTGATAACAATGTGAAATTTCAAAACAGACTTCGGATTTCAAAACAGCTTTAGATCCTTTACATATTAACAATATATAGTCGGATTCTTTGATATAATCGAGTTTAAGATTACTTTTTCAATTGCTCTTACAGTCTGCAAAAAATAATAAGCCGGATCAATTAAAAAATTAAAGACACGCAATCAAACATTAACTGAAAAGATAATTAGATAGTTTTAGTCTTATCCATTATACATAAACGCGCACGCGAAAACGTATTCTGCACTTGCGACACTCAATGCGCAGTCGTAAAAGTCTTACGAGCACGCTTAAACGCCTATGCATGTGTCAACGCGGCGCTATGCGAGAAGTTTTAGTTTTGAGGTCCGGATTATAGAATTCCAAATATGGGTTTGACTTTTGACTAATACTTACAGTTATTGGGAAATCATCTGTGACCATCAACGGAATTTTGCTTTGTCATTCGTCATAGACCTCTTTTTACTTTTATGAAGTCCACAGCAGTACATTTTAAACTTTTCACAAGTTATATTATTTAGTGCTTTTAATATTCTCGCATCTCTTCTTGCAACAGAGTCAAATACTCCATAGTGTCACATTATAATATCTCTGCCAATTTTCTTAAGTTTGTCGTAATTTTAGGGGAAAACATACTATGTTTTTAAGATTTTATGCATATAACTCATTTTTTTTTTTAAATTTCACATTTTTACTAATTCAGAAGACAAACAACAAAAATCAGCGTTATAATTTACAAAATTTCCACAGGATAGTTTCGATGGTTTACGACCACCATCTCCCTCCGCAAAACCGCAAATGAACAAAAGGAAAAAATGATTAGATAAGAAAGAAAGCTGGACAAGAAATAAGCAAGTGGCTCCATCTTGGTAAACCAGACTAAAACAATTCTCTAAAGGCCGAAGGCAAAAATTGGATTGAATTAGGCTCATAATAGAACAGAAGATTTTTATGAATGTGAAATGCTCTAGAAAATCCAGTGCTCCAATGGAAGATGCTTTTTGAAATTTTGGTAGCAGAAAATGAAATTGTGATTTTCGGACCAACAATGTTTTGCCAACAGAAGACTTCTGTGTTTCCTTTCTAACATATGCCTCATGTTCCTTGAAGTGAAATTTAGGCTCTCCTCTGGGCCAATTAATTAAACACACTGGCAAAGAATCCATAAATACCCCCAGGAATTCACATATCTGAAGGGGTCCTTAGGATCTCGGAATTTTATTGATGAGAGAATAAACAACCCGAAAGTCACATTTTTATTTATTTATTGTAAAGGTACTAAAAATTTTGCCATTGTGTTGATTTGTCGTTAGATTTCTATTTCAAGCATGTACTCTTGCCTGAAATTCAGGTTACCATTTAATTTCACTCTCTTTATTGTACAAAAACAATATTTTTCCTCTTCTGCTATAGCATGAGTGCTTTTGTTGTACATTGCCAAGTTTGATGATTAATCATGGGATTTCAAGATCTGCTAAAGCTGTCTAAAGCTTTGATTTAGTGATATGGTAATTTCATAATGATTATTTAAAAAAATAAGAATGTTGTTATGGTGTCAGAAAAGTAATAACAGTTTAATAAAATTTTGTTTTAAAATTATTTCCATTTCTTATTTTTTAAAATGTCTATGCCTTTCATTTTTGTAATTTTTCATACATATTTTGATTCTGAATTTTTAAACAAAATAATGTCATAAAGCAGAAATTGATTGCTTTAACAAAAACAGATAGGTAGTTATGTTCCATTTAATAATATGTTCTAATCTATCATAATTCTTTAAAATAAGTGTTAACTTTCTCTTCAATTATGCTTTGCTTTTTTCCAAATTCTTTTGAAAATTTACTAATTTTTTTCAAAGTTGGCAGTAATTTTATTGGCTAAAAGTGTAAAAAAAGCCTATCACAAAGTGAAACATGTGATAATGCTATTAAGACAGAATAGACATGCTCTGTAGGAAACTTTTAAGGAGTTTTCCATGTTTGAAAAATTCTCAGAAGAAAGCAGTGAAAGCAAGAATTATCTACAGCACTTCCTTATTATCAAGATCCCCATTATTTAAACACTGCCAGTAACCATCTCGTTAATGGTCTGTACCAAAGCAGGAAAACCACTCACAACTTTTCTCGTGACAGACAGACTTGTGATTGTGCTTAGTAATGCCAGTTGTTTGGCAAAAGTTTCTGAAGACCTGTAAGTAGGATTGTTGCTTTCACACAGTTCCACAACAAGAAAGCTCTTGATGCCATTTCAATAATAGGGCTAGGATGATAATGAAGTACCTTTCCTGCTTTTGATCCTAAATATCTGTCTCTTGGCACATATCTCCTGCCTTTATTTTCTCATTTATTTTTTGAGTTTCATTAGTTGAAAGTATGGAAAATTGCAAAAATAATTCTAATCTTGTCATGTGGGCAGGCATTTGTAGAGAGGAATTTCTGATTTGAATTAATAGACTATCATCCCCCTTCCTTTCTAAAATTTAAAAAAAATGCATATAGATTTATTTAAATTTATATTATTTGTTAATATGTTTTATAAATTAAACAAGAAGTATAGAAAATGTTAATAAATACCAAAACTTGAATAAAAAGTAGTATTTTATATTCAGAAATTAAAATTAAATACTTTACAGATAAATAATAAGTTGACCACATTCTCCCTCCTGAAACTATGAAATTCTCCCCTAGTCCACTGTCTTAGATTATGGCATTCAGTTTGCCTAATACCAAGCCATCATAGAGGCTTTTCAAGCTTGTTTTTAGAAGGATTGTTACGAAATGTCAAGGCGGGGTGAGATGGCTTCCCTGCAAAGTAGTTTTATGGTTGCCATAAAATGGCAAGGGAAGGCAGGGTTGCCACATTTGGCGAGATTTGGAGTCCATTTGGCGACAAAATTGGCAATATGCCATGGACTGATGGAGAACCTTCTGGAACAAATTCTTACCGGTTTAGTCCAGAATGTTCTCGAACACAAGCTGAAAGCTATATAAACCCTGCTGGTCCCCAGTCAGTCAGTTAGTACCGAGAGTGTGCTAGGGCGAGTCAGAGTGTCTCGTCTGGACTGCGAGTTAGTTAGTATCGAGTTGGCGTCTCGTCTAGCTAGTCAATCGCGTTGACAGTGGGCCAACAAGTGCCGAGTGGGTCGTGGAGTGCACCAAAAGAGTCTCGTAGAGTATCACAGTTAGTGCACCGTCAAGAGAGCGTGTCAAGCTACGGAAACGACTGAACCGAGAGTCATTAGCTGTGCTCTGTGTGTCGTCGAGTGCATCGCAAGTTGTAGCGTGGAGAGTCTCGAGAGTACGTGGAGTTCCGAGAACAACCAAGAAGAGTCTGGAGCTGTACTCCGGAAAGCAGAGTTGGGTGCTTTCAAGAAGCTGTCTCCACCGTGATAGTCTGATAACCTGAAGGCTGTGTTGCTGATCATGTCAGCGTGTTTATAGTAGTTCATCGATGACTGTAAAACGGGTTTTGGAGCTGTCCTGACAATATTGTCTAAATAAAGCGTGTTTCGATACTTCATCAAGTGTTGTCGTTATTCATGCCAAATCTACCAACCCTGTACGAACGTGAAGGAAGGAAATAACGTAACAACTGGTGTCAGAAGAACAGAAAAACGCAACAGTATTTGGAATATTACATTGTGTTTAATAATAGTGCATTCTACATGCTTTTTTTTTTTTTTTTTTTTTTTTTTTTTTTTTTTTTTTTAAGTAGAAGATGTTGCAAGAGTGAAAGCAATAGCAATTTTTCATTTTAGTTTTGTTGAGAGGTCCTTAATTTTTTCATTGGTAATCATTAAAAATCCATCAGAAGCTAAATGCATTATTTAACTGATTAATTTGGTTTGTAACTAAGTCAGATTTATTAGTTTAATATTTATGAAGTTCGATTGTCACATCATAGAAATCTGTTTTTTCAAATTTCAAGGTTGGCAGCTATGGTTTTATTTTCATTTTAACAAAGAACTAACAGCAGGTTAAATCTGGCAAGTAAAAATGGTGAAAAATGACTGTCATATTAACAGATGTGAAAAATAGTTGCACAGTTTCTCAAAACACAAATTTGATCACAAGCTTTTTTATGTTCAGTTCGTCTGAAAAATATTCACTGATAAAGAAATAAAGTGATCTAGCAAATTTGAGGATATATGAATAGCAGGCCAATGATGTTTTATGATGATTTCATGCCAGTTTTATAATATTCTTTAGTATTGTGCTAGTTGGAAACCATCCTGAACCATTGTCTTTAATTGATATTTAGACTTTAATTGATATTTAAGTGGTCAAGCCTCTTATAAACTTTCATCTTCTGTCTTTTGTTAATGAAACATTTTAAGACTTTCTGCTGGTGTTAATAATAAAATGTAATGCATAATGTTGTTAATTTATTTAATTTAGATATTTATGTGAAATAAAACTGCAAACACAGTTAACATTATGTTAAAACTATATTTCATGGATATGGTATAAGTTCGGTACAATTGTCTAATTTAAAAAAGGTATATGCAGCATCATTTGGCTGAATAAATGTAAAATAAGTGCTGGAGTTTTTTTCACTTTATTCTTAAATTTTTTGGATGACATCTTCTTTATTCATGCTGCTTTTCTAAAATCACCGTTTTATTTTGTATTCGATCAGGCTACATTATTTTCAGATAATCACTAAAAAATTAAGAACCATTTTCACTGGGTTCATATCATGATGTAGTTCAAAACTTGTATTGATTCTTATATCTATTATAATTTATTAGGAATGTTATATCTACTATCATTTACATGTCTTTTTGTATTTCTTATTTAGACTTGCAGTAGAGTTTTGTTGAATTCAAATGAAAGGAAAAAGTTCAGTGAAATTTTGAAACGCCCCAATATTAGTTACCTTCAGAAGAAGACTTTAAGGAAACAAATTGTTGATCTTTGTATGAAGAAAAGTGTATGTCCTTATTGCCAGGCAGTGAATGGTATGGCAAATTTTTATCGCTTATTGTTAATAAATTCAGACACTTTGAGATTAGTTGTATAACTATAATGCAGTTGAATCTGCATTAGCCTTTACAGATAAATAAAACTGTTTATTTTTAGTGGTTACACATCATGCAGTTGGCATTAGTTGAATCTGCATCTGAACTTCTTAGTTTTGTTGCAAAATTTAAAAAAAGGGGGGAGGAGAAAGAATCCTTCATGGGATGTAATATAATTTTTAATGACATACATGAGTGGGTGCCCAAAAGTAAACAGTTTTATTTTTCAGCAGTTACGTTATATTTTTAATATTTAGTCCATTTCAAAATATTCTCCTTTAGCATTAATATATACTTTTCCTATTGTTTTGCCCTCTGCTGGAACTCTTGGCATGGAATATTATTTGAAGGCAAAGATTTTATTTTCTTACGTCTCATCTACATCCATTGTTATTTACTGAAGTTTTTTTGTGTGGTGGTGTAGCAGAGCTTTTTTTTTTTTTTTATCAGTTTTTTTTATAAGAAAAAAATCTCCATGCAAGAAAAAGTTTTGATGAATAGCAGAGAGAGAGACACAAGCACTGTGTTTTCCTGTCATACAATTGTCAGATGGAGAAAATGTCTTCAGAGATTGTATTAGTGGTTTTTCAACGCTCTTTATTAGTAGCCTGTCACACTTTCTTAATGTTTTCCTTATTTCTTTTCATCAATGAATGTTTGAGTTATAGCAGTCTTCACCTGACATGTTCAATTTTTGAATCTGGAAAACCACTGGTACACTTGTTGTTTACTCAGAGCACTATCTTTAAAGATTTTCCAAAGTATAGCAGTGGTTTAAACCAGTGGTGGATAGGACTGGAGCGATTTCGGGCTGATCAAGAAAACTGAAACGATCGAATTGACAGAAAGGATTTGTCGAGACGGCCCTGCACGTGAGAAAAAGTGCGTACAATTAATAGGTTCACTGAAAAGTATATCTTCCAATGATATACAAAATGCACAGATACGACAAATGGCAAAATCTATTCTGGATAAAATATCAGCTTTGAGAAAAAATTCGTCTGGTCATGTATATTTAAAATATTTCAATATACTAAGCCAGTGACAAAACATTTGCAGACTAAAGGTTTAGATTACATTCTAGCATATAATATTGTTAGGGAGGCTAGAAGCTCTTTAAAAGCCATATCTAGAAACTTTGATGTAATATTTAACGCATCAAAATTGTTTGCAATTGATTGCAATTATAAACTAGAAAGGCTGGGTTGTGCTATAATTATAGAAGAACTACCTGCTAGAAGAGGCCGAAAAGTGAAGCAAATGGATGACAAAGAATAGTCTGATTATAATTTCAACTGCCCTATTAAATAATTTAAAGTTACTGTCTCTAATTTTATAATGGATAACACCATTTCATCGATGTAAAGCAGGTTTAAAGAGCATAGGAAGTTGTATAAAGACATATCACTTCTCGATCCCAAAAACGTTTCGAATATATACGAACGAAATATAATTTATATAGTAGTGCTTACGCCAGTGTCTTTTTTAGTTTATAAGTTTGTACTCACCCTATCTATAATGCAAGATGAATGCAAAAGAGCTTTTTCAAAAATAAAAATAGTAAAAAGTACACTGGTTATCATAAATTAAGGAAAAATCATGATTACTGAAAAAGTTACATGTAGAATTTAATGAAACATACCCACAATGTACAACACATAGTAAGGTATCAAATAACATAAAAAGAAATTACCAGACAAATATGGTAGTATAGAAATTAGCACATGTATAAAATGAACAAATCGAAGGTGTCAGTTTGCTATAGGAAAAGTACCTTCAATATGGAATATGATCTAGAGCAATACAATATATTTCTAGAAGCAATACAGCACATACAGCGATGTGTGATGCTTTCAATTATGCGGTCTATCAGTTCCATAGGAAGCGGGAGCCATTGCTCTTGCAAAGCAGTTGACAGTGTGACAAGGGTCTGAAAAGCAGATTGAGAGCAGCTAGACGTCTCCCTAGAGCATCCCAAACGTGCTCAATAGGATTCAAGTCCAGGGATCAAGCTGGCCACTCCATGCACATAATTGTTGCCTGTTGAAGATAATCATACAATGCGAGCCCCGTGTGGCCTTATGTTGTCGTCCTGTAACAGGAAAGCATCACCTATTTCCCTGGCATATGGGCGCACATAAACATCAAGGATGTCATCTCTATCTGAGCATTAATGATTCCCATTGGAAAGACAAGGAGGTCTGTGCGTCCACCCAAAGAGATGCCACCCCAAACACAGACACTGCCCCTTCCGTATGCATCTCTTTCACGGATATTTGACGAATGATAACGGGTTCTAGGTTCTCTCCATATCAAATAATGCCTACTATTGCTTTCTAGACTAAACCTGGACTCATCTGTAAAGAGAACCGCCCTCCATTGATCAGGCGTCCAGTGGACATGTTGTTGTTCTCAGTGAAAACAGTCCCTTCTATGGCGTGACGTGAGTGGCACACAAATGGCTGGTCACCTCGCATACAGACCACCTTCGTGAAGCCTTCTTCTACGCACAGTTGACGTTGATACGAACCTTCCGGTGGCTGCAGCAAGGGAGGATCTAAGAAGAGTTGGAGTAGCGGTTCTATTCCTGCGTGCACATAATGCCAAATCTGTGGTTTGAAATCGCCTCCAAAGTCTATGAACCACAGAAGGACTCACATTTAGCCATCTGGCCACTTCTGTTTGACTTTGTCCTGCCTGTAGTCTCCCAATGGCTTTCTGTCGTAGTTCTGCAGGCAAAGGATGCCTAGAGATCATTGTTACGAATTGGCTATCTTAGATTTCTGATGTCACTATCACAGTGAAATATGTGGGCTTGCTCTCAAACATGGACTTTTATGCTCTTTGCAGATGACGTATTCCGAGTGCAGTGCCACTAATTTGCATATTGGAGTTTTACTCAGCTATTCTTATCTGGCAACATATTCAAATTTTACACAGTTTGGCTTATGTTTTAGGGAGTTATCGCTATTTTTGTGGTTTTTCCTTAATTTATGATAACCAGTGATTAGGAAGTACTATGAAGCAAGCTAATTTGAAGTCACTGTTACTGATGAACATCGAGAAGGATATTTTGGCTAAAGCAAAAATTTAAGATATAATGGAGGAAATATTTGCCCAGGCAACCTGGAATTAAAAAATGTTTAAATGGCTAATTATGAATTAACCGTTGTTTTGTGTGTATAATTATTTAGTTGCTGTTATTTATTATATATATGAAATAAAGTGTTACTTTCTGCAAAGGTGTAGTTTTTATGATGATGATGACGATGATAACTTGTATGTGTAATGACATTCCATATGGGGGGCGGCCTTAGGGCTGACTTTTTTTCCTGCCGAGACTGATTTTTTTGGCTAAATCCGCCACTGGTCTCAATTGCAGTTTTCTTCACACCCACACAGGAAAAAAAAAAACATTCATACACACTGTTTATTTTTAGTGGTTACACATCATACAGTTGGCGGGACACTGAAAATACAAATGCTCATAAATTAAAATCAAGGTTGAATATGCTAATAAAATCTAACAGCATGATCCATGCTTACAAAATGATCACTTGTAGAGTTCTCATTCTGGTTATTTTTTTAGTTGCTTACATGTATAAATCTACTAAAGATAAGTAATTTTTTTTTTTTTTTTACTCCTTTTGGGTAGGTCAAGTCAAGAAAGCTGGGTGTTTAAAAATTGTTCATGACAAATACAAGAAAGAGAAGCGAAGTGATCCTGTATTGTTGGAATATTTGGAGGAATTTGATGAAGCTATGAAAAATAATAAGGAGTTAGAACATTGTAAAAATAAACTGACTCAAGTAATTATGTGTTTATAAATAAATTTATTTGCATTTCTAAAAGGCTATGAATTTTTATAAAATTAATAATTTTTTTTAATTATTAAATGAATTTAACATTTTAATGTTTATATTATTGACATCTTATCTACACCAAACTTTCAAAAATTGCTCATTTTTAATATATTTCGTTTCTTTTCTTTTTTTAGATAAATTTGGATCCTTTAAAGGTTTTGGATCTTTTCAGAAGAATTGTTGATGAGGTAAGCATTTTATTTTTCTTGATTTTCTTTTTGAGCAAACAATCCCATTCAAAGCATATGGAAATGTGAAACCTGTTACATGTACCTCTGTAAAGATTATTTTGATTAATAAGCATCTGAAGCAGTCCTACTGTATGAAAAAGCCTTTTTTTAGAGTCAGCATATAATGCAAAGTGGCTCACATTTATTTTCAGATACTTATGCGTTTAAACTTTATTTGCAAATCTCAATTATTAAATTAACCAAATGACTTTATTTTTCTTTCACATGTACCACTGATCATCTTTCTTAAAACCTGCTTGTTTTGAAAAAGTTATTCAGAACCTTTCTGATATAAATAATTAAAAAAAGAATAAAAATAAAAAAAAATAAAAAAGTTCAGAAATGAACTCACATAGATATTCGGACACTTTGAACATAGTTTATATTGATGGAAAACATCAAAATAATGGAGCTTTAATATTTTGTTTCATATCTTTTAGATAAAATTATACTTTTCATGAGCCTTTGGCATGTATTAGACCAACTTTTCATGTACAAATATTTCATTTTATTCCATTTCTTTGTAAGAATTGCTTTTAGTAGATTGTTTAAAGAAATATCATGCTTCATGATTCCTTTGTCCATCTTTCTCCATACGTGTTCGATAGGATTTAAATTCGGAGAATGCATAGGAGCTTTGATAACTTCAGCACAACTGTATAATAATCACAAGCAAATATTTAAGACTATATTTAGGATTGCTATCCTGATAGAACTTGAATGTATTTGCATTCCAGTTCTGTAGCAGATGCTTTTAGCTTTTCATTAAAAATATTTATAGATTTATACTGAATTGTAATATTTTCTATAAAAATAAAATTTCTTATCCCACAAGGAGTAAAACATTACCAAACCATTATGCTCCCCCTTTGCGCTTAACAGTAGACAATAGGATTTTTATGTTTAATTTTTCATTCACTTTTTATCACAAAGTAATTTGTTCATCGAACCCAAATATTTTAAGTTTTGACTTACAATATTTGGGTTTTACACAGTAGCACATTAGCAGAATTTATAACAAATATTTTAAGTTACAAATTCTGTTACTGTGTTACTTCAAAAGCGAAGCTTCCAGCTACCCCGTCCAATGACTCAGTAGCAAAGCTTTTAGAGGCCAGCCTGACAAAACAAAAACGAACTGGGAAAAAAAAAAGAATAAGTAGTTGAACATGTAATAAAACGACACATAAAGAAAACAGATATGTGTCTACTCTTGCCAAGTACCTCTGTGCATTGATAATATTCATTATTTCCCTGGAATAAAGCAGCATAAGAAATCTTGGCAATTCCATTTTCATTTTATCTCCAATACTAGCAGTTAGGCCACAGGTTTCAACGACGTGAACATTATCACCTCTACGTAGCTGACAATGATTGTTTCTCTGCAAGATGAATTTTTATGGACTGATTACAATAGTTCTTTTTACATATATGCGTGCTTAATATTAAAGAAGTATGAGTTTCTAATAAATAGATGAACAAGATTGAATGCAATTATATGGAATAATGCTTGGTATCATAAAACAAATTTATAAATTCAGATTAAAAATTCAAACATAAATGTGTAACAAACAAAACTATCTTGTAAAGCAAATAAAATTCAAATAATGTGTGACAAAGGGAAAAACAGAGCTCAAAGGAAAAGAATGCCGTGCACATAAAAGCAGATATTTATCAATGTTTTGGAAGCTTTTGAAAAAAAAGTTTCTGCCATTTTTATTCAGAGTATTACAGTACAGTATCCTTCTGAAATCTTTATTAAAGTACATGGGAAAACATCCATATCCTGTCAAAACCTGATTCAGATATATATCAGTGTAGCACTTTCTTCCTTTAGAAATCTATTGTACACATATAGTTTTCTTTTTTGTCAAGGAATCCCAATTGTTTTTCCATTTTCCTTTTATACTATTGTATGAAATTCCAACAGTATTTGTTCTAGAGTCCTGCAGTTTAATTTCTTTACAGTTGCCAAGTGTGGCTTCTTTTGCCAGAACGTTACAAATTCTGTATTGTCCCACTAAGATAAAGCTTTGAATACAGTAGATTTTCTGAATGCCAGGCTTAGTTTCTTGTTGATGAAGAATTTCTTTCTTGCTGATCGCCTGTTTTGTCGATATGCTGTAAAAGGTTCTTCTGATAGTTAGGGATTAATTATTGCAAATTGTTTCTCTAAATGTGCCAAATGTTTTACAGCCCTAATTTTTGGGACTTCTTTTCATAGCTTAGATTTCTGATTACTTGGAATGTGGTCTAGACTTCAGTGCATTTCAACAGTTTCTCATAGTTTCCATAATTTTATAATGTTCAAAGATAGTTGAACATTTTTTTACTATTAGTATTTTTTGGTAAACAAGTAATCATTTCCAAATGACAAGAAACATGGTGTTCTAAAACATCTCAATAAAACTCTCAAGTGTTCGATTTATTGTTTGAGTTACTGATTAATACATTTTTAATAAATTACTTTATTGCACAGAAGATTTTGACGATATTTGTTTTTCTACAAGCAAGGCTGAAGTTACAGAAAAAGTAATATGTTAGGAAAAAATGTGAAGTATGTGTTTTAACATTTAGTACAAGGTCTACATATATAAACTTCAAAAATACAAAAATTAAGGGTTGGAAATCATAGCCATTGTAAGAGAAAAACGTGTTTGGTATTAATAATTGAGTGCATAAAAATTATGGAAGTACAGTAAAAGGTTGACTATCTTGGAAACTCGGAAAATGGCAAATTCTAGATGCACAGAAATTCCAGATAATTGAGCATATATAAAATATGTAATTCACAGCAGAAAAGCGAAAGAGTGAAATAAAAATTTCTGGTTTAAAATTATAAAAAGAGTTTTTTTTTTTTTTTAAATCTACTTGAATATCAAATGCCTAGATTTAAATTATGTGAAAGAAAAAAGTATTTCAGGCATAAATGCTAAAGTAAAACAGCATATTTGATTATGGAATTCCATTGACCATATAAATTGGCAGAGATCCTGCCAAACCTATGCCAACCACTCCAGCAGAAGTTTGAAGGAATGGGTTGCTGTTTGTTTAGTTAGATAATCCATGCAACATATAAAAAGCTCGATTCTCTCGTCATAATATTTCATGTTGCACAGCCAGTGTTTATCCATTTCCACAAAAGTTGTACTTTCCTTGATACCAGGATTCCGTAATTTTGAAACTATTCCACTGCATGCTGTTCTGTTGTAGGCAAGTCCAAAATTTTAATGCCCATCAGCAGCCAAGTGGTAAGTCATTGAACAGTGGTAGTTCAGTCAGGGGTTTCAATCCCTACGAATGGGTTGGCTGTATGGACATTTTAATTGTTTTCCCCCATGTGTGACGCATATATGAGCTAATTTCTGCAAGAAAATCCTGAATGAAGGCATACCTCTCCTTAAGCAGATAGCCCTTGTGTTCTTTGTCATAAAAAAATAAACCAAATCTAAATTTTGATAATTTTTTTCAAAAACTGAATTGAATTTAATTGAAAACCAGATAAATCACAATTATTTTATTATTTTCTACAAAAATGAAACTGAATTATTGAGAATTTAACGGTTTTATATAAATCACATTATTAGATGTCAGTTTTTGTTCGAGTCAAGTGGTGCTTTTATTCATGCTTTATAGCGGAGTTATAAACGTCTTATTTGCATAACTTTACATCTAAAATTCATCATTTTCTACAAAAATTAACTGAATTATTGAGAATTTAACGGTTTTATATAAATCACATTATTAGGAGTCAGTTTTTGTTTGAGTCGAATGGTGCTTCTGTTCATGCTTTATAGCAGAGTTATAAACATCTTATTTGCTTAATTTATTTAAAAAATTAGGTTTCTAAAATTTGAAAGTGTTTTGCTTAATTGAATGCTTGATAATTGGGTTTTTAGTACATCATTAGTTCATCTTTTATCTTGGTTTATGTTTTCTGAAAGGAACTAGCTGATACGAGATTTTGAAATTTTCTTCATATATATATATATATATATATATATATATGTAGATGTATGTAAAATATAAAAAAATATGATGGCTTTGCTCTACACGAACACACAACCTTTAATTAACTTTCTGCAATTCTGGATCTTCCCCTTAGACCAGTACCTTCCAGAACATTCGCGCCTATTGCATAACTGCTACCATAAATACTGAGTGCGCACCTTTTTGCGTCAGAAGCTTTCCTTTCCCTATGCTCTGATTATTTCAGTTAGTCGTACAGGATTGGATTATGTGCTACTAACCTCAATGGAACATTTATGTCAACTAATCTCACATCATTTAACTAATGGATAAAATGGAAAATATTCATCTGGATTCCCAATCAGGCCAAGGTCACTGTAACATCGAAATATAATGTGTCAATAAGTATGGAAATGATTTACAGCGTCATCAAAAGTGGTATTGGAAGTGTGATTAATTTCTTCTTTTCTAAATTTATTCTTCAGAATAAATTAGAACCAGAAAATTAAGTGCCCATGTTCCAAATTTGCATTTTGATGTTACGTGATAAAAAGTGTTTTGATTTTCCCTCCAAGCGCATCATTATAAATAACTTACTCAATAATTGGTTATATTTTTGAAATCTGAAAGGTGGGGTGTTTTTTTACAAAATGATTTTAATTCGATGAATATAAAGGAAAAAAAAAAAAAAAATGTGGCATTTTGTTACGAAAATATCAAATCAAAATGAATAAGTATTCAAAGATTTTATTCAGGGAAGAATTTTAAAATTTATTGTTATTAGTGAAAATAAGTTTTGTCAAAAATTTTGAATTAATGTTAAAAATATTGGATTTATTTTGTTGACAAGATAAGAATTTTGAAATTATTTTTTAATTAAGATTTTTGTTTAAAATTTTGAATTTTATAATTATTTTGAGAATGATGTCTATATGAAGTATAAATGAAATAATTATTAAATGGGAGAATGTTACATATTGTTAAAATTAATATACAAATACCAAAGATTTAAGAAATTGAATAATATTAAAATTTATATGAGAATTTAATTAAGATTACATTACATTAAAATTTGCTTGGAGTTATGGTAAATGAATGTTATAATTATCAATAATTGTATGTTAAATATGAAGTATGAGGGAGTATTGGTTTAGAAACAGAGGTCTGTTTTACCTCTGCATAATTGTTCCTTTTACCCTTGTCATGTAATATAATATAAACTTTAAAGGCTCCCACTTTATTTATTATATAGAATTTTTACTTTTTCATATAATGGAGTGCAATTTTTTAAAATTATTATTATAATGGAATGTTATAATGCAGTTCACTAACCACTCATGAAAATTTAATACATGAGTCTTTAAAGTGGACTTGCCTAAATAGCTGGATGTGTGTACTAGGAGAAAGCCGTAGGGTCTTCTAGTTTGCATAAAATAAGAAAATTGTAAAAATGTAATTGTTCTTGCCGAAGATAGCTCTAACTTATTTAATGATACTTAATTTCAGTATGGACTGTAATATTAACAATAACAAATTTCTTTTACCAAAAACAACATTATTGAATACTAGCACACGCATGTGCTTATAGTTACCTATGTAACTTAGCTAAGAGCGAGCAACCATATGCTCTTACATCAAGTCAGAAATCATTCGTACTAATAAAGCAAAAATGAAAGAACTTTAGGGTTACACTAAAGCCAAACTCTGCTTGGCGTGAAACAATGCTGCCAAGCAATACTCTTTCAGACACCGAACAGTAATAAAAGTAAAACCATAATTTGAATCATGCTATTACAAATGATAAAGTATTACTTATAAATGTAAAAATTGGTGTAAATTTTAAGATTTATGATCATTCATAATAATTTAATGGGTATATAGAATCTTTATAATTGTGATTTGGTGTGGAAAACATTTTTGGAAATCCTTAACTGGAGTATCAAAATTGTGATGTGAATGTTCCAGAAACAAGAACTTTTTATAGATTAGACTCAAATCTTCATAGGACTTTAAAAATTATTATTGAACTCAAAATTTTACATATTGTAACTTTATTGTTCGAAAGCTAATACTTTATTTTGTATGTTTCAAAATTATATTTCTCATGTTTTGATACACTAATGCTTTTTGTCTCAAAAAGGCTTCTCTATCGCTCTGCCTTTTTCTTTTTTTTGATAGGGGGGAATGTGTAAGATAAAAAATATGAAAGCAAGCTTCTAAATTTAATTCACTATAACCTCTTTTATTTTCTATTTTATTTGGGAACTTCATCAACCTGTCCTAAAAATAGTTCTGTAAGTCTAAACTGCATCATTCAAATTAATCATGCGATCTTATGTAACCCTTAATGCAGATGCCTCTTGACCAATCACCAATTGCAAACTAAAACTTTTCTCTTTGTGTGCTTTCATCTTTCATAACTACACACTTCAGCTTTTGTTCTCTACTGTGCTAAGATGTAATTTCTCTGGCTTGCTTTCTATCTCAATAATATCAAAAATGTAAATCTTCTGTGGAAAGGCACGACTAGAATGCCAAGTGATTGTGGCCACAAATATCAATTGAAAATAAAAATGCAATTAAAATCGCCTCGACTGCCAAGTTCTTTAGATGCTTATTCAATCAAAATTCATCTTCAATATGAATCTAAGCAAGCGTCAATACTGTTCCAGCTTTTCCTTGTGCTTTTATTATTATATATATGTATATTAAATACGATTCCATTCTCCTTAAATTTTCTTCTCAGGCAGTATTAAGTAATGGCCCTGTTGGCAGTGAAGATAAGAAATTTAAGGTGATTTATTATTGCAAAATACATAAAGAGGTATTTATGTCCTTTGAGAAGCGTGTCTTTTTGGAGAACTTTCTGTGCAAAACTACTTCATGTTTACATTGCATGTAGGTCATCAGGAAGTTCGTCAATGAAATCATTTACATAACTTGTAAGGTTTATTTTAATTAACCTGTTATTATCATTCAAACCTTTATTATTATTTCATCTTTGGGTAGTTCTCATTGAAATGCAAATTAGTTGTTGAGTATTTAAGCCAAGAATTTATATGATTTAGAGCTTTTGGCAGCCTTGCTTGCAGATTATATGCTGTTGCCAGTTCTGCCAAATTTATTCTGGCTTTAGCCATTTTGTTTATAATAATTGAGTCAGCTTAAGTAGACCACTTGTGTAGTTTCCTGCTATGTTACTTGAATTTGAATCACAATACCCGTAGGCAGCAGAGTTTTATATAGCACAAGTCGTACCTTGTATTAAAAAGTTATTTTAACCTTCATAGGACTGTGTCATCTTAATTCAGATTAGAGTGATTTATAACTCACTTGTTGGTCTAGTAGCGTCAGAAGGAGGAAATGAGTCATAAATCAGCAAGGTCCTAAGGAAAAAGTAATCATTAGGCTATTGTTAATAATATTTCAACACTAAATTTCCTGGAAAGGGGTAAGAATTTCTGTTGAACAGAAACTGTTAGCAGGAATCGAATTTGAAGGAAATGAATTTTCAAATCGTCGAGTGCCAAAGAGTTAAAACTTGTTTAACATTATTATTGTAACAATCTTAACAAGTTTAATATTATTGTAACAGTCTTAACAGATGAATTTAATGTTGGTAGAAAAGATATGTGCAAGGTATATAATTCTGAAAATTTAATTATACCTTATTCAGGATATTCCTCTCCTTTTGATGAATCCACATGTTGGACGACCAGAACATTTAATTCTGACAAAACTACCAGTTCCACCATTGTGTATTCGACCTTCTGTGATATCTGAAGTCAAATCTGGAACGTAAGTTGAAAACTTGTTTTATTTGCATGATTTTAAATTTAATTTATTGAATCTCAGTGAAAATTAGCTTATTTTTTAACATTATCAAAAATTAAAAAATTGAATGGATGTTATAAGCCACTGTGTTTTCAGGAACTGTTAGAAAGATGTAATTTTTTAAAGATCAAATTAGTTTTAAATTTATCCTATTGTAAGCAAGTTTAAGATAAAGCATGAAACACATGTGCTTTATTTCTTATTATAATTTCCGAACATGGGCATTGCTACTCGCTGGGGATATCTAGGGGGCGTTACTGTTCTGGGGGTAAAGTAAGAGGGATCGTTGGGAAGCAAATTGTCAATAAAATCATGCTTGGAAAATTTACTTGTTTAATTTTTTTGAATAAATAGTTAATCATTCACTTGGTTACATAAATATTACAGTGAAACATCTTCAGAAGAGTCATACCAAATTGTATTCGCTGATACTTTACACAAGTTAGTCCAAGTTGTATCTTATCTAAAAGAACAAAACTTGTGATCTATTAGTCTAATATTCTAAAAAATATAACCTCAGATCTGCACTTGTGATATCGAATATGCCTAAGTAGCATATTCTTTAATTATTTACCAGGAGTGACCAAATGTCATTACACTAGGAACACTAAGTTCAAGAACCAACTTGATTTTCTCAGAGCCCTCAAGTCTGTATTTGGATCATTTTTAAAATAATGAAACAAAATTTGATTGGGGAGAAATATTTGAAATAATTAATGAAAATGTCCTTTTTATTTATGTGTTTGTAATTAATCTGGTTATAAATAAAAAACGGTACTTTTCTGTTTTGCCGGCGCCAGCGATAAAGTGGCCAATAATGGTACAACCGATGTCAAATGGAATATTCTCGCTGGTAACCTTTTAAGCCTCATTTTCAAACCAAATCACAGCTTTTTCTTATCAGATTGATTGTTTCTTTCAATACTGGCATATAATTACATAGAATTTTTATCAGATAGTTCAGTTTTATGTCTAGGCCATTTCGATAATTAAGTCAATTAGATGCATCACAGCGCTTAACCCGAAGCCGAAAATATAGAAAAGGTAAAGTCAAGGTTAAATTCATCGATTCTACGAGAATGCATTAGCAGTAAGGCACTGCAGTTTTACATAATTTCTGAGTAGCATTCGTAGAATTGAATATTTCTTGCATTTAAAACTTGTGTTCCAAATTAAGATTTAACGTGAATTAATGTAGATAATACTGAGAGCATTAATTTTTGTAGAGTATTTAGTGATAGATCGCGTTGGGTCACTTGATATAACCCGGCGAATCACGTGTTGAACCATGAAAGCATAGTAAATCTTAAATAATGTTTTTTTACAAATTTATTGTTTTTATTTATTGGATTTTTATAAAATTTTAAGCGATATTAAAATGTTATGCCTTCAAAAAAAGAATTCTTAGAACTAACATTTTTTAAAAATTTTTTATGTGTATACTGTATGTTGTCACCAATAAAGTCTGCTTGGCAAGATTTGTGCCGGCGAAACGGAAAAGTACCTAAAAAACATCCAATTTGACTGCTGTTTGTCACAAGTACAGTTGGCTATGAAAGTTATCAGGCATTTTCGTTACCATCAGTAATGATGCAGTATGCAAGAATGTTTCATCAAAAATTTATCTCCGAGTGCGTTTTTTTCAAGTTACAGTACAATAATTAATGTAATACTGTGTGATTTCCTATGATAACAAACATGATATATTATTGTACTTATATAACTATATGCTATAAATGCTTAATGTCCGGGGAAAAAAACTATTATGAGAACCAAGTTAGCATGAATGTTTAAACACAAACTCTTGCATTTCAGTTCCTTGAGGTTCATGTTATTGAGGGTTTACTATATTTAAAAGCTAAATAAAAGGCTGACCCCCCTGAAGCTATGAAATTGTCTGTGGTTGAGAACCCCTGTTTTGTCTGTATACCACTTCTAGGGTATTTTATCCTGTCTAATAGACATATAATTTTATTGAAACTTGGTTTAAAAAAGAAAGCCTTAAAGCCATCAAAATAATGCCTAAAATACTAAAAACTTGCTTTCACATTGATAACTATTTCACTAATTTTACATGCCTGTGCATAAGATATTTATGCGAATCCTTAAAAAACTTAAAAGTGTGTTTTTTTTTAAAGTAAAATTGCTATATTTGTCATTATTATAACTTTACTAATTGACTGTGTTTCATTGGTAGAGATTATGATTGTTAAATTTACCAGTAGCAAAAATAATATTTTTGTGCAGACTTATAATGAAAAATAAATACAAAAATTAAATTCTTTTAATACCCAATAAAAATGGCGGTACTTTTCCGTTTCGCCGGCGCAAATCTGGCCAAGCAGACTTTGTTGGCGACAACATACAATAGACACATAAAAAATGTTAATTCTAAGAATTTTTTTTTTTTATTTTGAAGGCATAAACATTTTAATATGGTTTTAAATTTTGTAAAAAGACAATAAATAAAGACAATAAATTTGTAAAAAGACATTAATTTAAGAATTTACTATGATTTCATGGTTCAAAATCCTGATTCGCCGGTTCGTATCACGTGACCCCAAGTAATCTCATCTCACGTAAACTACGCTACTAAAATCTAATTCGCTCAGTAATTATCTACATTAATTTCAAGTTAAATCTTCATTTGAATAGAAGTTTAAATGCAAGAAATTATTTCAATTCGTACGAATAGCTTACTCAGAAATTATGTAAAACACAGTGCTTACTCGCTAGTGCATTCTCATTAGAATTGATGAATTAACACTTGATCCGCCTTCGGATGAGCGGTTTAATTGCATTCTAATTGACTTAATTACCGTGAATTGTCTTAGGGGATAAAATTAAATATCGTGTAAAATTCTATATTTATTGTATGCCGTATTGAAAGAAATAATCTGATAAGAAATGGCTTCACTGTTTTGAAACTGAGGCGTAAAAGGTTACCCATGAGATATTCCGTCTGGCACATTAAACCAATTGGCGACTTTATCGTTTGCGCCGGCAAAACGGAAAAGTACCAAAATGGCCAAGTTAATGTGAAATTATTTATAATTATGAAAATTTTAACTGCCATAAATTGAATTAAATATTTATAGCAGTAAAAGTAAAGTTGAAATGAGTAATCATTAGTATGAGAAAAAGATTAAAATTGTATAAATTCCTAATGTTTTTCATTTTTGGTTTTATTTATTGCTTATTAAGACTATAATTTAAATATGATTAAAATAGACACAGCAATGCATATTTATTAAATATGTGTCACTGTACTTTTATTTTCTAGAACTGAAGATGATATGACTACAAAATTAACTGCTTTAATTCAGCTCAATCAAGAAATTCAGATGCATGGTACTAGTGCTCCTTTAAAACATGTGATGGTATGCTTAATTTGGAATAATATTTTGTGACTTTATCTCCCTGTAAATAAAATTATTAATGTGAATTTTCTATCTTTAGAAAGTCTGGGATAACTTGCAAACTCATGTTGCACTATATATAAATAGTGATATGTCTGGTGTAAATATGGAAATGCAGGTAAAGAAATTTTTTAGTTTCATATATAAATTAAAAATTATGAATTACTTATAATTTTATATATTGTCCATAATTTATAGCTATATAATGATATATGAAAGAGTTCATTAGCCGAGAGTGTAGATGTATTACAGTCAAATACCGAAAATCCGTCGACCTGAAATCCACATTGCCTCTCAAAATATAAACATTCAGTTTATAGGTTCCGGAAACCGCAACATTGAGTACGAAATATCGAAGAAAAATACTTACAGAATAATGATGTCATAATTACCGATTAATGATGAGTCATAACAGAAATACCAAATTATTGAAATAAAAAAAGTTAAAAAAATAAGATAAAAGTTTTTCCCTATAATCTCTGCATCAAGGTAAAAAAGCAGATGATTCACTCAACTCTTTATTAAGTTCACGATTCACGTTGTTTATTTTGAGCTTTGTTATTTCACAGATTGTTAGTGCTGCCTTTTTTTTAATCGAATTTTGTGGATAAATTAAGAATATTTTAATTTTAGCCCTTTTAATACATGACAGATAAAAAACACACTCATGATTTTACTGCTTGCACTTGAAAAAATAAACATGGTGCATGACGGAACGCAAAAATGCAAAAGATGGAGGCACTGCTACTCCTCGATTTAGAGCAATGGTATGACTTGCGCATGATTGTGTATATTATGGAAAAATAAAGAAAAGCTTTTGAAATTTTACAGCAACAGTGATTCAACACTGGAATCCGAAACCGTAAATCTTTGCTTGGGCGAAATTGGCAAACTCGTGCTGTGTACATAATACAATGATTCCATTTTATATATATATAATAATTTTTAATGCATATAATAAATTATTGCAATAATTTAATATATGCATTAAATTATTATTATATTTGTACAATTAAGTGTGGGTCTTTCAATGTGAATTGTTTATGAAAATCGTGGACCATATCTTCAAAGTTCAGAGCAAAAAGAGATCAGTAGTTCAACATTTATGTTCTGGATAATTAATTGGTTGGATTTAGCTTCCTATGTTGGGCGGCAGAAAAATATCTTCAGTGTTTTCTACATTTAAATCTTCAGATTTTTAGTCCATTTCATATTTTTTTTTAAATCTCATTGGCCTAAATTTCATACTTAAATTTAGCCCTTCAAAAATGCTGTTGTTATATTGCCGGTTACGATGGATTTACTATTCTATTTAAAAAAAGTTAACGCAAACAAAAACAAAAATATAATAAATTAAATATAAATAAAACAATAAATAAATAAAATTTTTTAAAGTTTTTTCTTTTTTAAAATTTATTTGTACGCGTGAAGAAAGGAAAAAAAATACACATGTCACCTTCAATTTGTAAAGGTTAATGTTGTTTTATATAGCTGAGCACTTGCAACTTCATTGGTAAAGTCCCAATATTATTAATCAGTTGTTTAGATGTCTTATCACCGGCAACTTTGACCGGGGGCGATAAGTTTCATATCCACGACAGCTCCAGTAAAACTGAAAATTCCTTTTCTAGTTTTAATGGAGACCTCAGAGGACTCAACCGAGGGTGTCCCATCCTTCTTCTACCACTAAATCTCGTGGTAGGACTTTCATTTCGGCGGTATTCTAAGTGTTTCTCATACTGCACAAATACTTTTTGACAGTTACCAGCAAGGATGACCACAGTCCTTACTTTTCCCCAAAAAGCCTTTTAGTGTTTAGTCCTCGTCGTAGATAGTGTCTGGTACTAACTACATACCTCCAAGAGAAGGATATCAGACCAGACGGCATTTATTTAAATTTTAGCAGTGCTGCGCCAACGAGATAAAGCCTGTTATATGAAGTCGGTGTGCTGCACAAACACTACGTAAACCCAAACGTTCTCCGAGATTCAAGGGCCACAGCGACTGAGCGGTTAAATCACTGAATACTGCTTGTTGGGTCCGGGGTTTGAATCCCTGCAAATGGTATGTTTGCATGGGCATTTTCGTAATATTACCCTCATGTAACATATATGTGGACTAGTTTCCCTTATCAAGTCCTCCACGAAGACATCCCTTCCTTTAAGCAGATAGCCCTCGAGTGCTTTGCTATAATCAAATAAATCATCTCAGGAATTTAAACCCTAACTCAGCAATGCTGCAGCCAGGAGCGGAAACCCCTATATAGATCAGAATGCCCCGAAATTCTAGAGGTAAAAATACAACCTCTTCCATTATTATTATTTATTTGCAAAACGCTTAGCCTAGCAGGTATTAGAATACTTTCGAAAATCAAATAAAATCAGCGAATGTAAATACTTTACTATCGAAGAAAGGTGCATTCGTAGTGATTTATGTGATAATTAGAAATTTGATGATATGTTTTCAGGAATGAATACAAATTTAGCTTGAGATGAAATACTTAGAGGTGACGCATATGCTGTTTCAAAATACAATTTCATTTTTAATGGCTTGTATGCATGTATTTAAGAAAATATTGGCATCTATTACTCTTTTCTTAAAGTAACACAATTTTCAATGGATACTTCAATGATCGTTAATGATTAATTACTTTTAAACCATTAATGACAAAATAGCCGTTATGTCGCAGCTATATGTAATTAATATGAAGCTTTTTTTCAGAGATCCTTCTCAATGCTGTCTCTCCCATTATTTCTGTTGATTTCTCTGATAATAATGGATATAAAAATCTATCCAAATATTTAAAAAGCTGATGAAATGATGGAAAAAATTTAAAAAAATAACAAGTTACGTATTGCAAGATGAGTTAATTATCAAATTATACTACAAATTATAAGTGTAATTCAAAATATTAGATTTTCCATATATTAAATACTCTTTTATAATAAGTACTTAATATTTCTTGTTGTTGTTTTACAATAAGTACTTACTACTTCTTGTTGCCGTTAATCCCACATATTTCACTTGGTTACATAAAATAATGAGATAGAAGCATGCTTCCTTTAATTGTATTAAAAGTAGCTGAGATTTATAGTTTTGTTTGTTTGATTATGTCAAAGCACGCGAGGGCTATCTGCGTAAAGAGAGGGTTGCTTTAGAAAAGGCTGTTGAAGGGAAATTGGTTAGTATTCAGGTAACACACAGTGAAAATGACAAAAACGCCCATCCCATTCGCCTGGAATCGGAACGCAGGTCAAACTACCAATGTTCAGCGATTCTACCGTTCGGCTGCTGAAATTATTAAAGGCAATAAACTGTAGTATTGTCATGTATTGTATTAAGTATAATGTCACCCGATAATATGATATTTGTAATTATAACTCTTCATGAAGGATGGTAGTAAATTAAATATATAATGTCGTATCATGATACAATTACACTATCTCAAGGAAGCGTATTGTATCATATCAGAGTTATCTGCGCCTGATTGAAAGGCCTTGATAATAAAAATGATTTAAATGAATTACTTTAAGTTTTTGTACAATTATTTTGTATAATAATTTAATTAAATATATCTAATATGCCTTATTTATTTTGCACTTTTAGTCCGAATATTATGCTTTATCTTTTCAGTCCTGAAATCCGCAAAATCCTAAAATCTGCACAACCTCTGGTCCCAAGCTTTGCGGATTTCTGGACTTCTACTGTATAAAATGGTCATAAAATTTGATTTGATTTAGAAAATTGCAACTAATTTATTTATGATTTTTAACTCATTTTATTCTATATTTATAAATAGTTAGTGAAGCCTTCTGGAAGGGGTATTGTGCAAAGATTAAAAGGAAAGCATGGTCGTTTCCGGGGAAATTTATCTGGAAAACGTGTGGAATTTACTGGTCGAACAGTTATTTCACCAGATCCAAATTTACCAATTGACCAAGTAAGGAAAAAATAATAGTAACATTGATAGTAATTCAGAAGTCAAACAACAAAAATCAGCGTTATATTTACCAAATTTTCACAGGACTAGTTTCGATGGTTTTACCGAACCACCATCTTCAGCTGCAAAACCGCAAATGAACCAGATAGGAAATAATGATTAGATAAGATAAGAAAGCCTGGACAAGACTAGCAAGTGGCGCATCTGTTGGGTGAAACCAGAACTAAAACATAATTTCTTTAAAGGCCGAAGGCAAATTTGGATTGGAATTAGGATCGTTAACTAGAACAGAAAGATTTTTATGAATGTGAAATGCATCTAGAAAATCCAGTTCTCCAATGGAAGATGTTTTTTGGAATAATTTTGGCAGCAGAAAAAACTGAAAGTGTGGTTTTCGGACCAAACAAGGTTGAGCAACAGAAGACTTCTGTGTGTTCCTTTTTTCTAAATATGCCTCATGTTCCTTGACGCGAAATTTAAGGCTCTCTTAGTTTGGCCAGTGTAATTAAACCACACTGGCAAGGAAATATAAAATCCCCCAGAATTCATATCCGGAATGGGGTCCTTGAGTATGGAACTCGGAATTTATTGATGGGAGAATAAACAACCCGAAAGTTTAATTTCTGCAAAATATGTGCAACTTTATAGCTAATTGATGGAAAGAAGGGAATGACAAACAGATTTTATAATCTCCTAAAACAAGAGTGTGCCTTTTAGTGTGTGAGATGAGAATTTTTAACTGCTTGATTAAAATGTTGGGTGGAAAGCCCCTGTCAATAGCTATTGCTTTAATAATTTAGTTCTTCATCAAGGGCTGTTTGGAGGAGCAACTTGAAGAGCAGGAAAACATAGGAATAAAATGAAGTAACTTTGTTTAGTCGGATGACATGATTTAAAGTGTGGGGGAAGGCAAACGATGAAGGTTTACGGTAAACCGTAGTACTGAAGTTGGATGTGTACGTGTGACCAGAATGTCGAGAACGGAAGAGAATTGCAAGTTTCAAGTTCAAAAGTGAACTGAATAGCAGGATCAATAGAATTCATAGTTGAAAGGAACTTTATTAAATCATCTTTATACCTTCAAACAGAGTAAAAATATCGTCTACGTAGCGGAACCATCGGGAAGTTTAAAGTTTAAACAATTTTGATTCAATAATGCAGTAGATATGCCAGGATGGACTGAGGGGGCTTCCATGGTAATCCCTCAGTTGCTGTAAATTTATGGAAAACAAAATGTGTTTGTTTCAAACACAGTTGAGTGAGGAAATTAGCTCACTTGCGATTGCGAATGAAATGCGCGAAGTCTGGTTTCAATCTTAATGCACCTCCACTGGGACATTGGGAAAATGATTTTACATCAAAGAAATGAGTAAATTACTAGGGAAATGTTTTTAACTTTTTTTACAAACTCTATTGCTTTTTGGGTAAATTTTATCTAATAGATTGAAAATCTAGAAACTAAATATTTAGCAATGGAACGAGGCAGTAACTAAATTTGATTCATAGGGGGAAGGAATACCCTTTTATGAATTTGGGAGAGCATTAATCTGGCACAATTCGCAACAGATGGGATAACTGTTTTAAGCCTGAAATGATTTAATTTGATGGTGTCACTTTTACAAGTCGAGGTCCCAAAGATCTTCAGGGATCGGATGGTCAAAAGTAAACACCTCGATGTAAGTATTTCGAGCAACAGGACCATCTGTTGCGAATTGTGCCAGATATGCTCTTCCCAAATTCAAAAGTCGTATTCCTTTGCCTATTGTATCAAATTTAGGTACTGCCTCTATCCATAGCTAAAATTAGTTTCTAGATTTTCAACTTATTAGATAATAACATTTACACCATAAAAAATTCATAGAGTTTGTAAAAAAGTTAAAAAACATTTTCCTAGTAATTTACTCATGGTTCTTTTGATGTAAAATCATTATTCACCAATGTCCAGTGGAGGTGCATTAAGATGTCTAGAAACCAGACTTCGCGAATTTCATTTCTCTTGCATCGAAATTGATGAGCTAATTTCTCTCACTCAACTCTGTTTGAAACAAACACATTTTGTTTTCCAAAAATAAAATATACAAGCAAACTGAGGGATTAGCCATGGGAAGCCCCCTCAGTCCCATCTGGCTGATATCTACATGCATTATTATGAATCAAAATTGTTTGAAACTTTAAACTTCCCGGCATGGTTCCGCTACGTAGACGATACTTTTACTCTGTTTGAAGGTAATAAAGATGATTTAAATAAAGTTCTTTCAACTAATGAATTCTATTGATCCTGCTATTCAGTTCACTTTGAACTTGAAATTGCAATTCTCTTCCGTTTCTCGACATTCTGGTCACACGTAACACATCCAAACTTCAGTACTACGGTTTACCGTAAACCTTCATCGGTTTGCCTTCCACCACACTTTAAATCATGTCATCCGACTAAACAAAAGTTAGCTTCATTTTATTCCTATGTTTTCCGTGCTCTTCAAGTTTGCTCCTCCAAACTAGCCCTTGATGAAGAACTAAATTATTTAAAAGCAATAGCTATGACAGGGGCTTTTCACCCAACATTATTAATCAAGCAGTTAAAAAATTCTCATCTCAACAACAAAAGGCACACTCTGTTTTAGGAGATTATAAAAATTCTGTTGTCATTCCCTTCTTCCATCAATTAGCTATAAAGTTGCATATTTTGCAGAAATTTAACTTTCGGGTTGTTTATTCTCCCATCAATAAAATTCCGGTTCCATACTCAAGGACCCCATTCCGGATATGAATTCCTGGGGTTTATTTATCGGATTCCTTGCCAGTGTGGTTAATTTACATTGCCAAACTAAGAGAGCCTTAAAATTCGCGTCAAGGAACATGAGTATGTTAGAAAAAAGGAAAAACACAGAAGTCTTCTGTTGCTCAACATTGTTGGTCCGAAAATCACACTTCAGTTTTTTGCTGCCAAAAATTATTCAAAAAACATCTTCCATTGGAGAAGGATTTTCTAGAGGCATTTCACATTCATAAAAATCTTTCTGTTCTAGTTAATGATCCTAATTCCAATCCAAATTGCCTTCGGCCTTTAAAGAAATTATGTTTTAGTTTGGTTTCACCAACAGATGGCGCCACTTGCTTATTCTTGTCCAGGCTTTCTTATCTTATCTAATCATTATTTCCTATCTGGTTCATTTGCGGTTTTGCAGCTGAAGATGGTGGTTCGGTAAAACCATCGAAACTAGTCCTGTGAAAATTTGGTAAATATAACGCTGATTTTTGTTGTTTGACTTCTGAATTAGTATTTAGTCGGCGTGTTATTGTGTCTTAAACATTGATAGTATTTTTAATGTTGGATATGTTTATTTTTTAAGTAACTCTTCTTTTTTTTTCCATTTTTATGAGCTTTTTTTTTTTAATCTTATTTTTGTCATTTCAAACAGGTTGGAATTCCTGAACATGTAGCAAAAATTTTGACATATCCTGAAATGGTAAAAACATTTAAATGCTTTTAATTTTTTAATATTTCAACAAAATCCATTAATTTTTCATCTCTTACTGTTCATCCATCTTTAAAGACAATCTTTTGATGTTTTTACTTTAGGTAACAAAGCATAACATGAAGCGATTGAAAGCATTAATCTTGAATGGTGGCTATAAACATCCAGGAGCAAATTTTTATATTGAACGTAACACTAAAATGAAAAGGTATATTTGTTTTCTTTTTTATATTAATTTACTAGATAGGTAGTTTATTATTTCAAAGCCCTTGAGAGATCTGCTTTAGGAAGGGTACCTTTGTAGATAACTTAGGTGGTGTATTGCAAGGGAACTTCCGAGATGGAAAGTAATCAGACCAGCGGTCTTTTAAATATTTATTTTAATAAGTTAAATAAAGATGTCTGGGTTAAATAACAGTAAATCTACAGAATAAACAGTACAGCTACAGAATAAACAGACAAAATCTTCCGTGTGATACGGATCACACAATCCTTTGGTGCGGATCTCACAATCACTTGACGCGACTTACCTACAGCATCTTTTTTGACAAAAGCCTCTTCAATTTCTTTTACATTATTGTCACAAGGAAACCACACAAGGGGGTGTCCTTAATGAGTTTTCTTTGTTGGCTACCTTCCGGTCATTTAGAGGACACTTGGTGTTAGTTCCCATGAGAACAGGAAGTCCTCTAACTTCAAACTGACGTTCCATCAAACCTGAGGATCCTTACAACCCCTTCCCTCCCTGGGGGCAGGGGATTTGCCAAATTCCATTATCTCTTGCTTAATTATCACTGCTAGATACACGTAAAGTCAGCTCTAAATAATGAATATAAACACAAAATTTTATGCTATGCTGGGTTAAGTATCACAGAAAGAACAAAATAGGAACTTGTATTGAGGCCAGTATAAAACACATAACCAGATACTAAAACTAACTTAATTACACACATGCAAAATAGCATTTTACAGTTTTCTGCATACATGTATTATGCAATATGCTTTTTTTTAAAAAATTCTAATATTGATTATACATTTATCCAAGCTGAAAAGGAAAGCATTGAGAATATTTGATTATCAGTTTCTGAAAAATCCCTCTGCAGAGACCCGAAACTTGATCCGGAAACCTGAAAACCAGAACTATTGCACTTAACAACCTCAAAATAATCATACATATTTGATATGGCATTAGCATCAAAAAGAACCACTTCATTCTAAGTTTGATTTACATCATTTATGAAATAATTACAATCAATCCCTTTAGGCATCTCAGCACATGTATAGTCTCAGTATAATGGATCTTTCTGTTTTCCCTGGTAAACTTACAATACATTTTGTTTTGGACAAACCATTTCTGAAATTTTAGACTTGGTCAAACTTACCGAGAATCTGGTTGGTACAATGTCAAACCTTTCATAACCAAAGTTTCTTGATCATGCTGAATTTCTTTAGAAATTCTTATTCTGGTAGAATTGTTCAGTAAAGCATCCACCCCAGTAATAGAAGTGATATCATCTATTGGAATCATCTCCAGATATTTTCAGGATAAACAAGCTGTGGATAATATATTTTTCTTCCCCATAGGTGTGGCGGGCAAGGGTCCACATGTATATAATTTTATTTCTTGGACTGCTTCAGGAGTGACCAATGATTTCCGACTATTTATCAGGTCATTTATTAGCACTCTATTTCTTGTTAGTCCAAAGGGATTTGAATCCCGAAGGACTATTAGTTTCGTTTTGGCATTTTGCGTCGGACTCATAAATGTCGGTTCACTTTTCAAACTGTTGCCACAAAATGTTAGAGTCCTGCATTATATTTGAAGAAATTAAATAATGAAAAATCTGCATAAATGTATGTATATTTCTCGTATTGTGATAAAACAACGGTACATAGAGTTATCGAATTTTGAATAACGTAATCCTCCAACGAATATGAGCATGTGGAAGACCAAATTTGAAATTTGAAATTTGTTTTATGATCGATTTCCTATTTTTTAAAACTTTGACGAATTTTTGATTAACAAACTCAAGGATTTCAAAGCGAAGCAATGGCAACGTTGTGCAGAAAAAACATTTTTTATCTCCAGCGCGTGAGTCTCTGTATCGGAAATTCTAAAGATATGCTCGTTTTAAAAAGCTATTTTTGCGATATTGCTGTTGCACTGGATCTTATGGTTTAAGTGCGAGGAACATGATATTTAATAAAAAAAGGTAACACACAAATGTTAAAAAACGCAACCTTTGGACGTAATTTAAAATCTGAAACATTTCAGATTTTTTTTTTTTTTAGATAATTGTTTCTTAAGGGAAAACTTTGAGGGTTTAAACAGGTTAAAAAAAATCGATGTTTTCATATCAGTACTTTCTCTTTGTAAGTGAGAGTTTTGAGTTGTATTTAATGAATGAAAAGATATACGTTCATTCACCTTTGTGTTGCAGATCAGGTTTTCTTTAAGAAAGCTAGCTCTGCCTTTCAGGAGCAGAATTCCTGGTGAAGGTCTGATTGCCTCCTTAACAGAGGGTGAAATTTTCCCATTAGGTATGCACCTGCCATCTTCACTTCTTTCATTTTGCTCATTTTCAGTTTCGGTACTATCAGTTTCGCGGTTTCTTTGATATCGACTCTTGTGCATCGGTTCTTGACAAAAGACTCCTTCATTTTGATTTCCTGCTAATTTTTCTGCAGTTTGATTTCTGAGTAAATAGTGGCTGATTTCCAAACTTTTCCTATCGACTGCGGCTTGTAACTTTAACCTCATTAATTCAAAATCTTTTCTTCTCTCCTAATTTTATCTTGCCGCTCTTCTTTTTACCTTCTAATTATATCTTGTCTCTCCTTTTTTGCCCTCTCAAGCCTCATTGAAGTGAAATTTTCCAACAGACTTTTCACAAGTTTAGGCTTCATTTCTCATAATCAGCTCTATTAGAGGCAATATCCTAATCTCAGGTCTGACCTCTTCCCTTAACTCTTCAGCCAAGGATTCGTTTTTAACTTTTGCTAAGAATGCCATGATATAAGCCCAAATAATGATAGCAATCAAACAACTTTAGCTCCCTCTTTCTCTCTCTCTCTATAAAATTGTTTTAAACTACTAGCAGTTTCAAATATGAGAAGTAAAATTTAACCCTTAAATTTACACTACAATATGCACTTTATGCATTCAAATATAATTTGTCTACTTGAGGACTTATGATACTGCAAATAATATTAACCTTTACATTCAATTGTGTAAAACTCAAATGCCTATTATAATACAACATACTTTCATCAAAATTTTCGAGGTATATTAGAGTATGCATTCAAAGGTAAATTAAATTTAAAAACATATATATTTATGCTCATAACTAAACATTAATATAACAACAGTTAAAACATAATATGCTGGGGATTTCTAGCTTTTCCCTTTTACACTTCAACAGAAAATGTTTTTCAGTTCTTACACAACTAATGTTCCATACACACTGTAATGGAAAATTCTTACATTTAAAACATTCAAGATGTCTTAGAAATGAAATGTCAGTACACATTTAGTTACATAAGCTTAATTTCAGCACAACACATTAACATTTTGGATATCAAAAGATCTGTTAACAAAGATTCAAATTCTAAAATTTATGCTTTCTTATTGCAAACATAAAACCAAAACAATGCATTTCTTTAAGCTTTACAGAGAACCATGTCAACTTAAAACAGTTATGTGAACTTGTATAAATTAAATTACAGAAATACTTAAATTACTTTACTGCCTCAATATAAAAATGCAAGGTACTTATCCACCTGGATTTGTAGACTTGATGCACAGGTTGATGCCTGGAAAAGGAGGATGCTGTGACAATTTAAGATTTTTATGGACGCTGATGATCCAGACATTTATATCACTTTTATCACAACACACTCCAAACTTCATAATCCTTCACTATTTGGACACTGATTTTTCCACGAGAGGCTGATGATTTTTGGACATTGACTGTCCCGCAAACTTCTTGCTGAACTGGATTTTTGGAACCTGATGGTCCACTACTAAAATGGATGATTTTTTTAACACTTTCTTGCACAGAAATATTTTTAGACATGAGGCAGTTGGACCAAATTAGACGACGATTCTCCCACAAACTTGAGCTGAATTTCAGAACCTGGTGGTCTGTAATATCTGCAAAATACTGATGATATTTAGACAATGACTGTCCCACAAACTTGAACTGAATTTCAGAACCTGGCAGTCTGTAATATCTGCAAAATACTGATGATATTTGTAGAATGACTGTCCCTCAAACTTAAGCTGAATACAGGAGACTCATTAATTTTATATTTACTATGTGTGCTGTTTTTAAGGTTTATCATTTTTGAAAATTTTCTTTTCAGAAAAAGATAAAAAACTTAACATCTGTTGAATAAGATCTTTTGAAAGCCAGTCTGCCATCAAGCTTTGAATTTCTGGAAAAAATACTCGTCTTAATATTAAGGTTTAATACATTTTCATACTGAACTTTGAAAGAAACCCAGTCAATCTTAACTGAATATATGATAAACTGTAAACCTCAAAGCAGAAACTCGCCTTTGTCTTAACTAAACCATACATTACGCCAATTTAAAAGTAAACAACAAAGCTCTTGCATTAATCATTGCATGCAGTAGTGCAACCACATGCAACTAGACAAAATTTACCTAGTCTGGTACAGAGTAAAAGAAAAGAAGGGGAAGAGAGAAGTTCCCTTTACCTGTGTGAACTATTTCATCTTCTGATGCTGTATGCTTTATAACAAGCAGCCTTTTAAGGACAGAGAGAAGAAGCTTAATGCATAACTCATTTTGTTTTAAATTCCTGATGCTATTAGGGGAAAATCTATGATTCATTGTTAAGCTGCATAATTACACTAATTAATGAAATGTTATTTCTTTTCCCCAATTTTAAATTCATAGATGGGCATCTGATGCTCTGAGATAACACTTTTGATGTAAGCTAATTGCAATCAGCTATCTTTTTGTTAACCTTTTATTGTAGGAAAATAGAAAATAATTTTTATTTTACAGCAATAAACTTATTTATATTTTTTTAACTGCATAAACTTTTTTAAAATAAAGTAAATGAAAAAGTGAAATTTTCTCAGTTGCATTTATACACAAAATATATATTTTGGGTCTAGAAGAGAATGGTAACCCCAGTAGTTGAGTTTTTATGATGAGTGAGTATCCAGCTCAATTATGTTTTTTTTTTTTTTTTTTTTTTTTTTAGTATCCGGTGGGCTGTAATCTTATTTAATCAAAATATCAGGCATTCGGTTATATTTAATTAAGTGTAATGTAAATAATATTGATTTTAGTAACTACAGGAAAATGAAATGTATAAATTTTTCTAGTGATCTGAATTATGCAAACAGGCGGCGAATTGCTGATAATTTGAAAGTGAGTGTCATTCATATATTCTTCCAAATTATTATTAAATTAATTAAATTAGATATGAGAAATCAATTAAACTAGCACTTTTAAGTCTTATGTTCCTCATTAATTTGTTTTGTAGCAAATTTTTTTCTATTTTATTTTCTTAAAACATTATATCTCAGTTTCTGTGTTAAATACAGGGTGGTGTGTATTGTATCTCAAAGTTTGATTTGACAGATTTAACTAAGCCTTTTGCAAGCAGACTATTACATATACTCAGTGTTATTTTGCACTTCATAATTTCTTGGAATAATGAAAATTGTCAGAATTCAGTTTGTGCATACAATTAGGTACCAATAGGATGCCAGAACTGCAAGTACACATATGGCTGTTCTTCGGAGGACACTTCCAAATTATCTGATATGCTGTTTTAATGATTTGAAAGTTGGTGGGATACAATTAGGTTCCATTAGGATGGCACAAATGCAAGTATGGTTGTGCTTTCCGAAGACACTTCAAATTGTCTGAGGTACTGTTTTGATGATTCAAAGGTTGGCGAATACAAATAGGCTTCAATAGGATGGCACAAGTGCAAGTATGGCTGTACTTTTTTGGAGGACTCTTCCAAATAGTCTGATATGCTGTTTTGATGACCAGACTTTACCATCCCTCTCCCTAGATATCAAAGCTCATAATTACTTCCTTTGGGGTATCTGAAGAAAATTCAAGGTATTTTCTTCCTCTCAAGGGTAGAAAACCCCTCAAGGTTTCTCTAATAACACCGCATGCCTTCGTGGTGTTATTAGAAAGCACATTTGGCCAGCAGTCAGAAGATCCGAAATTCGACTCTCAAAGAAGACATAGCTGATTTTCTCATGTTCCCTGTTTAAAAATATTCTAAACAGACTGTACAATGGTATTCAAACTAAAAAGGCGGTGGACAGTAAATTTTCACCTCCAGGATTTGGCAATTGGGTCCCTTCCTCCTGAGTCACTCTTAAAGTGGGGAGCATATAAGGTATTTTCTCTCTCTTCATCATGTGCTTTCATGATGTAATTGGAAAGCAGTCAGAAGGTCTAGAATTTGCTTCCTGTGAGAGCAGAGTACATTTTTCATGTCTTCCGCTTCTGAAAAACCTAATGACTCACAAAGAGACTTTTTACACATCATTTGAAGAGGATTTAAGAAATGAAAGCTGCCTTTAACTGCACAATACAGTAGTGTCCTGCAAACTCATTTTCCAATATCTCGAAATTCTGTATAACTCAACAACTTTTAAGGAACTTTTTTAAGATATCTCTAGGCCAAACAGAGCAAATATTACATACAGTACATACACTGGTTATCATAAATTAAAGAAAAATCACAAAAATCACAATTACTGAAAAAGTTACATGTAGAATTTTATGAAACCCAGAATATACAACACATAGTAAGGTATCAAATACATAAAAAGAATTACCAGACAATTATGGTAGTATAGAAATTAGCACATGTATAAAATGAACAAATCGAAGATATCAGTTTGCTATAGTAAAAGTACCTTCAGTATGGAATATAATAGCCTCTAGAAGCAATACAGAACATTCAGTGATATGTGATGCTTTCAATTATGCGGTTGATCAGTTCCATAGGAAGCAAGAGCCATTGCTCTTGCGAAGAAGTTGCAAGCGCTGCAAGGATCTAAGAAGGCGGATTGACAGCAGCTAGATGTCTCCCTAAAGCATCCCAAACTTGCTCGATAGGATTCAAATCCGGGGATCAAGATGGCCACTCCATGCACATAATTGTTTCCTGTTGAAGATAATCGTACAATGGAGCCCTGTGTGTCTTGCATTGTTGTCCTATAACAGGAAAGCATCACCTTTGCCCCGGCATATGGGACACATAAGCATCAAGGCGTCATCTCTATAAACATGAGCATTCACGGTTTCCCTTGGAAAAACATGGAAGTCTGTGCGTCCACCCGAAGAGATGCCACCCCAAACACAGACACTGCCTCTTCCGTATGCATCTCTTTCATGGATATTTGACAGATGATAACGGGTTCCAGGCTCTCTCCATATCAAATAACACCTATTATCGCTTTCTAGAATAAACCTGAACTCATCCGTAAAGAGAATAGCCCTCCATTGCTCAGGCGTCCAGTGGACATGTTGTTGTGTCTGCTGCAAACGGTCCCGCCTATGGCGTGACTTAAGCGGCACGCAAATGGTTGTTCGCCTCGCATACAGACCACCTTCATGAAGCCTTCTACGCACACCACTTCTTTGCACACCGACCTCCTGGTGGCTGCAGCAAGGGAGGATCTAAGAATAATCGGAGTAGCGGTTCTATTCGTGAGTGGACATAATATCAAATATCAGTTATCGGCGCTCATTGTAGCAGTTGGCCGTCCTTGGCTGAACCTCCTAGGTGCCAAATCTGTGATTTGAAATAGCCTCCAAAGTCTATGAACCACAGAAGAACTCACATTTAGCCTCTGGCCACTTCTGTTTGACTTTGTCCGCCTCTAGTCTCCCAATGGCTCTCTATCGTAGTTCGCAGGCAATAATGCCTGGAGGTCATTGTTACGAATTGGCTATCTCATATTTTGATGTCGCTATCACAGTAATATGTGGGCTTGCTCTCAACATGGACTTTTTATGCTCCTCACAGATGACGCATTCCAGTTCAGGCCACTAACTTGCAATTGGAGTTTTAAGCTACTCTACTTGGCAGCATATTCAAATTTTACACGGTTTGGCTTATTTTTGAGGGAGTTATCGCTATTTTTGTGATTTTTTCCTTAATTTTTTATAACCTGTGTATAATTATTATTTATATGTGTGTCTTTCCTGTTCTGTGTTCTTTGAGTGTTCTTTTTCTGTAATTTTTGCATTGTGCCATTACTTCTTGGAACTGTCTAACAAATTTCAAGATGTGTTGTAATACTTAAAACACTGTTTGTTTCTATCAAAGATATGGAGAAAATCTGGTAGTGGCTGGCCACTGGCTAAAATTCCTTTCTGTTGCTGCAAAATGTTAAAAAACTTGTCTGAAGTTATGTGACTGCATCTTATTGGAAACTGAACTCGCACCAGTTCATTACAGGTATCGTTCTTCAGTTCATATCGAGACGTACAAGTGTTACATATGTCATAATTAAAATGTCGTTCAAAAGAAAACAAAACAAACTAAAATGACAAGGGAAATGAAACTAGATGCCTTAAAGAGACTGGCTAAAGGGGAAAATGTTAACAAAATTACCATGGATTTAGGTGTTGACAGACTACTTTGATAAGGGGGAAAATGAAGAGTTCTGAAATCGAGTCTTGGTGTGTGAAAAGAGCATGTACAAATAGTTAAAGGAAAGAAAAAGTATGAAAGGTGGTGAATATGAAAGAGTGAGCGAGGAGCTTTATTTGTGATTCAGGCAGCAAATGGAACAGGAAGCATTTATTTGAGGACCAATTTTACAAGACAAATCCGTAAAATCTTATGATGAATTTCAAGGAGAGCCTAGATATTTACTGCTAGTGCTGGCTGGCTCAAGAATGTGGTACCACCGCCCACAGATCAGTGGGCAAGAGTAGATTTTTTAAAATTCATTTACAGTACAAAGTCTGTAATTCGGTCTCGTCGGGACTTCAGTGATTCCGGATTAAGGGATTTTCCAGATTATAGATCATCAATTTAAATCTGGTAAGATGGCATGCAGAAATTATACAGTTAAAAATATGAAACCGTAATTTAGGAAATAAAGAGCAATTATGATCTAAAGGGTATCAAATTTTCAAAAAAAAAAAAAGCTTAATATTTATTTGTTTACTTAATTAAACATTTCTTTCAACGCGCACATACGTAAAGGATACAAAAAAAAAAAAAAAAAAAAAAAGTTTGTGGCTTTGACCCCCGGATTATGGATTATTCCGGATAATGGACGTCCGGATTACAGATTTTGTACTGTATTACTTGTCTCTATGATCATAATTTTTTATTTTATAGAATTTTTTAGTTAAAACATAATAAACATAATATCGCTCGCATCAAAGGGATAAATAGTTCTGAGTTCTGAAAAATCCACCCTTATTCCATAAAACTTGACTTTTCGGAAACTCAACAGTCTCTCAGTCCACATTATGTCAAGTTTGTAGGGCTCTACTGTGCTTGCTTTTCCACTGAAGATGCTGAGATTGAGAAGATGCTTTGAAAATATTGTAATTTAAATGCCCTCCAGATGGAGGGCATTTAAATTACAATATTTTCAAAGTTTACTTCCGTCTTTATTGTCCATGTTATGCACTACAGTAAATGCTTGTGTGTATGCAGTAAATGCTTGTGAGTTTCATAATCACATAAAGCTATTTTAAGCACTCAATATCTGTCTGTCGTTATTTAACTTGATAGATACACTATGGGCCTCCCTGTAGTTCTGAGATGATATAAATTACAATTTTAGCAATTTACTGAGGAACCATAGAATTTCTTTCTCCTGTGGTATAATTTGAGTAGATAACTTGAAATTCAATGTGCTTTCAGTGTGGTGATATCGTAGAACGACACATGCTCGATGGTGATGTTGTGTTATTCAATCGACAGCCATCTCTGCATAAGCTCAGCATTATGGCCCATAAGGTAATATCAGCTTTACATATTATTTTAAGCTATACATAGATATGTTTTTATTTTTTACATATTATTTAAATAAAATAATAATATCAAATCTTTTTTGTGTTCTGCTCATGTAGTATGATGCAGTGGTATTCTAGTAGTCTGCAAATATCTGTAATGTATGTTTAGTTTTTTAATGTAAACAAACAAAATTAAAAATTTTAGAATATCTTTTCTTATAAGTGAATGAAAATAAACTTTTTCAATAAAATGCATTATATTTATAACATAATTTGAATGAAGAAGGGAATTTACTTTATTATTGAAATTATTTAGCATTTTCTGCATCTATAGCACTCTTTTTTAAGATAATGAATGGGTATTTGACTGGAATGAATTTTGGCAAACTTTTTTTTTGTGTAAAATGAATTCTGTCTTTTAGGTGCTTATTTCTGTTATATTTTATTATTAATTTTCAGTTTATGGGATTGATTAATATTAAATTTGTGTACCAAGAATTTACCTACAACCTTTCACACATTGCATTCAAACTTAAATACACTTTGTAGCTGGTTTGTTTACATCCTATGCAATGAGCACACCTGTTTATATCGCAGAAAATAAGAATAGATTCTGAATAATACTTGTAAAGATTTTGTTCCATTGCAATTAGAAATGAAAAGGGGCTAAAGAACAATGTTCTATGAATAACGCATAGGCAGACAATAATGACAGAATTAACCTAGGAATTCTGTTTAGCAAAACACATATTGTTAGATTACATTAATTGTAACCAATGCATTAATTTATGTTTTCTTTCATTTAAGACTATGAAAATTACTTTGAAAGCTATTTTGATGGAGCTGTGCAATTTTTTAATACATTTTTTTTATACTTTATACAAATACTTCTTTAAAAAAAAAAAAAAAGAGGAAATATCTCTTCGCTGCATTTTCCCCCTTGCATTGGCATTTTCTTTGCATGCAGTTACATTTAAAAATTATAGTAACTTTATATTCAGTAAAAGTATTTCTTAAGGTGTGAGCGCATTTAAGTTAGTTATTTATGTACAGAAATCCATATTTAATGCAAGAATTAGAAAAGCAGAAATGTTATCAAAACCCAGAAAGATACAAACTGTAATTTTTAAAATTCATTAATCTGCACAACCCTTGGTTCAGAAGTGTCTAGATTACTGGAATTCTACTGTATGGTAATTTGTTCTTGTAACATATATTTGTTGTTTTATCAGTTTTAAATTGTTTTGTAGGCAAAAATTGTGCCCACTCGAACATTTCGATTTAATGAATGTGTTTGCACTCCATACAATGCCGATTTTGATGGGGATGAAATGAATATTCATTTGCCACAAACAGAGGAAGCTAGAGCTGAAGCTTTAATCTTAATGGGGGTAAGATCATTTAGGATTAAAAAAAGTTATTTTTCTTCTAAATTTATTTTTGCCAAATGTTTTTAAATATTAAATTTTTAAATATCTTTTTAGGTGCAATCAAATTTAGTTACTCCTCGAAATGGAGATCCATTGGTCGCTGCAATTCAAGATTTTATCACAGGTTGATTTTTGATTACTTTTTATTACCGAGAAGTTATAAGTTTAAACTATTACTGAGAAGTTATAGACTGTATGTTATAGACAGAGAAAGTATGTTGCGGAATCTTAATATGGCAGCAGCATTGCTATTGAATAGTAAAGTAATCATAAATAAAATTTTGTGAATGATAACAATAAACCTATCAAGATAATAAATAACCCACACTTTTATTAAAATTTACCATCTAGTAGTATATTTCAAGTTGATTTTATTATATAATGTGCAGTAGGATGTTTCACTGGTTTTATTCTTCAGTTGTTTTTAATTTTTTTTTTTTTTTTTTTTGTGAAGAAAAAGAAAAGGAGGAAAAGCTCTTATAACTTTTTTTCATACATTGCATCCTACGTATGTTTAATCTGCTTTTATTTTCCAAGGTGAATAAATCCATAGTTGCTGTTTACTTGCAAAGTTTAAATTTCTTTTTTGATATTTATTTTAAATTTAGGTTTCATTATTATTTTTCCTGATCCTTAAATTCAAAATTTTAAAAGAAGGAGTTATTCTGTGTTTAGTTATCTGACTTCTCTGATGAAAAATTACATTCCATGCATATAGAATTGATCTAAAAGAAAGAAGCACATTCAAAGTTTCATAGAAACAAGAGTTCTATTAACATAGTTAGGTTAAGTTATTTAAATATTGCAAAGCACACAAGGGATATCTGAAATGTTTACGTGGTTAGAAGAATATGGAGTATGTATAGCTAAGTTATAAATTTCTATGTGTGATCATTTTATATATCCTTTTCCTTGTGTGATATCAATGCGAGAGTCAAGTTTTCTTCTCAAATGTATCTCAGCATGGTTATGTTAATAGCTGCAGTAGCTCTTAATGTGTATTGCGTAAGCTCTTCCAGATTTATAGAAAGGAGAAAAACAAAAATTTGGTCCTTAATGTATCCCCTTAAGAAGAAACTGCACTGTGTTGAATCCGATTTCTTGGTGGCCAATATGCCAGGGCCATGTTCTAGTCTTTTCCACAGCCATTCCAGTGCTGAGGTAGATTTTTGTTCATATTATATTGTAAAGCAACATTATGCAACAGTAACATCATTTGTTTTGTATATTCACAGAAAAACAATTTTTTTCTTGCCTGATTAGTGGCCATCTTGCTCGACTGACATCAAGAGCATTCTCGATGTTGACATCATGAAAAAAAATTACAGGCTGAGATTCATTAGAAAAGATTTACTTTTTTTAAGCTAAGTCTTTATTAATTCTCAGATGTGTGTAATCCATGCTCAATTTTAAATGTAAACAAATAAAACTTCAGTTTTCAGAAAAATTCAGTATGGCAAATTCAACAGTACTCCCCTTAATGTAAGGAAATAAGTTTTAACAAAAACACATTGTATTGATAACATATTTTAGTTGAAGAAGTAAATATATTTTTTGTGGAAGTTATTTAGCAATTTTTGTATCCGCATCAACATTTTTTAAAGTAACACATTGTGAACCTCTAAATTTTTTGTGTTGGATAAAATTCTAATTTTGATTGCATATTCCACTGTCCCTGATTATTAACTATAAGTATATGCTGCATTAATTTTGAAATTGTATGGCATGGATCAAGAACTTATTTGTCTGCAATTTTTCAAATGTTGCATAACTCGTAATGTATTATGAAGCTGGTTTGTATACAGTCCAAATGAGCAATCATGTTTACATTGGTGGCAAATAAGACTAGAATGCTTAAAAGAAACACTTGTGAAGACTTTTCTTCCACCAAAAATGTATAACATGATAAAGGTAAAGTTTTTCTTTTTGTAAATCCAAAACTACAATTTGTAGCACTCTTTCGTTGTATTGTTAATCCTATTGTGCATGTGTGGAAGGTAATTACCAAAATAGCATAGGAATTCAATAGAGGGGGGAACCTTACTATGATTTATACCTTTATATTTATTATATGCTTATTGTATGCTTATTGTTTGCAATATCTGAAAACCTTTAAAATTCATGGCTGTCATCATAAAATTTAGCTATCGTTCACTGTACATATTTGGCTATGTATCATGAGATTTGAGACTAATGACTAGTTGTTCTGCTAAATTTTATTTTGCTTCTATCGCACACAGAGACAATTTAACTTGAATTCTATTAGTTATTTATTATATGTAAATCTATTTTTTGCATATGCTTAAGGCTTATCCAAGTCCTGAATAAATAAATTCCCATATATATTTAAGGCTTATTGAGGGCAGGCGCTAGATATCTTACCGCCTGATGCAGTCTCTGGTGGTTCTAAATTCTGCTACCAAGTGCCTTTCTTTGCCTCCCCTAAATTCTACCGCCTAGTGCGCCAATATGAGCCCTGGTGCTGGTTCTGGGTTAACATGAAGTTATTCTTTATTCAAATAGCACTAAATTTAACCTTTTGGCCTATGAGTATCATTAACAAAATCTATTTTTAGGCTATGGAAAAAATATTTGTTAAATTTTTTTCTTGTCAGTATTTCTTAGCACATTTAACTTAAATCTGTAATCATCGCCAAGCGTAATGCCAACATAAAAAGTTCCCACACTTTTTATTATTCAATTACTAACGTAAAAAAATTGTTTAAGCATTGCTACATGACTCATTACTCAAGTTGTCATGTGTTAATAAAACATGTGGTGATGAAATCAAAATGTACTAAATAATGATTCTCCAGGTTGGGCACCTGGGATATAAAATATTACTAGATGTAAAATCAACAATGTATCTATGTAGAATGGTTCGATTTGATATGTATGCCAAGCAGATACGCTAAGCAACGAAGCCAACTTATTGATCTTACAAATTTATGTTAAATGATTGTTTCTTCAATAACGAGGTATTTTATTTAGTGCCAAAGTGTAATTAAGAATCAGTATTCTCCACGTTTTATTATGTGCAGAGGGGGGGGGGTGAAATCAAATGCACATGCTTAAAGCATACAAAAAAAATGAAATTATGAAAAGCTAGTGGTAGCTTTGCTGTCCGGATTTTCGATTATTCCAGATATTGTACGCCCTGATCTTGGACTTTACTGTACATAAATCCAATTATTCATAGGATATATTTAAATTTTCTATTTGTAGTGTGTCTATTTACTGGAATTTATTAATGCATAATGGTTTCTGGAGTAAATATCAGTAGTATAAAGATGTGTACTTTCATTATATAGATGATGACAGTAACATAGTACTGTCATTTAATATAACTGTTCAATTTTATATTTTTAGGAGCCTTTCTTTTGACTCAAAAAGATACATTTTTTACAAGAGAAGAAGCACAGCAGATAATTGCTAGTATTCTTTCAAATGAAGATAGGCTGATGAGAATAGACTTACCGCCACCAGCACTTATAAAGGTGAAGCAATATAAATATTTTGTATGTTTGCAATGGGCATAATACCAGGGTTCTAAATTCAAGAGGGCATCTAAATATCATGGTTCAGTTTTCTTCTGAAGAAACTTTTCTTCTAGATCAGTGGAAAAAAACTAAAAGAAATTAGCAGTGATGAATTTTCAGAGTTGCTAAAGGGGTTAAATTTTTTCCAAAAAAATGAATTTATTATTTTTGCAAAAAATGCAAAATAATTTGGAAAATATAATTTCCTTATATTTGGACTAAAATGGAATTTGGAAAAAATTATTTTATTATTTCTGTAATAAATTGTGAAATAATTAATTTTTCTGAAAATTTTTATGTTTGAGTTCTTATTTATTTAATAATATGATACTTTATTGAACTGCTTTTCTCTCAAACACATGGTTCCAATAAGAGAATTGCACGCTTCGTTATATTGTATGCAGTTTATAAAGTTTTGCATGTACCATTCAGATCCTTTCAAGCTGTCATTGAAGTTGAGCAGGCAGATTAGGGCAGATTTTCTCTTCTTTTGGATTTATCCATTTAAATTATGGAATAAATTATTGCAGCAGCAAAAAGATTTCTTTTTTATTGCGGTATGTTACACTCTGATAATCCTGCTGCAGATTCAGTATTATGATAATAAACTGTCTTATTTTCTGATATTTTAAAATAAATCTGCCAATTCCCTATTCTTGTTTGTAAGATTTTTCTCCCTCCTTATTGCATGCTTTTGTGGTGTAATTGGAAAGCACATCTGGTTAGCAATCAGAAAGTCTGGAGCACAAGTTCCAGAAAGGGCACTGCACATTTTTCACATTTCTTGCTTTAGCAAAACCTAATGACTCTGCACGTTTTAGTTATGAACTGACATTTACCCACACAAGCTCACAGATGTCAAAACCCACACAAGCTCACAGATGTGAAAGCATTTTTCACAAAATTATGTGGATAGACACATGCTTACACCATTGAAGTTATTGGCAGACATGCCTATGCTAAATGTACATATAATGAAAATACTTAAAATGATATATAATATCATGATGTTATATATAAATAAAAATAATATGAAATAATTAATCAATCTCTTCCAACCAGTTTTCTCCACCATGGAAGAATCTTACTAACCCTGCTAAGAATATAGTTTTCCCAAAATCTTATTTTATCCTGATGCTATTTGCAATATTTTAAATCTTGTATGGTAAAATGTATCATTTTTGAAGTTATATGAATTAAATAATGTATTGGGTCATCCAGAACGTTCTGCGGTTTTTCAGATCAAAGTGTATTTTTTCTGATTATTTTGTTACTGCTGATAAATAGTGACTGTAATTGAAGTAAATGTTTAAATATGTTTTTTTTTTTTTCTCCTCACATGTAATTCTTGCATGCATTGTAGCATAATTTTTGTTTCAGTGCAGTGCTAAGAATGGAGAACCAAGAAGCTCATTTTCATTATATTATGCTCTTTTATTAAAAAAAAAAAAAAAAAAAAAAAAAAAAAAAAAAAAAAACTGCTTGTCAGATTGCCTGTAAAATTTATGCTATATGTGGACAAAGTGTTGTTTCTGATGGCACAGTTCAAAGGTGGTTTGCGAAATTTAAGCATGGAAATTGTGGCCATGAAGATGATATTCCCGCTCTTTATGACCATCCTATGTAAACAAAGTCCTATTTAAGAAGTTGCTGCTGAAAATCGACCTTATACAGCTCAGGACGTATCAGATGGAATATTTCAAAAAGTACAGTACATGACCATTTGAAGAAGATTTGGTTTGTAAGCTGCTTTGATGAATTATTTTAAAATAGCAGAATATGCTTGTTCGAGTTTCACCATGGGATTATTTGCTGGGAGAGGGAATATATATTGAGAAGGGGCTTTTGTATGGTCCCGACTACAAAGGAATTATGTAGTATGAATTGTTATTACCAAATCAGACTATAAATTTGGTAAAATATTTTTCCCAAATGGCAGTTTTAAAAGCAGAAATTAAAATAAAGGGCCCAGAACTGCCTATTTTTCAATGTGTTGTCATCTATCATACAATGCTTGACTCCGCATTTCGATGAATGTCAGACAAAGACTTGTTGAATATGGTTTGGTTTGCACACAAGGCTGTTTACCTCAGGGAAGAAATGCCTTTGTGGAGGACTTCATAAGGAAATTATTGAATATGACTGAAATTACTGAATTGCAATTGCACTGGGATTATTGAACACTTATTGAATATGAATGGGACGTTTAATTCACCTCCCCATATTCACTAGACCTTGCCAGTTTGGATTTTAATCTCTTCAAGTCACTTCAAAATTCTTTGAATGGCCTGAAGTTAATTTCATTGGAGACTGTCAAGTAGCATTTTAATAACTTTTTTATGAATAAATTTAATGACATTTTAAAAAAAGGAATTTTCCAGGTGCTGGAGAGGTGGCAAAAAGTCACAGAACAAAATGGTGCTTATGTGATTGCATGATTTTTTTGTACTGCTTCACTGATATTTATCAACAGAAAACTGCCAAACTTTCTGGATGACCCAATAGTTGAGATAAAAGTTCAGCATGATTGATTAGAGAAAATTTGCTTTAAACTGTAATCATTCAAGATTATGAAATAAGTTTTGCATGCAATAGCAAAAAATTTTCTGCTGTGTTTTATTGATTTTATGATGATGTAGATTCAGTTTTAAAATTTATTTATTTATTTTGTTATAAATTCAGTTTTGTTATCTGTTCTTTGTAAATTATATTAATTTCCTGCTTTTGTTATTTATACTAACTGAAATCTGATTTTAGAATCTATCTAAATTCCTTATATGAAAGCAGATCTTCAACTGTTTTTTTTTTTTTTTTTATGCTGTGGGAAAAACTTACCAGCCCTGCTAAATGTCAGTTTTTATTGCAGTTCTTATATTGAAATGTTTCTGTGATGCATTAATATATATTTCTCTCTTTAAAAAAAATTATTAGCCATATGTACTGTGGACTGGTAAACAAATATTCAGTTTGATACTCAAGCCTAACAAATCTAGCAAGGTGTTAATCAACTTTAGAAAAGGGCCTAAAGGAAGAACGAAATCACCATACACTACAAATGAAGAACTGTGTCCCAATGATACATGTAAGTATTTTGAAAGAAATTTACATTCTTAAGTTAGTGGGATACCATTTGGCATCTAAGTGATATGCTGTCTCAAGGTCTAATTAATTAGAAATGGTAACACCAACTCTAATGATGGAGACATGCTCATGAAAAGATTAGTTATTTTATTATATATTAAAAAAATTAAAAATCGGATGATGACATCACATGACTTCCTTGTATGGAATATAAATTATATGCATTTTTTGCTGCAGTTCATTTAAACTTATCTCCTCGAATTTCCATCGAGATAGATTTCTCGTTCAAAGAATTCATTTCTCTGTTGGCGAAATGACAAACATACATAAAATGTCAAAATATCTTCGTTAACAATTGAAAAATATAGAAAAACATAAAACACAAAATACAGTTAAAACAATTGGGAAAACTGATTATTATTAAAATCAGAGTTTCTATGCAAAATAAAGCAATTCGGCCAGCAGGTAAGAAGGCAGATTTTTCTGTGCATGAAACTGAAAGTCAAATATATAAGTTTATAAATATATGCTAAGTTTCAAATGTAAACAAATATGGCTGCTATGGTTTAAAAAAATAGTCTTTGCTGCACTTAAACAACTTTTAAATTTTTGATAATTCTATAATTATTCCTTCATATTAACTAAAGGCATAAAAACCTTTACCAGAAGATAAGAACATAATTCAATAATTTTTAAAGGAAAAAATGCACAATTTACCAGAATATAAGAAAAAAAAAAAGAGCTCACCGAGCCGAGTAACAGAGTTACGGAAAAAACTCTTCTGAATCCATTTTAAATCAATTTTATAATCTGTTTGGGAAAAAAGAGTCTTTTATTCTGTCCTTGCATACATATGTCGTGCAAAAACGTCGTTAAATTGCATTCGATAGCAGTTAAAATGGATATTTTCTTTGAAATATGGTACCCGGGATTTTTCGTGGTTTCAATACTTCCTTTACTTCGTACGAGGAAGTAAAAAGAGAAAATTAAAAGTTCACAAATAAGAACACATGTAGTTATTTCAGTTGATATGTTACAGTGATTTATTTTTAGTTAAAACTGATAGGATTCTACCAGCATGAGGTCTTAATTCCAGAGGTAAATAAATGGCTAGCTTGCCAGGAAGGGAATGTGCGAACCTTTGAATCAGCATATGCAGTGTAAACCTTTCTCTTCACACCATATTCTTTGGTTTCATTATTATTTATGTGCTTCGATAGTAGTGAATTAAGATTTCAGTTTTTGGTATTACAACAAATTCTATCAACATGATTGATACCTTCATCTCTGAAGAATTTAAACATGAGTTCTAATCATATGGCAGCTGCTAAACGGTAAAAATAAATCAATGCTCATTCTTCCTGATTATATGGAATTACAGCACTCCATAACTACTTGTGATTTTAAATAAACAAGTTACTACATTCAACACTCAATTTTGACTAGTGTCCCCAAAAATGAAAATTGATAGATGTAATTCTTTCTTAAATTAATGCATTCTTGTTATTCAGTGTCATTTGTTTACGACATCGGTCAGTCGCAGTCTGTATTTGGAAATGAAGGCTTATTAAAGGACTTTTTATAAGTATACATTGTTTTTATTGTGCACACAAAAGTGGAAAAGTGAGTAAAGTCTACCGTTTTTTGTCTTCTTTTCAATTGGAGTTTCGAGGAAAATTTTAAGTTGTATATAAAGCAATTTTACAATTTAAAAAATTTTACTGCCAAGTATCTTTAATTAATTTTTTTAATTAATGTGTAACTTGTCTAAAGTTGTTAGATTTTGATTAATTTCAGTTTATTAACATTTGATACATTGAGTTAAATACATGTCATTGCTTCAACCTTAAATAAAATTTCTAAGAAACTAAGTATGGTTTTTGCTATTAAAAAAATGTGTACCAACTGTTAAGATTCATATTCAAAATTTAGGTTTTAAACTGTATGTAAACTCTGCAATTTGTAATAGTGTTTCTATAGAAAAGCGTACACTTGAAACAACTTAAGATTAAGCATTTACTGATTAATTAGAGAGATATTTTTACTAAAATCCTAATAACTATTAATACTTAATCACTAACACAATTGTTACTAAGCAGTAAAACTGACATTGCTTCGTGGAACGTTGTCTTAAAATTGAGAAGAAATGAATTACGCTTGATATAAAATGTAGTAGTATAGTTTGTGCAAGCATATTGATTCAAGTAATGCATATTTATTATATTTAATTATTTTTCCTGATGACATTGATCCCCTTCCAAGTTATTGAGAAGGAATATTTATCCATGTCAAGTTATTTACATGAAATACTTATTCCAAATGTAATTGATTAATTTTTCTTTTCAAATAGAAAGGCTTATGTATCCTGTCAAAATATTTCTTAAAGTTGAATATTTTTAAGTTTTAACTTGTTAAAATATTACAGAGCAATAATTTTGTAGAAATCAAATACAGTCAAAAGTCGTTAATTCGGACCTCAAAGCTAAAAACTTTCTGCGCATGCGCCGCGTTGACGCATGCGCATAGGCGTTTACGCGTGCACATAAGACCTTTACGACTGCGCATATGTATGTGCACAAGTGCAGAATACGTTTTCGCATGTGCATTTAATATATAGTGGGTGGTATAAGCTAAAATTATCTAATTATCTATTTCAGTTAATGTTGATGATTGTGTTGTTCCTTAATCTTCGAACTAGATTCGCTTATTACTTTTTTCAGACTGTAAGAGCAATTTTATAAAAGTAAACTTGAACTTTCGATTATGTCAAAAAGAATATCCGATGCTGGAGCTCCCAATACAAAATGAAAGTATGTTTCGATGTCCATCAAACAAAAAGTGGAATTGCTGCAAAAAATGGATAAAGACATGAAGAAGGTAACAGAGAGGTTAGTGAAAACGAAAAAATTTCGATTGACAAGTTAGTCGGTATTCTTGGCACAGCAATTACGGGACTTGAACAGCGGAACTTTGTAACTGAACAAGAAATTATGTCTGTTTATAAAATTAAAGAGAAAGCATAAAACGAGGCAACTTAACCAACATAAAACGAGGCAACTTAAACAACTTACATTGAAAGAAATGCTTAATAAAGTAAACAAATAAATATTAAGCTTTCTTTTTATAAATTTTGATACCCTTTAGATCATAATTGTTTTTTATTTCATAAATTATGGTTTCATATTTTTAGTTTTAGAATTTCTGCATGTCATCTTACGAAATTTAAACTGATGATCTATAATCCGGAAAAATCGATAATCCGGAATCGCCGAAGTCCTGACGAGTCCGGATGAACGACTTTTGACTGTAGTAAAAAATGCAGTTATCTAATTGAGCTTTTATTTAATAAGCCCATCGTAGAATTTACTTATTAAAATAATAACCTATCAAAACTTATGACCTGTCCTAGACTTTTTTTTTTAAAGTTACTTTCTGACTAGTTTTGGGAAAAGTATGTTTTTGATAATTATTTTTAATTTGTTCATTTCATTGCTAAGTCTAAAAATGCAATATTAATTGAGAATGAAATGTATCATTTCCTGTATTGATTTGTGACTGTTATTTTTTATTATGTAAATTGGTAAGATAATTCTATTTGCTTTTTTTTTATATTTAAGTGTGCCATATCTTCTGTTGTCTTTCAGTTGTTATTATAAGAAACAGTGAACTTTTAGCCGGCACTATGAGCAAGCAGACTCTTGGATCAGGCTCAAAGACTACTATATTTTACATATTGTTGCGAGATTATGGTAAAAGTTATGCTGCAAATGCTATGTTGAGACTTGCTCGACTGTCTTCATACTTTCTTGGTAAGATTGAATCCTTCAACTTTGCTCTTTTTTAGTGTGTTAATTCATCATTTTCCCCCTCTAAATTGTTTTATTATTATAATATAGTAAAATTAGTAAATGCCTAAATAATACTAGTACATGCAGAGATTCAACATACATTTGCTAACTAATTCATTGATTCATTCTTTATTATGGTATTAAATGCTCAAAAATAATTGATAATAAATATTAACTAGATAACTAATTAGGGAGTTCACGGAAAACATTTTGAACATAAATATTGTTGGGTACTTTGAACAAACCGGCTGTGTCTTGTTTGTTCAACTAATCCTTTTTTTTTTTGATAATGTATACTATAGCAAAATTTTACTCCCATTTTGTTCAGGCGACTCTTGAAAACTTTATTTCTGCTCATTTTTTTCATCATCATTAAGAACTGTTTTAATTAACTTTTCTATTTGATTCTTGAAGAAAACTCAGAATTCTTAAATTTATCTTAAAAAAAAAAAGTTTTTTGTATTTAGAATAATCATGCATGAAAGGCAAGAATATTTATATTAGAAAGTAAAGAACCTCCCACAAATTTCTCTTTTGTAAGTCCATAAGTATTAGCATGTGTAAACTCACCAGTATTTTTTGCTGTTGATGGCATTAGAATGGCAACCTATGTTGTTTGCATAGCAAATATGCTTGAAAAAATTCATTATGAGGTTTTAATTTTGTTCCTTGAGATGGAGCAATTTTTTCACATTCTGCTTATTCACATTAATCTTTCATGCCAGAGTTAAAGAGAGTTCAGTTCATTTAATTGAGCTTCAGCATGGACACTGTGACAGTACTTCTTAGCAAATTGTCTATTCTAGATATTGCCACTTTGCATAACAATATAGATTTAAATTATCATTTATTTATGATAACAGCAGCATTTTTGGGTTTATCAAATTCGCTTGATATATTAAATTCTGAACTGTGATCTTAAGTTTGACTTACCTCATTTTTCATGAAGCATCTGGAGCGTAAAATACATTCTCCATGATTCCAAGATCAGTTAATGGTTGCTCCGTTCTGGTCATCCACACTAAGCTATTTTTAATGGTTTATAATCACTTGATAGTGTTTCTAAATGTTTGCTTATAACAACAAATTCTTTGCATTTAATATGTAAATCATAAGCCATGATTCAAAATGCTATAATTTTGCTGTATGCATCTGTATTATTTGTAGAATTATGTACAGGTGATTGATTGGAAGTGCAATTTAGCTTGCATATTCTTCCATTTAAACGAGTCATATGGTTTCAGCCATGTTTTTCCAGCCATTCCAAACATGGATACAGGATCACAAATTCTTGAGTCTAGCATTCAAGAAGATATTCTGTGTACCACTCTTTTGCCCTCATCAAATATGCCATATTATATTTATATTGGTTATGAATTTTTGCTAAAGCTTTAAGGGGAATAGGGTTTCTGGCTTAATTAATGATCTTGCCAAAATACACCTTGAACCCTTCTTCCTTCTTCATATTGCTGAAACACACCTGAAATGCTCTTTCTTATTCCCTGAATAAACCTTCGGGCATCCACATTCATCTGAGCCAAGAAGTTTATAATAAGTCACATAATAAGTAGTTCCACCATGTAGTTTTATAGACAAATTGCCATATTTTTAACTTAAAATCAATTAAAAAATGTTTGTGCTTTTGTGAACAGTTATATATATATATATATATATATTAACGTTTCTTGAGAGAAAAATTACTTATACACAAAACACAACACATATGCACTGCGTACACAATGTCTTGGGCTTTCTGAAACACAACTGAAAAGCATTTCTAGTTAAAATGCAATGTTGGGCGCATAATCTCTTGAAAAAAAAGATTGGTAGGAGATGTTAATTAGATAGCAAATTAAGTATTTCAGGAGTAAGCTACAGAATATAGTCAAACTGTGATAAAATTACTAGCAGTTTGTTCCCATCTATATGCATTATGATAAAATTAATTGAACTATTGCCATGACAAAAACCAGACAGCTGCACAAAGTAAATTAAATTCAAGAAAATGAAAAAAGGCTGAAATGATAGAACTGTACTTTGAACACCTTTATCAAAGCTAGAATTATTTAGTGAAATAATTCTAGTGAACTTTTATGTTTTGAAATCTTATTAGGCTTATTTAAATAGTATTACGAAGTTACATAATAAGTAGTTCCACCATGTAGTTTTATAGACAAATTGTCATATTTTTAACTTAAAATAAATTTAAAAATATTTGTGCTTGTATAATTTGCCTGCAGCGGAAACAAGCGACAGTTAGATTTCTGCAGGAAAATAATGTCTTATTTTAGAGACCTTAAGGGATAATTGTATTGATTCTGGTTTAAAGTAATCACTGCAAATTTTCTGCAGTAATAATAACAATTAAAATAAACTCGGTGGTGCAACAGCCCTAGTGGGCAGAGCCTGCAGTGCCCTGAAATCTGCTTTCTTGACCTTGGGCCCCGAAGTGCATCAGCATATGCCCTGGGCAAGTGGTCAGCTTGTCGAAGGACCCCAGGTGTTTAGTCCCCAAGCGAACTTGGTACTCATTTTAACCACCCATTCAAGGGATGAAAGCCTAAGTCAACTTTGCCTACTTTGCCTAGCCCGGAGATCGAACCCTGGCACTTCGCCACCGGGTGGTAATAGTAATAGTAATAAAGAAGCTCATTAATTAATAGGTTTAATAATTGATTTTCAGAATAAAAACTGAATTAAAATGATAAAAAATATGCATGTAATAATATACATTTATATAATAAGTTTTTGTTGGGGGACTATTCTTAAATACATTTTTTCCCCCTGTGAAATATCACCAAGCTGCACCTTGATGGTTGCTGTAGGATGTAAGTTCCCATTTTGTATAGATTATCATTCCCACTCGCTGTATTCCGTAGAGATCGATAATATTGTTAAGAGTACATACAGGGTGATCAGCGAATAAGCCCTGATTTCAAAATTAAATATCTCTCCAACAAAGATCGATAGAATTATGTGGTAAACTGCATGATCATTAGCAAAACTGTAAAAATGGTGTACAAAAGTTTAGAAAATTTAGTTACAAAAATCGTTAACAGATGGCACTCTGCGCTGAAAACTCTCTGAAAGGAGGGGGAAAAAAAAAAAAAAAAAGATGAAGCAACCTTTGCAATCAAAATACAATTTTTTTAAATGTTCACCGTTCGAAACAGTGAGGTGGCGTAAACGAACAATATAATTTGACATCACGTCTTGCAATTTCTCAATGGAAATGGAATCACATGCAATACCAATCAATGATTTAAGCTCATATAGAGTAGCGGGATTGTTTTGATAGATAGTGTCTTTCAATGCGCCTCGCAGAAATAAGTTACAAGGACTCGGATCGGGAGAGTATGGAGGCCAAGCTATTACTGTATCAGTAAATTGTGAATAATCTAACGCAATTATTCTATTCCCAAAATATTCATGAAGAAAGCGAAAAACTTTATCTGTTCGATGTGGTCGAGCCCCACTTGCATGAACCAGTTGATACCTGGTCGATTCTCCAATTCTAGTTGAGTGCTGACAAATTGTTTCAGAATTGTAATGTAATGTTCAGTAGTTATCGTTTCTCATGCGAAAAATGGTCCGATAATGCCTCTGCCGCATACCGCAGCCCATGCAGTAACTTTAGGCGAATGCAGTGCTTTCTCTTCACGTAAATGAGGATTTTCGGTACCCAAAAATCTCCAGTTTTGTTTATTAATGATTCCATTCAGATGAAAATGAGCCTCATCTGTGAACCAGATGCAGCTCACATCAAATCTGTCGTTGTTGACCATCGTTAGAATCTGATTCGCAAAGTCAACCCTTTGTTGCGCAGCTTTCATGGGTATGGCCTGATGAGTTTGGATTTTGTATGAAAACAGCCATAGGCTATTTTTAAATATTTTTTGTGTGCTCGTGTACTTCAAACCTGTCTCTGATGCCATCCATTGGTTGCTTTTTCTAGGATTTTGCTGAACAATTCCAGAAACTTTGGCTGCATTTTCAGGAGTGACTACAAATTGCCTAGGCCCAACATTTCCCTTTCGATCATCAGCCACGCTGCCAGTCTATTCAAATTTCGCGAAGAGTGAATGGTTTTCGCATCGTGGCCAATTGGAACAATGAATCGGTTTTGAAAACTGCGACGTGTTGCGGCAGGACTGTCTTCTAAGCAGAGAAATTCCAGAACCGAAAAAACACGTTATTCAATGGAATACATTATTTCACCTTCTACGCTAGCCTTTTTTCACTAGACAACAGTCATACTGATCACTTTTGAATTCAAAGCACATTTTTAAAGGCTATTAATAGGTAATAGCAATTAGAGCGCCATCTTTTAACAATTTTCATAACTAAATTTTCTAAACTTTTGTGCACCATTTTTATAGTTTTGCTAATAAACATATAGTTTATCGCATAATTCTATCGATCTTTGTTGTAGAGATATTTAATTTTGAAATCAGGGCTTATTCGCTGATCACCTTGTATGTATATCAGTAATTAGTAGGTTGTAGCATGTAGTAGGCTTGCTGAGTTGTAGTTGCCAGTAACATACTTATTGATTGGTGTGCTTCATTTGATTATTGCTTAGGCTATGTGCCTAAGGAGATGACTGCCTTCATGGAGAACTTTCTAAGGAAATCTGGCTCATATCCATATTACACATGGAGAAAACTATGAAAATGCCCTGCAGCCAGCCCATATGCTTGAATTCGAGCCCAAAATTAATTACCAGGGTTTAGCAACTTTGCTACTCATCCACTGTTGAGTCCTCTTGTATCATGACTTGGTACTTAAGCATTCCTTTATGTGCAGTATTACAGCTTCATTTTAATGCTAGGGAACTACCCTGAGGGGATATTAGTAGTTAGTTATGCTGACTGCAGTACAGAAGGGCCTGAGTTCAAATCCTGGAGAAGGCAGAGATAAAGGGGAATATGTGGCAAGTCAAAAATCTCCCAAGAAGATGATGGTTGAGAAAGAGGAGTGGGAGACCCTCGGATGCTTCCTCGTAAGGTTTTCTTCCTTGAAATTCCAAATTGGGATGGAGGCATAACAAGTTAGCTAGTACGGCAATACCTCAATTATCTCAATATTATAAAGGTGCTGGTCTAGCTTTTACTTGTACCTATAATGCTAGGTCCTAATTGCCAGTGTTTAGAAAATTGAGCAGAGAGACTGATCGGTCCGGAGCTATCAAGAAGCACAAAATGAACCAATATAAATTTAGCTATATCTCTCCATATGTGTGCTAAATTACATTTATATATTTATTTCATAATTGTATTTCATGCATGAATTTACCTTTTCGTTTCACCTCATCAATGTCATTAAATTTTTTATTTGATTATGTTGTATTTTAGCCAATCGAGGATTTTCTATCGGAATTGGAGATGTTACACCTGGTGCTGGTTTGTTGAAAGAAAAAGAAAAATTATTGCATGATGGGTAAGAAATCACATATAAATTTATTTACAAATATTTTAATCACTATGGGTATTATATAATATATACTACTTTGGATTATACTTTGCTATACTACTTTGGATTATCATAAATATATATAATATTATATATATTTATGATAATCCAAAGTATAGCACAGCATTAAAATATTTTATTAATATGAAAATAGTATAAATTAATGATTTTACATTTTGACCATTCTTACCTGTTAGATATGCTAAATGTGAAGAATACATCCAAAGTTTGCAGAAAGGAGAATTAGAAACTTTACCTGGATGTAATGAAGAAGAGACTTTAGAGGTTTGTATTATTTTTAAAGTTTGAATATCAACATTATCGGTTCTTTTGGGCTAGTAGTGAACTACTTGTGATTCTGTGCCAAAGCACCAAACGTAGTAGCCTGTTTATTTACACGCAGTTATGCAACAATATCATTACAGATAAGTGGGAAGAAAAACCATCAATTTTGTCATTTTCAGCTGTCCTCCTCCCCCCTATTTTTGAGTGCTGTTTCTCTTTTAAAGGAAAATATTAATGTTTTATGTGATCTGACAGCAATGAATGCTCTAATAATTAATGAATGAAATTCCAAGACAAAGGCATCATCGAAATTGAAAGTCAATTTTCAGAAAATAATAATATATATATATAGATATAACTTTGTTCTTTGTATTCTGGAGCACTGAAATAATGCTGTAACAAACATCAATGTCGCTAAAAGAAAGGTTTACAAAGCGAAAGATGGATTCAAAAGTTCGTGCATTCCTCTTTTCTGATAGCTTATTCAGTTTATTTACTTTTGATATTAATAACACACATTGGTAGAATTTTATCAGTTGCAATTTTTGATTGGAATAATTTTGGATTGAATAAAATAACCATGGATGGAATAATTTTGGATTTTATGAAGTTTTTCCATGATTTTGTTTGTTTGTTTGAACATATGTAGATTTACCAGTAGTTTGTTCAAATTTTTCAAGTTTCCATTTTTTCCAGTATCTGTGTAGATATATATATAGATATAACTTTGTTTATTAAAATAAAACCATTTTCTTTAAAATGTGCACTTCGTTTTAAATATCACAAACATTTTATTACAATGTATCCTGATACTATCAATAATATTAAACTATAAATTTCAACATTTTGGGTTGCAGTAATAATTTTAAATCAGCTTATAATGAAATTAGGCTTAATGGGGAAAATCACTGGTCCCGTGCATACATACATATACTTTTGGAGTGCATTTTCCTGGAGGAGCACTTTTTTCTTCTTTCAGTGATCCTTAGTTAAAAAAAATCATATACAAAATCAGTAAGAGGCTGATAGCTCTTGTATATATTGCTTTAATCGGTTACCTAAGAAAGAAAACATGTAGTTTTTGTCATTATCTTATGATATTTTATAGTTAAAAAATTTATTTATTGTAATGTAAATTCAGTCACTGTTAGTTTAATGATTTTGGGAGGTGATTGGTATATGCAACCACTATTGTAAAAGTTTCTACATTTATATAATGTGCCATATATGTAATAATTCTTAAATGAAGTAACATGGTCATTTTTATATATGCTCCTTTTGTTGCACATTAAGTTTCATTGTGGTATTTTTGTCTTTATTTTAAAATGTGTTGTGCTTGTGGGATTTGCTTGCAGTGGAAGGAACTGCAATAAAAGATACTCATTAATTGTAATACTTTGTGCAAAATAACTAAAGAGAATAACTGCTTTAAATCTAAAGTGATCAACACAACTTTTCCTCCAGAAAATAGAAACATATCTGATTGTAAGTAGGTTCACTAATGGATTTTTCCTGGGTATACCCAAATAAAACATCAAACATGTAATACTATTGTATGTAATAAAATTATAAATCATTATTCTTTTTATTTATCAAAATTAAAACTAGTCATTCTATTTCTTTTATAAAAAAATATTCCCAAATTGTGTCTGGGTGTGTGTTAATGCATAAGTAAAGGACTTTTTAGCTATTTTTGTTGTTAGCAACAAAATACTTAAAAAAAGTAATTTCGTTTAAAAAAAATATCACATTGAGAAATATCCATTTTACAGTAACTCATTGCAATGTGTCATTTATAGAAACCATGCTTATTTAACTGTCCATATCTAGACGTGAAAACTTATCTTCTAAAAATATTTTGAAATACAGTTGTCATTCATTATAATGATCCCTCACATCCCTCTGGAAAAGGTTATAACATACTATCATCAGTTGCGGGCATTTCTGTAGTGGTCTTTGTAATAGAATGGCCGTTATGGGGAGAATCTTTATTTCATACTGATTTGCTTTAAGAAATATATAGATATAATTTTTTTTATTTTGCTGTATTTTAGAAAGTCAGTGATTTAAAAGTCAATTGTTTCGCTTGAGTGAGGTCAATTGTTTCGCTTAGTCAGCTGCATATTTATGCATGTGCAACAAGCTTTCCTCATTGGCTGTGGCTTAAACACTCTTACACAGGTAGGAATGAACTTAACACCTTAAGCCATAAAGACGAAGGTGACTACAACTAAACCTTTAACTGATGCAGTTTTTGCCTCTTGGCCACTGTAAATTTGTGAATCTGAGATGGCTGTAGATTCAAATCAAGGGGACTAGAAACAATTAACGCAGTAAACGAGGGTCTCTGGTAAGTGAAATTAACATTTACGATGTAGCATTGCTTCAGAATGGAATATCAGCATGAAATTGTATCAATAAGTCATGCCAGGTTTTTGTTGGTGAGAAGTTAAGTATATGCCATGCTACAGAATAAAGTCTAATGTCATGACATGTCTGTATTTTTGATGTCATGTACAGGTAAATAAATTTTTACTTGTCATTTCCTGTGCTTGTATTCTTCCAAAAGAAATTTTTAACTGTAATTATTTATTTTTTTTTTGGGGGGGGGAGACTCATTGAGGTATGGCTTATTACCCTGCTGGTGTGTTTCTACTATTTAACCCTTTGAAGGGCACTGGTATATAATATATACCGGTTGTTTGTCAATTTTTTAACCTCCGAAAAAATGCTAATTTTTCTACACCAAAAGCTATAATCGTAAGTGTCTAGTATTTTCTTTCGATTCTAAATGGCAACATCACCCTATGAATGCTCAGTATTTTACAGTTATGAAATTAATATACGTCGTTCCAAGGTATCATGTTGGAAGATTGATAAATTCTATTGGAGGGAAAGAAAAAAATTCAAATCTGCAAATATATGACGTACAACATGCTGAATCTTATATATTTACTTCATTTCAGTCAGAAGTGATAATTAACAGCAGATTATTTATACGATTTTAAAAACTGGTATATAATATATACCGGCGCCCACACTGAGGGTACCACGCCAATAGATGGCAGCACCAGTCTTCTCCTTTTCTACTCTGTGACGTGACAGAATTTCTTTGTTATTATAACAGTTTATGATGTAATAAATTTCATGATTAACTTATAAGTCGTTTAGGATTAAATATTATGTTTCATGGAGGAATGGGGAGTTTTACTGACCCTGCGCTAGGACTGAATACAAGTAGATTAGTTTCATTTATTCTTTGTGTACTCAGCTCAAGTTTCATTCGTCTGTGTTTAGCTAAAATTTTTATTTCAGCACTTATCTCTTTCCCAAGAGAAAGACTCATCGATTTCAAAATTGCCGTCTGGGGTCAAAACTTCACACAATTGTGGGGGTTAAACGTGGCATGCTAGCCCCCAAAAGACACCTGTTGCTTCCTGTTTTCCAAAATCCTAGAATGTAAGAAAATGAAAAGAGGTGATTGACAACCAATTTGTCTTTCGGGAGCCAGGCCTTCTTCCCTTTGTGAAGTGTGATAAGATCACACAAAGGGAAAGCTCACTTAAAATGGAAATGTACTTAAGGTCCATCTCATAGTGTAATCACAAAAAATGCTGATTTGAAAGCATGCTTTTATTCTTTAGGGAAATTCTTTTTAATTCTTTGTTAATTTCAGATGAAAGACTAGAGAACACAAGAGAAATTTGCGCTCTGGTTGATACAAATAGGTTGTTTCGGAAATAAATTTTCACAGTTGGTGAAAGGAGGAAAAATATTTCTAAGCCCCGTTTTAGATGCAAAATGTTTAAACCATATTTATCCAAAAGTTGAAAAGGATCCCCTAGGTGAAGCCAAAGGGGTTGAAAATCAGAATAAGAGCTTTGAGGTGTATCAAATAATAAAATTGTTTAACGGTGTTTGTTCCTGAACAAAAAGATATATTACAACCTATATTTACAAAAAATAAAAAAGGGACCCTTACGGTCCTCCGTGATCTAAAGTGTGTGTGCGTGGAGGGGGGGGGGGCTGTTCTTCGTATCATAGTATGAAGCATGGTTTTTTTCACATATTATCTAAAGCATAAAATACAACTTCAAAAATGCAACATACTTTCTCAGCTGAGTCGGTCGTAGTGCTTCATTTTTCAATTTTTTAAAATTTTCGGCTAAGTTACATCTGCTTGTAATATTATACTAGTTCAGTCACAGCATGATACGATTTACACATGCAGTTTTATATTTGCTAATTTTTTTTTTATAAAATAATATTGAATTTAAATCAAGTTGAAGAGCTTTTTATCCATAAGTATGTTCAGCTGGGTTGCATCATTAAAGAGCACAAAAACATAAATTTTATTTTTAAAATTTTCTGCCGAAATTTAAGAAAATTTTGTCTTTAGACTTACATAACTATATTCAAGCACTCATCACTACAGACGCACATCAAAAGTACCCAAAATTAATTTAAAAAACAAAGATTAACAGTTGGCAACTATCTGGAAAAAAATGTCCTAGAGGGGCGCCGGTATAAAATATATACTGGCTCTCAAAATTCAGGGTTTCGCTCTAGAATTTTTTTAAGTCTCAATTTTGTCCTTAGGGTCCATAAGTTATAGTTCATGCAAAATTTTACCACAGTTTAAATTATATTATATACCGCCCCTCAAAGGGTTAAGAAACTTGGTAGTATGTTATTTTGACGAGAACAGCTGGCATTGCCTGTGCTGCTGTTAGCTGGTTTTCAGGGCTCAATTATAGAATTTTTTTCTTCCTAGTTTTTGATCAACATTCATAAAAGATATTATTTCTAAAGCCATTTTAAAATTCATCACCAAATATTGTAACTTAGTAAAAGTAATTTTGTTTTCATCAGCAGCTTTAAATTTTATCAGTCCTGTGCAATCAAGTTGGTCTTTTATGTGCTGTGGTTATTTACAGCAGTACTTTCATTAATTTGAATTATTTTGAAATATTTACATTTGATTAGGATAGCTGTAAACAGGATATAACATTTTTCACATTTGTGCACAAGATGGTATTCTGTGTTCTTCCTATACTGAAAATCACGAAGAAATGGAAAAAATATAGTCATGCTGAAATTACTTTATCTCTAAATATTTCGCGTTTATCAATGAAATTTTTGAATGCTTTTCGGATTGCACTTAGGCCATATTGGCAAGTTTATTACTTATATTTATGTTCTGATTAGTTGGTCTTTATATATATTTATAAGAGACATATTTTTATTTTCAGAATCTTTCAATGATAGAGTTGAATAAAAGATGCTAAGTTAATTTTGTTAAAGCACTGAAATTCGCTTAACAGAAGCCATTTCAATTATTTTGTTATATATCACAGAAATTCTTCCAAAACACAGATAAAGTAATCACTTTAATAAAATACAATGTGAGTACCAGAAAATTTGAAGTTATTCAAAAGTTATTTGCTGAGGAAACTGGACCATGGTACCAAAATTAAACTATATGTTTAAATGTGTTTACTATGATTGGTGTGGGCACTTGCCAATCTTAGAAGCCTGTAGAATTGTTTTGTGGTAAAGATCACCCAAAACTCAAAAATGAATTTTTCAAATCAGGCAGGAGCAGTTACTGTGTTAATATTGACGAGACACATTTAACGCAATATTGCATTGCATGAAGGAAATTTAAGCAAATATAAATTGCTGCACAAGCAGAGTGTAACAACTGAAAGGGCTGTATATTTTGCATACTTCGTTACAAGTCTCTGTCATTAGTTCTTAACACATGCCTTTGAATTCAAAAGATATGAAATGGATTATGTACATTTACTTGTTTGCAAGTGGCAGCTTGAATAGGGATTCAGATCAGGTTAATTATTTGTGCTGATCCAGTGAAATTATGTAATTTATGATTGATGTATTTATGTTGTATCAAACAGAAATGTTTTGAATTTTTAGTAAATACTTTATTTTTAGATTGTATTATTTGAAAAATATGCAGCCTTTTTAGGCGAGGTGAGGAAATCTTTTATTATGTGATAAATTTTAATCTAGCAGACTAACAAAAAAGAGGTTTCTGTTAACGTATATAAATGAATTGTTAATTTTTTTTTTTGGGGGGGGGAAGGGAATTGCTTTCATTAAATTTAGAACCGAAAAAAAAATCGAATTTGAAATGATAATAGATAATTGTATGACTGAACATTTAAAAGGTCTAATGCATTAAAATTTGACAACATGTGTTAAAAAATTAAACTTCATATAAAATTTCCTGAATTCCTTGACTTAAATATAAGTAATGTTTCATTAAGAATATCATGTGTAATTTTTTTTTTTTTTTTTTTTTTTTTTTTGTATATAGGGTAAAATTATGGCTGAATTATCTGCTATTCGTGAACGGGCTGGTCAGATATGTCATAAAGAACTGCATAAGACAAACAGTCCTTTGATCATGGCCCAGTGTGGATCTAAAGGCTAGTAAAAAAATATTAATTTTTATGTACAATATTTTTTTAGATTTCATTTTATTTGGAATATGACTTTAAATGTTAAAAAAAATTGTATAGGATGTGGAAATTAATGTTAAAAAAAATTGTATAGGATGTGGAAATTCAAAGGATTTTTTTTTCATTACTAAACTCATGCTGTTGTTATAACTGTTAGTGGTACAGTATAACTAATTGCATTATGTTAATTAAAATATTGCATGCTTTTTAGTTTGTAGTATTTTTTAGATTCCATTTTATTTGGAATATGATTTTAAATTAAATATATGTAAATGTGGAATTTCTAAGGATGCTTCTTCTTTTTTTTTTTTTTTTTTTTTTTTTAAATCAGTCTTTTTGTTATATGTTATAACGGTTAGTTGTACAGTATAATTGATTGTATGTGTTTGGCTTGCAGAAACAGTATTTACTGCTTCTCAGTAAACTTGATTCATTACATTTTTCTAAAATCATCTTTTTGCACAGTATGTCCACCATTTAATCTTGAACCTTTCATTACTGGGAACATCAGTTGGTCATACTAAACTAAATCCTAAACTAAAACTTAACATTATCAACTAGAAAAATCTTCTGTGAAATAATTACAATATCCTTGCCCATAATAAATTCATCAGTCAATAAAACATTAACATATATTATTCTGTTGAGCTTGTATTCTATATTTCTGCTTGAGAAGTTGTAATCTTTTTAATAATATACTTACTGTAGACATTTTAAATTTCTTAAATGCAGAGTCAGGACAGAAGTGAGGCAAGTGAGGTAAACAGTTAGAAGGGGCACAAAATTAACTGTTCTAGAAATTTATATTAAAAATAAACTAGCTGTATTAAATGAAGAATTAATGACATCAATTTCTTCTCAGAGGAGTTATAATTTCACAGTTCTGTATGCCTTATTTTTTAACATTACAATTTATTGTTGCAACTAACATATTGAAGTTGATTTATGTTTCTTGTGATGAGCTTCTTAGACTAAACCTGCCTAGGAGATACCACATGGCTGATATCAGTAATTTTTTTCTGTCTGTCTTTATTATTAAAGACAGAACTCTTACTTCACCATAGCAAGTTTCCCATTGGCCTAAAATTTGTTTATATTGACGTACTACACAGAAGTTTGTAGGAATGACATCTGGAGTTGAAACAAGGATGTTTAAAAATTAAATTCATTACAGTACCAATATATTCTCATATAAAGTTTCGCTTGTTCCTCTGTTCGTTATAATGTTGACCATTGGATGAACAAACAGATTGCATTTCTATCCCATTGTGCCGTTATTTAATTTCTTTGAGAATCATGCTGGTGGTGTATTTACATTGTTCCTGGAATAGCTACAGTTGTTGCTAGATCAATTAAATGGATTACCACCTAAGTGTAATTTTATTCTTATATCTGATGTTGAAGTGAAGATGAGAAGTATTTTTAGTTTTTGCTGCGTGGTTTATAATAAAAAAAATCGAATTGTTTATTTATCGGAGAAATAAAGGAGGAGGTTTATTTGTTTACTTGTGAAGGAGCAGCCTGCCCACCTGACTGCAAGCTGTGTGACTTAATTAAGTTATCCCAATAAAGAAGGAGCTGTAAAATTTTGAATTTTATGTTTCTTTATTTTCCTGCTTGTTCTGAGGTAACTGATATTGAAACTGTAAAAATACCAATATCCCACCAACATGAGAAAAACTGAAGGAAAAAAAAAAAAAAAAAAAAAAAAATCCTAATTACCAATAATAATGACCATAAATAAACATTGAAACATGTAATAAAATATCAAATAAAATATTTTTATTCATTTTTTTATTAAAAAAACTAAAATGTTGATAATATTCAGTAATAACTAAAGAGTTATTTGTTCACCATTGGGCAAGTTTATATTTATAGTTTTATACATGTTATTTGCATCAAAATTAAGATTGCAAGAAACCAAAAAGGTAATTAAAGCCTTGCAATCAAGAATTGTAACTATATGTACAGCTGCACTCTTAAAAATACAATTAACCAGTGTTCAAATATTTATGAAGCATGAATTTTTTTGCATATGTTTCATAAGTACAAATAAGTTCCCCTTATAAAATGCTCCATAAAGGTGCCCATTTGTTACACAAATAGCCCTCATATGAATTGCAAAAGTGAGGGAAAAAAAAAAAAAAATACTTTCCACTTGAGTTAAAAACTTACAATATTTCTGGACACTAAGCATCAATAAGTTTAGATCTTAAGTTAAAACACAAATATAGTTTAATTTAGACATATCAGAATTTGAAAATTGGCTTTAAGAATATTTTATCATTGCCAGTTACTGTTGCTAGTAATCAACAAATTAAAAATAATAATAAATAAATGTAAAAAAATTTAAAATAATAATAAGTTATACATCTTGGTTAAAAATATCAATCATGGCAATTCTTTGTACAGAATATGAATTAAATAATGAAATAGAATGAATAAAAATATTGATGTTTTCTTCCTTAAAGGCATGAAAAGTTATATTAATAATTGTTGAATAAATCAAATGCTTCACATGAACTTTGCTATTTATCAAATAGGTAGTTTCTAACATTTTATATTTTTTACTTCCTTGTACGAAGTAAAAATGAAGTATTGTAATCGCGAAAAGTTTCAGGCATCATATTTCAATGAAAATATCCATTTTCATCTCTATCAAATGCAATTTAATGATGTTTTTTGCATGCCATCTGTACGTAAGGACAGAATAAAGGACTCTTTTTTCCCCCAAAAAATTATAAAACTGATTTAAAAGGAATTCTGAATTGAAGAATTTTCATGGTGTCTGTGCATACATACGTATATTGCATAACTCCAAAACGAATATCCTCAGAACGTTGAAATTTTGTGTATAGAACTGATATAACATGTAGATATATACCTCTTATTTTGGTTGCAATAGTGCACACTAAAAGTATATAAATATATGTATATATATATATCCACTCTGTTACCCGTCTCAGTGAGCTCAGTTTCTTTATTCATATGTGCTGTAAAATTGTGCATTTTTTGCTTTAAAAAATGATTGAATTATGTTGTTTTTATCTTCTGGTTAAGGTTTTCATGCTTTTGGTAAATCTGCATGCAATATTAAAAGGCAACTGGGAGTTTTGGAGATATGTTTTCAGTGTTGTAATTATTTTGCTGGAAATCAGTGCAGTATATGTTTTAATGGTTTTGTTCAGATAGAGTTCTCTAGTGAAGTAAGCTGTTCCTCCTGAGATTGTTCCAATTTCAGTTCATTCTTGAATATCGTCATTCTTTGATACATCATTTTTGGGTACTTTTAACCTAAGCAGGACTTTGGTTTAGTTTTATGTGATTATGGCAAAGTCTCGAGGGCTATATGCCTAAGAGGAGGGGACCTTCGTGGAGATCTTTCTAAGGAAAACTGGTTCATATACACATTACACATGGGGAAAACCACAAAAACACCCATGGAGCCAGCCTGTTTGCTAGATTCCAAATTTGGACTGAACTACCAGTGTACAATGACTTTACCGCCTGGCCGCTGGTGGGCTTTTAGCACATCTTATTGAAACTTTTAGCCTTTAACAGTTCATTTAAAGTGAACATTCATACCCAATAAAAATCATTTAACTTGATTAGTGTTCTTATTTTCAATTCAAATATCACACCTTACTCTTTTGTTCATTTTTTGATTAAATAGCCTAGACCAGGTGTTTTTAACTCCGTGGCCATGAAGCTGGTTTTATCCCCCCCCCCCGACTGTCCACTGTATACCATATCAATATCAACTGTGGCTAACCGGTGGCCCACCATGATTAGCAGTGTGCATAAGGATGGGATGGTTTTTAGTGATTTTTATGTACAGAATTATTAAAATTACTACCAATGCATGGGCAAACAAGAGGAGAAGATTAAAAATTATGCTGAAGAAATCAATATGCCTTTACAAAAGATATTAGCAATAATTACTGATGGCACTCTATCAATGGTGGGCTGCATTAATGGATTCATATGTCACTGCAAAGAAGATGCATCTTTCACATTCTTCATGAATTATCATTGCATTATTCACCAAGAAGCATTATGGGCTAAAATATTATCCCTTGAGCATGTCATGAATTTAATTATAAAAATAATTAAAAAAATTTGAACAAATCCTTTGTAACACAGAATCTATACATCAATTGCAGAAGAGGGCGATTCTTCAAAATCTGATCTTATTTTAGACACAGACATAAGCTGGTTAAATACAGGTAAAGCTCTCGCATGACTTTTTGAGCATTTAGAAATGATTAAAAAATATTTCAGTTCAAAAGATGAATATTATGAACAGTTGGATGACCTTCTCTGGTTGATGGACTTGATATTTTTAACTGATATTTGCAAAAAATCTAATATTTTAAGCCTTCAACATCATGGGAAAAGTAAAGATCTGCAATTAATAGTTTGAAATCAAAATTACAATTCTGGAAAGAAAATTTATCAAAAAGGTTTCTCGATCATTTCCCACGAATGAAAAAACATCATCGAGTAAAATTCGTTTCACCCAAATTTATTTATTGGTCACCTTCAGAATTTATTTATTGGTCACCTTTTGGAACAATTCGAAAATAGATTCCAGCAGTTTTCAATTATTGAGCTAATGGCTTCATTTTTTGTAAACGCATTCAATCTTCAAATTAATATTTCTAAAGTTGAAAATTCCATTGGGAAAATTATTCAGGAAGAAACATCTTCAATTCAAGATGAGATTTTTAAATATTCAGACTGAAATTGTATTAAAATTGTGTGGACTTAATGAAAATATTTGGAATCTAGCTGAAATATCCCCTTTTGAAAAAAAGGAGCTTACAAATTAGAATCCTGTTTCAGTTCCACATATTTATGTGAATCGTTGTTTTCAACATTGAATACAATTAAATCAGCAATCAGATGTCGACTTAATGGTAGCAATCTTGAAGATGCTATAAGATTTGGAAATATCATCTTATATGCCTGACTTTGAAAAATTAGCGGAAAGTATGCAATGCCAAAAATCACATTAAATGTAACTATTTTGAATTGTTTCCTTTTTAGTGTAAGATATTGTTTATGATGCTTATGATTGCAATAAGATAAAGAAATATTAAGAATTGTTATACTTTTTTTTTGAACTGCACCCACCAGCAATTTCCTATTTGTCAGATGTGCCCAGACGAAGAATAAGGTTAAGAATTCCTGGCCTAGACCACTTCAACAGGCTGTGTGGGTCATGAATTGGACATACTAGCTCCAAGGAATAGTTCCTAATGACTGTGAAAAAATTCTTATTATTTTACTTCTGTGACATTTGTTCTGTCTTTAACCATTAAAAAAAAAGTTTTCTGTTTGAGTATATTGATTCTGCTTGATGAATTGTCGTATTTTTATAATTTTAAAGGATCTAACATCAATATCAGTCAAATGGTTGCTTGTGTTGGACAACAAGCTATAAGTGGTCACAGAGTTCCTGATGGTTTTGACCAACGATCTTTGCCACATTTTAAAAGGAATAGTAAGTTTCTACATGACAACTGTACTATTTTTTGTTAGTGATCTATAAACGTTTATTGAAATTATGTTTTTGTAGTAAATAGTATTCAGCTTTTAAAAATTGTTTGTACAAAACATGAGTTTAAATTTTCTTTTGTTTTATTTCAGTATTAAGGTGAACTATTATTTTGATTGAATTTCAGGTACTTTTATATCATGTAATGCTAATTTTTGTTGAAAATTTTTGCAGGTAAAACTCCTGAAGCTAAGGGTTTTGTTCAGAATAGTTTTTATTCAGGGCTTACTCCAACTGAATTCATATTTCATACAATGGCTGGAAGAGAAGGTAGCTTTTTTATTTGAAAATTTTCGAATATTGTTAGATCTTTCCTTTTTACTCTTTTTAATGGTGAAATAATCATAACAGGTCTTGTTGATACTGCTGTGAAGACAGCTGAAACTGGTTATATGCAGAGACGATTAATTAAAGTGAGTATATTTCATTCATGAAATTTAAATGGTGTCTTTCATTGTAAATCCTTAATTTTTTTTTTTTTTTAAATATATTTAATGACTAAACAGTTTGAAAAATAAACCATAACAAGTGGGACACTGAATTTATTGTGTTTATGTATTAAAAAAATATCTCTTTTAAATCCACCTGCATCCAACCTGGTATGTTCTGAACTGTATTGATTTTGTCAAGCATTTATATGCATAGACAATACTTATAAATTTGAAATCAGTAAATCTGAATGACAGCATATAATCTGAATTTCCAAAATATTAGTTAAAAAGAGATGTTAGTAAATTTCACTAATCTGAACTGCTTGTGTTCAGGTAATTTAAGAAGAAAGGGGAGATATTAGTTATTTACAATCATAACTAATATTATTTCTTAAAATATTGCTGTTTGTGAGTTTTATTGCTGTCTGAGCATGCCATGTACTTTTGATAAAATGCTGTCTGGTGCAGTCAGTTTTGTGTATTCCTCTGTTATGTAGAACTGTTTTTTCATCCATATCACTGGCCATAATTACTGGATTTAAACAATTAAACAAAAACAAAAAAAAGTATATTATATATATATCAAGGACGAAACACGATGTCTGAATGGTTGAAAAGAGGCTAAAATAAGCTAATTCTCCGTGAAAAGTCAGTATTGTTTCATTACCTTTTCGATTGTTCAGTTTTAGGTACTTTTCTTTGTATAATTATTATTAGTAAATTTTACATCATAATTTTATGCATATCCACTACTGTCAGCTATTCAATTTAATATTTGTTTTACTGCTGTGAGTGTGTATGCTTTTTTATCACATTGCTGTCAATGTATTGCATTACCAATTTTTCCTTTCCTAAATTATCAGTACCTAATTTTGTGTAGTTAATTATCCACAACTCATTAATTCAAGATCTACAATATTTGCCACGTGCACCGGCCTATAAGATGCACCCCCTTTTTTATATGCATTTTTCAAGGATAAAACTTTTATTACTGATCATTACAATGAATTTACAGTATTTTAAATGTAAAGTAATACAAATATAAAGTAATACTTTCTGCAAATACCTAATCTGTGAGTTGCTTTTTTTATATCCTCTTCCTGATTCTGCCAAGTTCTTATCATTTTCTTGGTTGAGGGTGGCCCGAAATGCCTCTCTGCAGCCCTGTTTCCATGTTCTTTAGCATATGCAATAACACATAGCTTGTATGCTATGTTATAGCAATGCCGACATTGTTTTTTGAGCCATAACTTGCCAACAAATTTAAGAAAATTGAACAGTAGAAATTTCACACACTTAAAAGTTGTTCAGAAAAATTGGAAGCTTTAAATGCACCCAGCTGTGATTATCGATGATAACGCATGCGCATTCACTGAACTCTACATAACTGTAATATTCCCACACTCCGCAAGGAAACAAGAAAAAAATTTGCATAACTCTGAATAGAGGAAATTTCTGGAAATGAATGTAATCAAAAACTGAGCATCGACATATAAGACGCAGTATTGATGTATAAGACACACCCCGTTTTTCAGACCTATTTTCAAAGAAAACGGTGCATCTTATACACCAACAAATGCAGTACTTAACAATTTTCATATGGCGTTTTGCTATTTGTGTAAAATTTGGAGTATTATTTTTTAAAACATGAATTTCTTACTTCTTTTTTCATAAGCTTTCAGTATGGTTTATTAATGCATATTTTTTATAACAAGGCAGGAGACATTATTTTCATTTTTAACTTTGCATCTTTCAGTCACTGGAAGATTTATGTCTTCATTATGATTCAAGTGTTCGAAATTCTGTGGGTGAAGTTGTGCAGTTTGTGTATGGTGGCGATAGCTTGGATCCTGCTTCTATGGAAGGAACCAATAAATTTGAAACTCAGAAGAAAAAAGTAGATGAATATTGTATAAAAAAGGATGATGATCCTCCAGAGGAACCTGTAATTTTTGAACGTGCTCTCTATCACATTACAGTAAGCAATTAAAATGATTTTGTTACTATTTTTTCTGACAGTTTAACTAGTATTTATACAGTACAAAGTCCGTAATCCAGACTTGTCGGGACTTCGGCGATTATGGATTAGGGGTTTTTCCGGATTATAGATCATCAATTTAAATCTGGTAAGATGGCATGCAGAAATTATACATTTAAAAATATGAAACTGTAATTTAGAAAATAAGATCAATTATAATTTAAAGGGTATCAAATTTTACAAAAATAAAGCTTAATATTTATTTGTTTACTTTATTAAACATTTCTCTCAACGCGCACATGCATAAAGGATACACACACACACAAAAAAAAAAAAAGTTTGTGGCTTTGACCTCCGGATAATGGACATCTGGATTACAGACTTTGTACTGTAGTATTATATCTCATAACCTTGATGTCAAAGGTCTAGTATTTGACCATAATGATAAACAATTTACCATATGATAATTTTATACTTTTGTTAATTAAATTCAAGCTTGTATTTAAGAATATCTGTATTTTTATTTTAGGCAAAGTATCCATGTCCAGATGAATTACCTTTGGACCCAGAAACTTTAATGTTCTTAAGTGCTGAAATTATCAATGAAAATTTTATGGATGTTCATGAAAATTATGTATCACAACTTTGGTAATAATTATTTTCCATGTTCAGTTCGGTTGTATCTGCCATATCTGTAATCTCTTCGATATGATGTCATTGTTGAAATCAAATGATTGTGTAATATGTGGTACAAGCTCTTCAAACTGAGAATTTTCTGCTCTGTCATAAGTTAGATCTTGCACCATTGATAATATTCTAATGTTTTTTTTTTTTTTTTTTTTTTTTTTCTTTTTTAACTTTTGTATATTCTTATGTGTAAGCCAAGACATTTTATCACATCTTTTATTACTAAAGTTTGGAGGGATAGCTTATATATGAGTTCAAAATATATTATAATTTGACCACTTAAGTAATACTAATGTTTTTATTGACCACAAAAAATCGCTCTCCTCAAATCTTCTTTTGTGATGGATTTGAACTTTAGTACCAACCGTCCTTCTAAGAATTTTCAATGACTGAGAGTTTTCCAGTGAAATGCTGGGGGTATTTCTCACGAAAAAAGAACTCATTTGCTGGCTATTCTTCTTAAACTCTAATTATATAGATGCTTTTGTTATTGTTGAGGCTAATATGTCTCATGAATTACCGAAATTCCACACTTTTGGACCTTATTATCTTAGAATTCTTCCCAAAATGAGAAGAATCGCTATGGTGTTTTGATTGGTGTAAAGAATGGCCTTATTTCTGATTTTCATGAAGGTAGTGATCACTTCTTATGCAATGGAGCTGAAATAGTAAAACTGGATGTGTTCAAATGGAAGAAACACTTTAAAATTTGTGGTTGTTACAGTCCATCCAGTAACACCAAACTTGACATTGGCTCCTTGACTCTCTCCAGTAAAACAATTCTTTGTGGCGATTTTAATAACCATAGTCAACTTTGGAATTATAAAGACACAAATTTTGCTGGATTGGTGATGAAAGGAATTCTGATAAATTGGAGCTTCTGTATAATAATTCAGACATCCCAACCTATCTGCACTATAACGGCAGTGGAACCAATCTGGACATGACTTTAGTTTCTACAGACATTTCTGATGTTGCTGAGAGAGAAGTAATTTAGGATCTTGGCTGTGGCCATCGCATGACTGTTACTACTTTCAATTTTACCTCTAAGAAACCAATAAGGAATTCTGTTAGACACAGATGGAATTTTACTAAAGCTAACTGGAAAGCCTTTACTCTAGATCTCGAATCTGTTTTTGGATCTACTTCTAGTTTCTGTGAAACAGGCGAGGGTATTGATTGCACCTTCTCTAGATTTACTAATATTGTTTTTGATATTGCAAAAAAGTGGATACCGAGAGGCAAGCAATTTATCTATAAACCTTTCTGGAATGAAAGTCTTTCCATTCTTAAAGAAAAATTTTCTATGGCACGTACTGCTGCTGAACATTCCAAGAGAGATTTGAGGATATTCAATACTGGAGAAAATGTATTGCTATCCTTCGTAAAGAAATTCTTTCTTCTAAAAGAAACTGTTTCAATGATTTCATTTCTAAAGTTGACTATAAGAAAGATGGCAAAAGAGTTTACAACTATGTGAACAAATTACAGAATAAGAAGATTGCATCTACTAGAGAGCCGTTGAAAATTGGTAGTCATGTTTTAACTGATGACAGAGATATTTCCAATGCTATTAATTCTTTTTACTCTTTACTTTTCTGGACAATGCTTGAGGAGAGACTTTAGGATCCAACATAAGTTTATTAGATAGGAGCTTTGTCACTCTGCCTCTTCCCTAAATTGTGCACACAAGATTTTATATCAAAACTTTAATACAGCATAATTTATAGAAGATATTAGACATGTTAGGAGTGGCAAGAGCCTTGGTCCAGGTAATTTCCACCCCGATCTCCCGAGACACTGTGGCAAAAATGCATTCTCTGTATTATTGGAGCTCTACAACTGCAGTTAGAACACTGGTGTTCCATCAATTTGAAAAAAGGTGAATCATTATTCCTATACTTAAAAGTAATAAACTTCCAGATAATTTAAATAGCTGTCTACCCATTTCTTTAACTAGCATTTTTTCCAAGGTCATGGAAAGAATGATTACGTCTTGTCTGAGTTGATTTCTCGAGTCTAATAACCTTATTTCTCCAATTCAGGCCAGATTTAAAAAATGGATGTCCACAAACCAACAAGTTATTTTGCTGAGTCAGTCCATAAAGGACGCTCTTGATCAGAGATGCTCGGTTTGGGCTGTGTTTGTGGACTTTGAGGCTGCTTTTGGTAAAGTTTGGTGACTCAAATGTATCCAGAAATTACAAAACCTGGATGTGTGTTGTAATATGCTTTTTTGGATCAGGAGTTTCCTTTCACAAAGTTTCTGTGTCACTTGTTTTGGTGATTCTGTGTCCAACTTTAAACAAAGTGAAACTGGCTTACCACAAGGCATAGTGATCAGCCCTATTTTATTTAATATCTTTATTGATGACCTACCGAGTATCTTGACTTCTGATGGATTGACTAACACTGCCCTTTTTGCAGATGATCTTGCTATTTAATGCTGTGCAACTAAATTCAATCAATCCAAGCTAAACACTGTCCTGAATAAGTCTCTGGAGAGCTGGAGTTTTGAGAATATTAAACTGACAGCCTTTCACTTCTAATCTTGTTTATAGAGGTTCTCCTTTGCAGCATAATGATGTTTCAACTTATGTGGGTTGCATCTTTGATAACAAATTGAAATAGACTAAGCATTTTAAATGTGTCATCTAAAAAACCAGGAAGAGACTTCCCATTCTCGAAAGAGTAGCTGGTTCTAAATGGGGATGTGGCAGAGCTACCCTTAACACTACTTATAAGACTTTTGTCCAGCTAGTTTTAAATTATCGCAATGAAGTGCTGGTCTCTGCCTCAGATAGAGTCTTGGGTATGCTTGATGTTTTCCAAAACCAGGCTTTATGCTTGATCACTTGAGTAGAGGTGTTAAAACTACTCCTGTACTTGCTATGCATTTGCTTTGTGACCTACAGCCAATAACTAATCTGGTTCAGAGAAATGCAGCTGTCCTTTCTAATAGACTTACTAGACTTCCAAATATTTCTTTTTGGTGTGAATACAATTGTAACAGAGTACATAATCTGAAGACTCAGAAGTGCTTCATTCAATGTGTCCAGAAGAACGCTCAATATAATGTCATTAATGACAAGGCCTATGAATTGTTAACTCATCCACTGGAGTTTATGATTCTCAATGTCAGATTGGAGTTGACTTTGAATGTGAGGGAAAACAACCTATGCACAACTGCTATTCGTGCCATCACTTTGGAAACCATTAATACTCGCTATCCTCCTGTGAGTGGCTTCATATTTACACTGATGGTTCCCTTTTGGATTTTACCCAGGGCGCTGGTGCTGGCATCTTCTGTGATGTGTTTTCCTTTTACCTACATGTCGGTTCTCATACAACCCATTTTGACGGTGAAGTCGAGGCCACCATCCATTTAGCCCTTCAATAGCTTTCTGCCCGTCTCTCTCCTCTTGATAAGTCTGTAATTTTATTGGACTCAATTTCTGCTCTTCAGGCCTTAGCAAGTAACCTAGGAAAACAAAGCTCGTGCATCCAGAGCTGCAGGGAACTGTTAAGCAGAATCCAGACAAAGGGTGCTTTCCAGTGGGTGCCATCACATTGTGGCCTTTGGGAAAATGAGATAACAGACTTTTTGGCAAAAAAATGGTAGGCTTATTCTACAAAGGTCTTCCAGAGACTATCTCTTCACTCTGCTAAACTTGAAATCAGTAGGATTTATAAAAAATCCTTTCATAATGCTGCTGTTAGTACTACTGGAAATAAGTCATTGAGGGTGCTATTAAAAGCTGACTGTGTCTCGGGCTCTTCTCATGCTACTGCTGTGGCTGAGTTTAGATTATTGACTGGACATGATTGCCTTGGTGCTCATTTGTTTCATTTTAATCTGACTGCCTCATCTTTATGTGTAATTCTGGACAAGTCATGTATAGAGAAGGTTATAGAGGACGCTGCGTCGCCACATATATAGAGTTAAAAAGAAGAGTTTCAGTGGAAAGAGAGTGGGTGGCTGTGGTGATGTAGAGGTATGTTATTAAACCAGCTCTCATGTAACTCCAACAAATCTGTAAATATCTGCAAATAGATTTTGCTTTATAAAGTAGAATTAGAAGAAAAGTGTCTCTTTTCACCCCATCAATGACATGAAAAACCACAGATGTGACAAGTCAACAAGTTAAGTTTTTTACATCATGGATGCTGCTCATTTGGATGTGTGCTCTGCACTTAAGAGTTTGGACTGTATTGTAAAGAAGTACTGAAGAGCTCCTTGCCTAATGACCTGATGGTCAATGGCCAGGCATTTGATAAATAAAATTGACCACAAAAATAATTCTAATATTAGTTGAATAACAGGAATTTGTTTTTTTGTTTTGTAATATGCATTGAATGGGTAAAATATTAGAGATGCACCCAAATAACATGCTGGTCCACCTTTGATCATCTGTGATCGCAGCTGACATTTTTAGGGTTTTTGATCTCAACAACACGTTTCCGAGAAATAATAATTCACATTGGCATAACAGTAGCTCAGAGTTTCGTTTAAACTGGGTAGTAGCATTTTCCAAGCTTTGAAGATTTTCCATTTCATCCTGTAGTTCCTTAGTCATACGCTTAAACCAGTTTCAGCCCAGTCATGCACAGTGATAAGGCATGTTCCCCAGCTGAATGTGGTAATCTGCATCAAGGAACTTCACTACCATAAATGGTAGTAATGATTGACAATGATTAATAAGGTCGAGTGTTGAGTTTCAAGTTTCTTCCAGGGTTATCAGGGGATCCACTGTACTTCCGAAAATATTCCCCAGACCATAATTTCACTTCCATTACCTAGAAGAGTTGTCTTCAGGCAAAAGGAAATCATGAATTCATTCTATTTACACCATATTCTTACACTGCTGTCTGTATGATGAAGCATGAAATGAAATTCATTGGATCATTACTTTTTGTAGTAATTAGGGATACAGTATCGGTGCTTCTGGGCATCACAGTAATTATGTGAACAGTAACTATTTTTCAGTGCTAGTATAGGTACCTTTGATTGTCTTGAAAAATCCAATTATTGCAAAGTCCCATCATATTGTGCATTCAGATATGCTTTAATTTGAAATATTGCTGCCTTTCTGTCGCTGCAGATGATTTATGTCATCAACATACACCTTTTTTGTTCACAAACATTTTCCCACTTTTGCCTGAAGTATTTATACTGAATTCCAATGCTCTAAACACCTGAGATACTGTTGCACAAGAAAAGCTTATAATATTATTCATTTCAGAGATTATGTAACAGTTCTTGCCTTGTTTTAGAATTGCTCAAATCTTTCATTTTATCCATTTTCATATTAACTGCAGTTCTAACTATTTTTTTCTAGAGATAAGCATATCGTATTCAAGACTCACTTTCCTTTTAAGGCTGATATGGAAAGATGTTAACATTCTTTTCATGTTTATGATAGTATAAAGTAATCAAGATGAATAAAAATGCATTGTATATTTTTTCAGGAAATTCTTTGCAGATCAAAGTAACCGGTTACGAAGAGTCAGAGAGAAATTTGGTACTTTTGCAATGAGTGATGTTCCACCTGGTGAGCTTTTTTTTTTTTTTTTTTTTTTTTTTAATACAAAAATCCTTTTGAACAGTTTTCTTAAATTAGAGTTGGCCATAATTTTTTACATTGCAAGCTCTTCTATCAGTATTGCTGCTTGTCACATATTTTTCCTATAGTAGTATAAATAAAGAAAAGTATCTTGCAGATAATTGAATCAGGTACAGACGTAGCTGTAGGTGCATGACTTGTATATATGGTTGTGTATGTTGAGGTTTAACATATAATTTGTAAGTTTGAATACTTTGTCAATGACGGGGAGAAAGGAGTGTATTCAGCATGCATGCTTTTAATATTTTGATTGTGATTATTACTTTAAAATGTTCACTGCTGCCAACTTGTATTGGAATCATACCACATCAGGTGTATATGTCAGTGGTTTTCTGCAGAGCCAATTTCTTTGGTTTACTAAATGTTGTAATATGTTAGATGCATTAGTGAAGAGTGATTGTTCTTCACATTAGCATGGTATCCCAGTATATTTCATAATATTTTATGATTGTGGTTAAAACTAATCTCTTGCCACTATATCAAACATCTAAAGGTTTGTTAAGATCAATCAGTTCTTATAATCTTTGGTATCAAAATACTGTATTTGTCTAATAAATAACTAAAAAAAAAAAAAAAAAAAAATCTGGCTAAAAGCAACAGTGAAAGGATCAAAAGAAAAGGTTTTGCTTTTGTATGCAACAATGAAGAGGGAGAAAGAAAACCAACTTATGAGTGCAAAGGTAGGGAAGTAAACCAGAACTGCTGTAAAATGTTTTGACAAATATCTTTCCTTATTGTAAAACAATAACTTTTTTGTTCTTTTTTTCTATTTTTTCATAAAAGTTTTCTCTTTTTTGTGCATTTACTAAAGGTTCCGTTATTTAATATGTTGTGCTTATGTCTATAAAAATATGTTCAAAACTAATAAATTAACTTCAAAAAGAGTAATAAGCAGCAACTTTGATTGTAGCAATAGAAAATTATCAAATGTTGTTATCAATGCTACTGATTCTAATCAGAGCCACATTTTTAACCCAAAGTATCATTAGATTCAAAAGACTATTAGTCTCAAAATGGCATTTTGCATTGTTTCACTTTCTGCATTGATTCACTTTTCAAACTATTGCTACCAAATATTATCACCATGTATTATATTTAAAGAAGTTAAATAATGAAGAATCTCCATGAATGCATGAATGTTTCTTACATTTTGAAAACACAATGGTACCTAAAGCCATCGAATTTTGAACAGTGTAGTCCTCCAAGTGAACATGGGGACTTAGAAGCCTGAATTTTGAATTCTGAATTAGTTTTATTATCTGTTTCCTCGATGATTTCAAAGCAAGCAATGACAACACTGTATAGAAAAAACAACATTTCTGTCTCCAGCGCATGAGACTGTATAGCAGAAATTCTTAAGATATGCTGTTTTTACATATTTTGTGATATTACTGTTGAATTGAATTTTACGTGGTTTAAGTGTGAAAACCATGATATTAAGTAAATAAAGGTAACACACAAAACATTAAAAAATACCCTTCTAGGCGTAATATAAAATCTGAAAGCTTTATTATTATTATTATTTAAAATAACATTTTATTGCTAGGTCCACAGTTTGCACTAAAATATATGAGAAATGAGATTTGTTCATAATGCAAATAAAACTTATTTGACAACTGGGAATGGTCATTCATTTCAAATGTGGCAATGAACTTGTTTAGTACAGTACCTTTTGTAATAAAAATGTGAGCTAGCTCATTCTAATTTTTTCATGATTTATTTTTTGCCAAGTGCTGGTTGTTAGATCTTATTTAGAAGATTTTTTAAAAAAGAAATACAATGTGATGACTATTTTTTTTCTTAATTTAATAAAATATTGTAAACTCAATTAATGTTATTTTTTACATCAATTAAAATGTATTATTTTTCTCTAGTTTTGCGTCATTTAGAGAGAGTCACAAAAACTCAGCTGAAAGAGTTCCTTAACTTCTGCAAAGAAAAGTATATGAAAGCAATGATTGAACCAGGTAGGTAAAGTACTCAGTATTGAGTAATTTTTTAATTGATTAGGCTATAATAATTTGCACATGTCCTTATGCATTTTACAGAAATCTACATGAATTAGTAGATGCTGCTGTTTTAAATAAGGGTTTGTTTTTGTCAAATATGGATCTGAAAAGTCATCATCATTCTATTTTATCTAGTCTGCAAATTTTTTAGGCTCTTTTTTTTGCTCTAAAATAAATAAATCAAAATGAAAAACTAGCTTCCTGTGATCTTTCAGTTTTGAGTTTAAAATCTGAATATTTGTAAATTGGTTTCTTTCAGTGTGAAATGTCTGAATTCATCAAAAAATTTAAACTGAATTTTTTTAATTAAGAATTATATACTTTGACATGTATATACATACTTGCCAGTTCTCTGTTTTCTGGAAGACATCTGCTGTTTCTGTAGATCACTGAATTTCCTGTTTTTCATTCTTAGTCATTATTAATAATTGCTTTGCAGCAATAAAAGAAATTTAGTAAGTTAATGAAGCTTGAATTGTGCAAATTCTATACTTCATGCCACTGGGAATTTTCAGCTTAATTTTTCTTATTAGATTTTATTTGCCTTAATATGTTTTGCTTGTCATATGACACTGTAGAACTTTTTATGAAGATTCAACTGATGTATAATCTGTTTGTATTTAACTTTATTTTATGTCAATAAATGGTAGTTTACTAATTTTATAGTATATTTGTTTAACAGTAGATTTATTTCCATCATATTTAAAAGTATTTAGATAAGTAGAAGCTTTTTTTTCCTTACACAGGATTTTCTTAGTATATAAGTGTAAGAAAATTACTGCATGAAATTGGCTAAATAACATAAAATTTAGGGTATGTAATTAATATATTTTATATTGGAACTACATTATGTAATTATGTTAAGTAAACTGAGTTATGCATCATAAAGTAAATTTAAGTTAATTTGGAGTAGTTCTTTTGGAACTGCATCGTTATAAGCACAAAAACCTGGAAACTCCTGGGTTTTTCATATTTCAAGCAGGTATGTGTATGATATGAAAGATCTCAGATTCAGCAACAATCAATGAAAGGCCTTATAGTTTTTTCCATAGAGGACATCAGGATTCAAGAAAATGAAAGTCAGAAATAAAGCATCATAACTGCTGGGTTTTACAAATTTTTTATAATTGTTATAAAATCTGTTCTAATTTCTAAAATCTTATGTAAAAAATTATTTTTTTAAAACAAATTTTGTGATTTTGATAAAATTAAAAAAAAAAAAAAAAAAAAAAAAAAAAAGCTGTGAGTTTTGCAATTTGTCATAAAATCTGTTGGTATTTGAAATCTTCGTGTTTTTTATTTAAAAAACAATTAGTCCATTTGTGTGTGGGGATAATTTGTTAGGGATCTCTAGTTTTAGGGAATTTGTGCCATTTTTCTGGTTTTGAGGAAATCTAGTAAACAAATCTAGCAGTACTAAAAATAGTATAATATAGTACTAAAATATCTGTTATTAAATATTTAATTGTAATTTTATAAACATGTGCATGTATTAACACAACATCATTGAAGTAGCACATTTCACCTATTTTTTTACAAGATTTAACTTCTGTTTATTCTTCTGAATAGTGACAATATCTTATTTTATCAAGTCACAGGTTTCTTCATCCAAGAAAATACAGATAGGAAGGAAAATAATATAATTACCTTTTAAAAGATACGCTGCATTCCACATCTGCAGTTGCACCACTTAGTGGTCTAGTGGCTGTAAAGGGGAAGGTCTTAGTTTCTCAACAGCTGTCATAGATATTGCATGTGCTATCATGCTCTCATACTCTTTGAGAGACACTGAAATGTGAAACCTGATGGACTACCATGAATCTAAATTGTTAGAACATGTTTAGCCGAGATCTTAGTTATGGAAACAGCAATAATTTTTGGGTGTGCAAGGAGCAAGATAACAGCCTATAAGGTATTTCTCCCGCCTTCCTAGCATGCCTTCGTGGTGAGGTGGTCTGCAGGCTGGGCGCATATTCCGGAGGTCTACGGTTCGATTCCCGGCGAAGGCGTTGCTCATTTTTCATCTCTGGTGCTTCCAAAAAATACCTAATGTCTTTACAGTGGTGCCTGAACTAAAAGGGTGGTGGATGATGATTCTCTACACCGAGGATTTGGCAATTGGGCCCCCTAAAAAAACCCCAGTCGTGCTTAAAAATGGGAGTATATAAGGTATTTTCCCCGCTTTCTAAGCACGCCTTCGTGGTGTGGTGGTCTGCATGCTGGGCTGGTATTCCAGAGCTATATGGTTTGATTCCCGGCAAAGGCATTGCTCATTTTTCACCTCTCTTGCTTCCAAAATACCTGATGTCTCTACAAGGCATTACAATAACATGTATGAAAACTATTAAGGATAGACAGATGTTAAAGCACATAGTGACACAGAAGAGCAATAGGTTGTTCTCCTAGATTACATTCAAAATGAACACGTGTCTTCAAGATTCATTTCAACCAAAACTGCCAGATGCTATGAATGTTTATGACAAATTGACAGTGTGCATTGGTGACACTATGTAATGCTTTCAAATGATGTTAGAGGTGTGGTGCTTGTCAAAGTTGGGCTTCACAGCAATTATATGGCCTGATAAATCAGTATTCGCCCTATTTCAGACCACTGGGTGCATTTATGTCTAGAGAAGTCCCAGAGAAACGTTTAGATCTCTCTATTTCTTGCTGTCTGTAGAGCATGCAAGAATATGATATATAATATTGTGCAAGAATATGGTATGTATTACTATCTAGTGGTATGGTATGTAATATTATGTTTTTAAATAATGGCTGGGATTTTTATTGAATAGCCGTTAGCCTTGTGCCGCTACAAAGGTCAGAAGTGGTGGCCATTTCATTATAGAAGCATGTAAAAGGGGGCCACCATTGTTTGTTATGAAGGGACAGACAGTTACAACCACTCCTTCTCCAGGATTCGAAACCGGCCCATTGCCATGGAAATCAGGGTCACTAACCATAATACTGGCTGGGTGGAAAATCATTATTTTGCTGTCCAGCTGGTATGCAATATTTTGACTCCGTCCTGGCCCACTTGCTATTCTGTATAAGCCAAGCACTCTCAGATCATGTTCATCCTTTGTCTGCATTTTGTTTTCACTGGAGAGTGACATTTTTTTGAGATGATAGTGCTTCTCTCTACACTGCTAGGTGCATTCAAGCATGACTAAAGAGCATGATGATTAAATAGAACATCTTGTGAAATTGTGCCATTAGGTTTGTAAAATACTTCAAATGTGAAAATGGTCACCTATTACCTGTATACTTAAAAGTCAATTTTTTCATTAATCAGGGGAAGAACAAGTAATAAATTGATAGGAAGGGGCATATTTCTTCTCCTTCTTTTATCCAAAAACAGTGCATAACAGTTGGCAAAGATCGTCTTACATTCTTTTATAGTGCAACACAAATGTAATGTATGAATTCCTCATTCAGATCCAAAAGACTTCTACTTTTATACCCACTGTGCTGATTTGCCTTTCTTTTTGCAATAAATATAGCCTCTTCTCATTGTGGATACCCAATGCCATCTCTTGAGACAAAGCTGAGTTATGCAACAACCTCTATGTGTCCATCCCATATTGCATACAGTATATATTTTAGTCAAAGGAGGCTCCTAGCCACTATTAATAAAGACTTCTCATATTTCAAAAGTGTTCATATAATTTTATACCCCATCTGTATTTGTTTTCAGATTTTAATAAAATAGACAAATTCACTTTTGCCCAAAAGGAGGTCTTCTTTGTCTGTAGAAAATCAACAGCCTTGTAAAGTAACTTTGAGCTAAGCAATCCAGAGAGATGATAATCAGAGAAGGGACAAGTTTTGGGCTGTAGATAGTGTTAAAATGATGTTTATAATTGAAATTTCTTGTCCTTTATTTACAATGCATTCAGTCAACTGTCTGTGAGTTTCTATATTCCCCCCCCCTCAAGAAGGTCTTCTTTGCCTGTAAAAAATCAGTAACCTCGTAAAGCATCTTTAAGCAGTTCAGAGATATGATAAGCAGAGAAAGGACAAGTTCTGGGCTATAGACAGGGTCAAAAGCATGTTTGTAATTGAAAGATATTGTTCATTCCATGATTTTAGAGTAGTAATCTGAAAAGGTTTAACACATAAGTACCTGTAACCTTCACTTTGGATATAAAGAAACAAAATTTAGATTTTCAAAAAATTCAATGAGGCACACTTAATGGAAATTTGTATAAATGAAATTTATAATAAAAATATGCTATAATTTATTTGTAAAAAAGCGAATCATGATTCTTTACAAATTTTTCATTTTAATTATTTATTTTATCTTTTAAAAATAATTTTGAGTTTATAAATGTTTAGCAGACATAGAAAATTTATTTTTCCTTAACTTTTTAAATGCTGAGTTCCAACATAAATATACTTCATAGATTATTTGCTTAAATGCCATGCAACAAGCAAGCAACAATGATGAACAGTTATAAATTATTAAAACTAGCACCTCTAGTGATTTTTTTGGTGTTGAAAATCAGAGATTAATAATGAAAAATAGACTAAAGAACATTAAATTCAAAACTTCGGCTCTAGAAATTTTAACTAAGTTATTAATCCAATCACACATGCATGGCAGAATTAGCTACGGATTAAATTTGGAGAAAATGTTACTGCAGGAGGCTTTTGCAAAAGTATATTCATTTATTTTTTTAACAGATTAGCATAAAAATGTTTTGAAAGCAATTTGTGAGGAGATATAAAAATTTTTCTGCACGAGATATTTTGATGCATTTCTACAAATGTTCTCCACTTCCTCAAAATATTTCCATCCTATTTATCTCCCTTTCCTCCCCATTTCTCTCTTCATTTCTGTTGTATGGGCATTATTTTCTTTTTGTATAATATAATTTTAAAAATATAAAAATTTTATAACCTTATAAAATCTGTATTATGTAATTTTCAAAGTTTGGATATATTTTAATAGTTACTTAAGTTCTAATAAACCTGATCTAATGTAAAAATTAAAGCAGGAGAAAGGTATAAAAAACCTAGAAGATGTGACCTTATAATCCTCAAACTGCACAACCTTGTCGAGGATGTGCAGATTATCGAAATTCTGCTGTATAATATTCATCCTATTACAGAGAGAAAAAGTCTGAAAATTCATATAAGATCTAACATTTAAAAGCTTAACATGTTTCCTTTACATTATATGTAGTTATGTTTAATTTGCCAAGCTTACATTTAGTAAGTATTTTTATTTAGTATTTTTACATAAAACTTGCATTTTTTAGGTACTGCTGTGGGTGCTATTTGTGCTCAAAGTATTGGAGAGCCTGCAACGCAAATGACTTTAAAGACATTTCACTTTGCTGGTGTTGCCTCTATGAGTATCCTTTTTATAAACTGTTGATAATCAGTTTGGTAGGAATTTATAATACTCCCATTGTATTATTTTATTGTCGTTTATAATATTCCATCAGTTTTGTAGGAATTTATAACCCATTGTACCATTATACAATGGTACATTGGAATATTATAAATTTAATATTTTTAATTAATAATATAATAGTATAAATTAATTTAATTAAGAAATTAACAACAATTAAAGCATTTATTAAATTCATTTTAAATATTAATTTAATTGAAAAATTAAATTAATATTTTTAAGTTACTATTTTAATTTAAATTTCAAGATTTTGTAAATCAATTTTTTTTAGTTAAATGTCAAGGTTTTTTAATTAATTAATTAAAAGTGCAATCTTTTCAAAATGTGATAGGCTCATGTAAAAGTTAAATTACTGGAAGGGGAAGGATTTGTTTTGCGAGGGTGGGAACAGAATTTTATTGATTTAAATATCTTAAGCAACAATGTAACCTTGTTGTTGTTATAGGTATATAATAAACTTAATCGAGTGTATATATAAAACTTAATCAAGTGCATATATGCCACTTTATTATTGTAACCAAGAAAAATTTACTGTAAAAATAAAATGAATCATCTGCAAAATCTATGATTATTTGTGAAAATTGTTCTAGATGTTTCAAAAAGAATATTGTTGTCAGTTGTAAACTGTTCGGGAAACCACATTCATGGTTCTGAAATTCCTTCAACTTTCCTGAACAATTTGCCATAGGAATATTATAAATTCCACCAAATTCCTAACAAATTTTTACTAGTAATGACAAAGTGTTACCTGAAGGGAATGACATGAAATCGTATGGCTCTGAAGAATGAGATAGTGTATATACACATAATAAATAGTGATAAAATTTGCAATATAAATAGCATTTTATTTGTGTGGGCAGAACTGTTGCTAGTGATAATTTTTTAAAAATAAAATTGGTTTTGAAATATCATAAATTTGTAGGGTTCCTACTGTAACTGACAACTAAAGTTCTACTGATCCTACTAGACAGATAGCGAGTTAACGCTACGTCTTAACAAGGTTTAAATAACATTTTTTCACTTAGACTTAAATTGAACATGAAGGCACAAATTGTGTTACAGATAAACCCAGGAAACGTGACCTTATAATTTGCATTGTGAGAATCTGGAAAGGAGAAGTTATTGTTAAGACGTGAATAACTGGTTAATTAATAAAGGATACTTTACACATTTGGTGATGACAGTGGAAAATCTGTGCATGTGTATAATACAGGACAAAGTCCAAAATCCGAACGTCCATTATCCGGAATGATCTAAAATCCAGACCTCAAAACCACCAAAACCGTTTTTCTCGTAGGCTTTACGCATGCGTGTTTGATTCCTCGCCTCTGCGCATAATAAAACAGCTGGAGAGTCCCGATTCTTAATTTCACTTCGACATTAAATAAAATACCTCATTATTGAAGAAACAATCATTTCAGCATAAATTTGTACAATCAGTAAATTGGCTTCGTTGCTGCGTATCTTCTTTGTCACACATCTCAAACTGAAACATTACACATAGATTCATCGCTGATCTGACTTCAGCTTGGTGAATCATTATTTATTATACTTTCCTTTCATCACCACATGTTTATCAAAACATAACTTGAGTAATGACTCATGTAGCCGATGCCTAAATAATTTATGCTAGTAATTGAATAATAAAGGAGTATGGTAACCTTTTGTGTTGACATTGCACTTGGCTATGATTACAGATTTAAGTTAAATGCACTAAGAAATACTGACGAGGAAAAATTTAACAAAAATTTTTTTCCATATGCTAAAATTAGATTTTGTTGATGATAATCATAGAACCAAAGATTACATTTAGGACTATTTGAATTAAGAATAACTGATTTGTTATTCACATAAACGCAGAACCAGCACCAGGGCTCATATGGCCACGCCGAGTCGCAGAATTTAGGACCCACAGAGACTGCATTGGACGGTAAGACATCTAGCGTCGGCCCTCAATAACGCTTAAGTGTATGTGGGATTTTATTTATTCTGAACTCTGATAAGCCTTAAGCATGTGCAAGAAATAGACATAAGTATAATAAATAACTAAACTAATACAATTCAGGCTTAATTGTCTCAGTGCAAGATAGGAGCAAGATAAATTTAACAGAACAACTTGTCGTTAGTCGCCAAGCTTATGATGCATAGCCAAATATGTTTGGTGAAGAATAGTTAAATTTGATGATGATAGCTGCTAATTTTAAAGGTTTTCAGATATTTCAAAACAAAGGTGAAATTTTCCAATTAACGAATTTTGTAAAGAAATGTGGAGAAGGGGTAATAATTAAAGTTGATATGAAAGAAGTTTTTCATTGTGATGACAATGCTTCTCAATCATCTATCAATTAACGAGTGGTGAAATCTGTAGTATGGTTCTAGATCCAAATAATACCACTACCGATAGTGAAGAAAGTGACCGAGAAGTTACTGAAAATGAGAAAATTTTGATTGACGAGTTAGTCGGAATTCTCCAAACAGCAGTTACAGGACTTCAACAATGTAACTAAACAAGAGGTTATGTCTCTCTACAGAATTAAATAGAAAGTATTAGCACAAAAAAAAAGCAACTTAGCAACTTAAACAACTTACATTGAAAGAAATGTTTAATAAAGTAAACAAATAAATATTAAGCTTTTTTTTTTTTATGTGTGTGTGTGTAAATTTTGATACCCTTTAAATCATAAATACTTCATTATTTCTTAAATCACAATTTCATATTTTTAATTTTATGATTTCTACATGCCTCTTACTAGATTTAAACTGATGATCTAAATCCCAAATCCGGAATCGCCGAAGTCCCTACGAGTCCGGATTTCAGACTTTGTACTGTATATACACTTGTACACAGATGAACTTTGATCATGTGAACTGTAATAATTCAAAATTTTGAACAAGTTCAATTTTTCTTATCAATAAAATTTATTAAAAATTAATGTTTAAACTACTGTATGCTAAATTTCTTTGACTTATTAATACATTAAAAAACATTTTCCATGTGTTGCTTAAATTTATTTTAAATATTTTTTTTTTTTTACTTTCTTTCTTGATGGCTAATCTAGAGAGTCTTTGAATGCTAAGTGCAAGTAATCTGTCTTCGCATGGTTTTCTAATTCTCATAAGCAAGTGCACTCTTGCATATAAAAATATCCTTCCGAAGAAAAAGAAAACTGTATTCTGTTTCAAAAATTCAGTATGAATTTTTAGATGGAATAGAGCCCTCTAACATTTATTTTATGTTTAAAACATTTTTTAATAAATTGAAAAGATATTCATTAAAGTATTATTTTTGTAACACTGTTCGTTTTAATATTATCAAACTATATATTTCTCTTTTTTTTGGGGGGGGGAGAGGATATTATCAAATGAAAAAAAAACTTTTGATGCTGCAGCAAAAGTCTCTTAAGTGTTTGAATGTTCAAGATGGATAATCTCTGCCCTTTGGAAATTATTTAAAGATTGAAACTAACTAGAAATCCAGAACATGGTCATAGAAGAAAAATGACTTAGTCTCAAGATCAGCTTTTGTCTGTATTTGCCAATCACAATAGGAAACTAAACAAGAAGTTGAATTTGCAGTAGATTGTATATAGGAAATTTTATCATAGGAACCTTTATGCTAAGAAGCCAGTAGTTTCTATTTCAGTGACTTCAAAGCAGAAAGAGGGCCGGCGTGAATTGCTCCAGCAAATAACAGTGCTGGAATACATAGGCACTGACCTATGTTCTCTTTAATTACAAACTGAGGTACTGTTTAACATGATTCTAAATGTCTTTACATTTGGAAGAAGGTAGGTAAACAGATTATTCTCACCAACATTAGTTTATATGATGTTACAATTGTTCAGTTATGTGCAGTTACAATTGTGTAGATGATGATCAACAAATGTACTTCGTTGCATGTATTCAACTGAGGGATTTGTATACGAATATGTATAATTATATCAACTGAGGATATGATATCAAAATATAATATTTATATTATATTTTGTTCTATATATCAGCTGAGGATCTAAGAATTTATATATTTATATTTTGTATTCAACTGAAGATTTTTTTAAAATTTGCCAAGGTCATTTTGGACACCTCTATAAATATGTTACTAAAAATCTGAATTTCTTAATTTATTTATCTTTCTGTGTTTTTAATATATCTAACTTGTTTTCTAATGTGCCGAAATTTTGTTGTGCTATAAGAAGTATGCTTTTCATAGGTAATTACATATGTAGACATTTTTTGAATTTTTATAATCATTTATTTTCTTTAACACAACCAAAGATATTACTCAGGGTGTTCCAAGGATAGGTGAGATAATAAATGCCAGCAAAGTTATAAGTACTCCTGTTATTACAGCATTATTAGATGTAAATGATGACCTGGAATTTGCTAGACGTGTTAAAGGAAGAATAGAAAAAACCCTTTTAGGAGAGGTATTGCATTATTTTATTTTTAAGATTTCAATAGCACACTAGAAATTTTTTCTCTTTCAAAATTGTTTTTTAGAATTTCTGTACCAATTCCATTAACAACTGTAATCGATTTTTATCAAATTCATAAAATTCAGCAAAATTTATTGAGATGTGCAATTTTAATTGCTTTTTTTATTCCATCTGTATGTTTAAAAGAAATCAATAGCTTTTAATATCTTTGTATTAAAATAAAATTCAAATTATCGGGTTTTTAATGCAAGTTTCTCGCAACCGGAAATATTGTGTGCGCAAACAGTTTGCGTTGCCGTGTTTAATCATATTTTGTCAAACAGTTTTTGGCATTTGAAAGGAATGGAACTTGGCATTTGAAAGGAAGGTTTTTGGCATTTGAAAGGAATGGAACTGTCACACTACGAGATTATAACCATCATTTCCTTCCAGTTCTTTTGCAAAAAGTCACCAAATCATGTGTATAACTTTAGGTACTAATGCTGTATCGTATAACGCTGTGAATGTTTAGTACTGAAAGTTCAAAAAACAAAGACAATGACATTCAAGAAGTAGAGTGCTCTGCCCGGCTTACTGATGTTGATGAGGCTTGCTTGCAAGAACTTGTGGAAGATCAGTATGCAACCACTCGAGAGTTTGCTAAGGAGTTAGATGTTAGTGCCATGTCCATTAGTCGCGCTATGCATCGCATAAACTAGGCACAAAAGTTCAATCGCTGGGTGCCGCATGAGCTGACTTAGCAGATAAAGACAGACATGTTCGGGCCTGCATCAATCTGCATAAATATCAACACGAGGACAAAATTCTAGACCGGCTCATCACTTGTGATGAAAAGTGGATTTACTTCAACAAGACATACTGAAAAGAGAATTGATTGACTTGCGGCAAAAGGGTTATAAAGAAAATAATCTGTTTAATTGCAGTATTGATAATTTTTATCATATAATAAACCATTCTAACCACTAACAAATACAAAAGTAATGGACTTTGCAAAACATCAGAATGACTGAACATGCAGATGCCACAAAATGAAACTGAAAAATGGTTATATTTTTTGTGTTGGGAATCAAGCAGTTTTTTTCTTCTGCGCATCTTTGATTGATCTTTATTATTATAAAATGTAGAATCTGTATGTGAGTTTGTTGTGTAGCATAAAATGGATAGGTGTGCAGTTATGAAATTTGTAACATATTTTGGTCTGGATAATGAAAAGGTGTAATTCAAAATGATGTATTTCAATTTAGATTTTTAAAATGTAATGTTGAGATAATTTTTTGTCATATTTTTGCATATTTTCACTTAATAAATGAACAAAAGAATTTCCGTATTTTAATACTGTCAGCGGGAAGAAATTTAGATATAAAAACGTTTATATCGAATTTTTAACAAAATTTGCTGATTTTCAACAATTTTTTAATTGATTTTTTTTGGCAATTTTATATTTATTATTTTTAAATTCCCTAATCTAAACATGTATTTATTACAATGTTCTAAAATTTTCTCAATTTATAAAACAAACTCTTTGCTGTTGTTTAAAACAAGACTAATATAAAAATAATAAAAAAATTGGGTGATATCCTAATTTATATACACTGCAGTAAAAGGGGAAATTCACCATTTTACTTGGAAATTGCGTGATTCGCATAGAAACACATTTCCAAGGATTCATTGCCATTATGCACAATACTATTTTTTCCCCTTTAGGCTTTATCTAATATTTATTCTAATTATAGATCCCTCTTTGCTAGAAAGAGTTATTTGCAAAGAAATTAGGCTTACTGTAAAAGTCTGCCATTTTATAAATGCTATTCTCCCTTTCTTTTTCTCCCTGTTTTTTTATTGGCATTTGGTATTTATTTCATTTTTCCTTTCTGATTTACTCTATAAAATAACAGAATGTAAAGGTTGACTGGTTTTTAAAAATTATTAGTGATGGAATCAGCCACATCATTTATTTTTTAATTTTATTTATGTGTATGTATATTTTTTTCAGTGTTTCGTTTTGAAAGCTGATGTTCTTCATTAGATTTTGAATACAGAACATTGTATACCTTCATAAGATTTCAAATTCCATCCCCCAAAATGTAATCCGTTATGAATGTTCTGAAATTTTCATATGTTATAAAACAAACTTTTTGCCCTCTTTTGAAACAAAAATGATAAAAAAAAAAAAAGCTGATGAGGTGATTTTTTCTTTTTCTTTTTTTTTTTTTCTGTAAACTATCTGCTTGCATGACCTGCCTTCAGTCTGGCGTGTATAATTTTCCGGACCAAATGTTGGACAAACAGTAATCCATAGATTGCTTAGAAAGAGTCTTAAGAACAAAAATATAAAGCAACTGCACTTCATTACTTATTTAACTGAAATTTGGATTTCAGGTAAAGGAAGATAGGGCTTGTATTTTAACATTTATATCATAAGCTAAAAATTCAAGCCATAGAAATATTGGTATAAGCAACCTTTTTTTTTAATAAATTAGAGTAGGAAAATAAAATTAGTTCTGTCGTCTAATATCAGTTTTTCATACGTATTTTTGCTTTTTTTTAATGTATATCAGATTAAAATTAATTTATTTATTATTAATTTGATATAGGTGTCTGATTACCTTGAAGAGGTTTTTCTTCCTGACAGTTGCTTCATCCTTGTCAAGCTAAATCTTGAAAGAATTCGGTTATTACAAGTAAGAACTTAATACTCAAATTTCTATATATTTACATATTGTTTTGTCTCTGTGAATAAGGGATTGTAGTAAAATCTGTATAAATCAGCATGTATTCAGTATTTTTGGATTGTATGATTTTTGCCAGTCTTTGCCTTACGCATCTCTCTCTTATATGAGAACCGCCTTGTGTAATGCATGTATTAATAAGTGTTTGCTATATTCAGTAGAAAATGTATTTATTCACTGCATTAAAATACCAGTAATTTTTTTATTCATTAAAAACACATATTTTGAAAATACACTGTAAATTATATTTCACCTGTGTGAGTCATTTATCTAGTGTGATTTATTTTAATTTCTTGCTTTATTTTTGTTGCATTTAATGTGTTAGTATTTTTGAATAAATGTTTAAATTTCAGGTACAAAGTGTTACATGTTAAATTATTTTACCTGTTTTGACTATTATGGACATGAATTTATTTTTAGCTTGAAGTGAATGCTGAGACTATACTTTACTCCATCTGTACTACGAACATTACTGAAATAAAAGGAATCAAGCCACAAAATATAACCATTCATAAAAAGGATGTTTTGTTGGTAAAACCTTTTGTCAGTTCCCGTGGCACTTGTTATTACATATTACAGCAACTGAAGGAGAAACTCCCTTTGGTAGTCATCAAGGTATGTTTACTGTGTATCTTATTAGAAAATTTTGAATTCTGAAGACATGAGTTTATGGGTTTCTTTAATCTAAGCTTGTGTAGAATTAATCTATTAATAAGAACTGTTTCCCTTAATTTTAAATTGAATAAATATTGGAATAATAGTGTGAAAGTATTACTTATATTATTATAATAGATTTTGTTTGGTGTTAATATTTATATTTTCATCACTTCAGTAGATTTTGTGTATGAAAATAATTTATTATTTGAATGTTATAAACCTTAAAAGTTTTATGAATACATAAATATACTTGGTCTTTTTGAAAAATTTAAACTATAACTCAGAAATTTGGATGTATATATTCAAACTTTATTATTTAAAAGCTATTTGCTCTGTGAAGTTTTTGTAGTTAGTGAGACTTAACAGAAAATGCTATAATTTTATTGACTTATGCAGTCTGAACTTCAAGTGGAAGAAAGTTCAATTTTCTTAGTCTGATCCAATAAGAAAAATGGATTATCTCATAAAAAGTGTAAAAATTTACAGAGGATTTACATACACACACTAAAAAACGAAATAGGAATGTTGTCTCATCTACCAAAAGAGGTTAATAATAAATCTAATCAAAAATATATATTAAGGCTTAATTACAACTGTTATTATGTGCAGTTATTAAATTTTTTTGTTGATCCTTCCCTTGAATTACAGAACCTTTTAAAATACACATTTACAATTATGAATACTATTTTCTCCATAAAAACATTAAAAATGAATAGCATTAAATATTGATGACTGTATACAAAATACCTTAACTTCCCTTAACTAAAACATCTCAACCTTATTTAATATATTACCTTTAACTTCTGTATACAAAAGTCATCTCTAATTCTGTGCTAATGTGATGTAGATTGCAGGATAATTTTTATCCATACTTTTGTCCAAAAGATGTAAACACTTCAAATATTTGGTGCTTCAAATATTTGGTACTTCAAATATTTGGTGCAAGTGAAACTTATTAATAACATGCATCACATCTTTGGTATCTGCTGTAGTGGAGTTCCTTTACCATATGTTGTAGTTCTTTAGGATTTTTATCAGATTCAAAAGAAGACTCATTAACATCAGCATTTTTCATTTTAATATCTATCACAGTGTCTTTATCATTCAGCTATTTGCATATAACAGCATTGCCATGGCATGACTGAAAAAGCTTCTTATTGTATTTTATAAATATTGAAATGCCATTTTTTTCTAGCCATTTAACAGCAGGCAAATCCTCGTTTCCATTATTTTCCTCTTAAACACCTTTTGTGAAATCAGCATACCAAAAACATTTTTAGATGGTTGGTTCTATAACCAATCGGCAAGACTTTTCTATTGCTAGCATTTCACCGAGAATACATTTTAAAATAACTAAAAAAATAATAGTACATTGCATAAGTAAATTATTGTTGATTTCTCAGAAGAGGGCTGACTTTGTCCTACTCCAAAAAATCTGCAATAATTTGGCATTTTTTTTTTTTAGATCGTATTTCATCTTCTTCGTATGTTTGAATAAATTCTTTTCTAATCCGGAAAAGCTAGTATGCAAAACTCTGGATTTAAATTAATAATTTTGATAGGTAATGCAGAGGCCAAATGTAATTTCTCACTGAGATCAAAAAGGACATATTTACAAAATGATTGTTTTGAAAACTGATATGGAATACAGAAGTAGTGGTTAAAATTTGGCAATGCATATAAACAAATGTAGGAATATTATACAATTTAAGCTATTACATAATTAAAATGTCTTAATTACATGCATGTACAAAAAGTATAGACGAAAAATATAATTTTAACGTTCAGAAACTCCATAGCTGCAATTGTGAATCTATTGTTTAATCGAAAGGGATCCCGGTTGGAACCGACACTTGAGGGATGCTTAGGTTTGCCAATAAAAGATGTGAGAGAGAGTGTTAAAAGCTGAATATGTAGATAGGAATGGCAAGAAATTATATATATGTAAAATATATGGCTACAAAGCAGATTCAACAACCTTTTGAGAATATCCTAAATCTTTCAAGATACCTAAAGAAGATAAAACACAGCGATATTTGGTATATACATGTAAAATGTAAAAAATAGGCAGCTTTGCTCTATGCGAACAAGCAACCTTTAATTAACTTTCTGCAATTTCAGGATTAATGGAGAGCCCTAGACCAGTAATTTCAAGAAAATTCCAGCCTATTAAGTAACCATTTCTATAAATAGAGAACTCTCACCATTTTACATTATTTTGCATTGCAACTCGCGCTTTATCCCTCTGCTGCTGAGATCTGTGCCACTGCTCTTCTGCCTTTTCTTTGTTAGAATGTTATGATGCATTGAATTTAATTTTATTTTAGTAAAGAATGATAATATGCCTGTGAATTGAATAAAGATGTGGAATCAAAACAATTAACTTCTGCATCGTCCTTGGATTGCAAAGCCTTACTCATGTGCCCAACTGCCAAAATATTATAAACATATATATATATGTAACGAAAGCACAAATTTTGGAAGCACTGCATTGGAAGTTAGTTCCACGTACTTTTTCTGAAGAATTTGCAGAATGAAGTAAGCACTATATTCGAATATTCGATGATATCTAACTTTAAGAACGATGACCTTTAAGAATGAATGAACTTGATACAATGGGAAAAGTATCTGTTGCATAGATGGAAAAGTATCTATGCAACATGTACTTTTCCCATTGGAGTTCTAGGCAGCAGGTACACGAATGTTGTCCGGCTAAAAATGTTGTGATTTGGAGCTTGGCGGTGCTGTAATAGATGAGCAGCAAAGAAACTTGGCAAACATGTCCGGATTCAAGATAATTTTATTATTGAGGAAACCAAGTCGGGATTCGCAATATTTGGTTCACATACAGACAAGTGTCTTATGCGCTCTCCATTTTTGTTACATCAGCACAGATTCCTCGAACAAAGAAGGTAGCCGCAAATCGTCTGGCCAGGAGAAAAGCTTAAGGGAAAGCGTCTTAACAGAATAGAAGCATAAGCCAGAAGAGAGTGAGTGTCGCAGTAGTAATGCAGAGGAAGAAGGGGGGAGGCAAAAGTTTCAGTTTTGAGTTTTGGTTTACAATTTGGTGATTGGTCAAGAGGCATCTGTATTAGGGGTTATGTAAGATCGCATGATTAATTTGAATGACACAGTTTAGACTAACAGCGCTATTTTTAGGACAGATAGATGAAGTTCCCAAATGAAATAGAAGATAAAAGAGGTTATAGTGAATTAAATTTAGAAGTTTGCTTTCATATTTTTTATCTTACATATATATATGTGTAATAAAATGACTTAAAGTAAGCTGCAACAGATTGATGATGGTTCTCTGCATTATATCCTGGAGAGACTTTACTGTGTACTTAATAGAAAGATTATACTTGAAGGAACAACTTCTAGACAGATGGGGGCCAAATTGAATATAACTTTTAATGGTGGATACAAACTAATTATCAAAAACATATTTTTCATCATAAATACTTATATATATATATATGAGATAATAGCAAGGAAATTATGGAGCAGTGTTAATGCATATGTAGATCCGTAATGAAGAGGAAGAATTCTGATTGCGTAGTATGCTAATAATGTTGAGTTCCATTTTTATTAATTCCATTTAATTTTCCATTAATTCCATTTTTATTTGCAATTGACTTTTGTGGCCACAGTTCACTTGACACTCTAACTGTGCCTATTCAAGAACAGTTATATTTTTTTATATTATTGCTATAGAAAGCAGCATAGCAAAATTATGCCCAAGCAGAGCAGAGAGAGATGCTGAAGTGCGTAGTTATGCAAGATGAAAGCACACAAAGAAAAAGGTTTTGGTTTGAGTTTAAAGTTTTCAGTTCTCAATTATTACGTCACCAGCGCAGCGCAGGCCATGCAAAATCGAATTATCTAAAAATGACGCAATACAGAAAAGTTATTACAATTTTTAGAGCAGAGAGGGAGAAATGAAGGGTTACTGTTAGTTTAAATTGTAATTTTGATTTACATATTTTTTATCTTACACACACACACACACACACACACATATATATATATAATATGTGTGCATATATAGTTGAAAAGCAGATTTAATAACCTTTTGAGAATATCTTTAACAAATCTTTATCTTGCAAAAAACCTAAAGAAGATAAAACAGCTTATTCAAAAGGTAAAACTTGGAGAACATTTATGCTGAAACAAAGCAAACTGATGAAGTTTTAAAAAAAATTCATTCCCTAAAAGATGAATCACCTATATAACTCCAAGCTCATAGATATACAGGGTGATTATAATTAAAGTTTAAGTTTCAAAACGCTATAAAAAAAGAACCACTGATGAAAATGATGTGAAATTTGAAAGGAATGTTATTGAAGAAGGCGGAAAGCGTATGGCAGAAGAAAAAATTTAGTTTCAAAAGTAGCAACAGGTGGCGCTGTAAGCGGGAGAATCACGACGAGAAACGAGAAATGATTCGTAAAACAACGGTTAAGGTGGAAGTTACACATTAAAACGCATTGACAAATTAGAATTGTTGAATAATTTTATTTGCATGACTGTACATATCACATCGAAAGGAACAAATCGGTTTCAAGACTTTTGCGGCGACATACCGCATAAGAACCATTCATCAGAGCAGTTCAGAACTGTCGCGAGACTGGCGCAAAACATGTTCAATATAGTGTCCACCGTTGTGTGCAACAAGTTGAAAGCGACAAACAGCATGTTCCACAACGGATCGCAGTGTCTCCGGGGTGATGTTCAGAATGTGTTGCGAAATGCGTGCCTTAATTCCGCTAAATTTGCAGTTGGAGCACGGAACACAACATCCTTCAGATATCCCCTCAGCCAGAAATCACACGGAGTAAGATCAGGCGATCGGGACGGCCAGGCTGTAGGGAAATGACGGCTGATAATTCGAGCATTTCCGAAATGGCGCCTCAGCAGCTGCTTCACGGGATGTGCAATGTGCGGAGGAGAGCCATCTTGCATAAAAATGATTTCATCGACACATCTACGCTGTTGCAGAGCTGGAATCACGTGGTTGCGCAAAATCGATGCATACCTCTGACCAGTGACGGTTGCGATAACAGGACCGGAAGCACCCGTCTGCTCGAAAAAATATGGTTGTAGGATGAATGATGCCGTAAAGCCACACCATACCGTGACCTTTTCAGGATGAAGTGGTATGGGGTGCGTTGCCAGTGGATTTTCTGTTGCCCATATTCGACAATTCTGGGTATTCACGTATCCTATCAGATGGAATTGGGCTTCATCTGTCCACACAATTTTCCACGGCCATTCATTATCCACTTCCATGCGAGCCAGGAATTCTAACGCAAAAGTCTCCCTAGCTGTCAAGTCAGACGGAAGCATCTCCTGCACATGGCCAATTTTGTACGGATAGCATTGCAGGATGTTCGTACAATTTTCAGCACCGCGCTCGTAGGCCTGTCCAATGTTGAGGCAATTTCTCGTGCACTGCACGGTTGCACACCACCGGCCGACCCCTCTTGTAATGCTGTGGCCACTTCTTCAACTACCGTCGAATGCACTCGTTTTCTCCCTCTACCAGATTGCACATCAAACGAACCTGTCGTTTCGAATTTTTGCATCATTTTTTCTTTAGACCTACGGCACTCATTGGACCAACGCCTTCTTTATATCCCTTCAGTGTCCTGAATTTTTACAGAGCTACTCTTGCACAATCATCATTCTTGTAATACAGCTTTACCAGCAGACGCGATCCTGCAGTGAAACACCCATAGCGAACGTCTGAGACGCGAAATGAGGAACAGCCTGGTACCTGGCGGCTTTATAACACTGAAATTTAACTAAAATTTTAATTTACGTCTTCTTCCGCTTGCAGTGCCATCTGTTGCTAACTTTTGAAACTAAATTTTTTCTTCTGCCATACGCTTTCCGCCTTCTTCAATAACATTCCTTTCAAATTTGACGTCATTTCCATGAGTGGTTCTTTTTTTATAGCGTTTTGAAACTTAAACTTTAATTATAATCACCCTGTATATTTACTGCATGCTTTTTGCCTAAGTAACCATTTCTATCCTAGCATTGGTCTTGAACAATGCTTTGTCTGACAGGTTAGTTGAAGAGCTTGAATCGAATTTGAGAACTCATTGACATGCTTTGATTAAATGGTCACATATATAGTGTCCTGCTTATTGTGTGTTCTAATTTTCCAAGAATTGGGTGTTATACCTATTTCGCATAGCCTTTGTTTAGAACATAGAAAGGTAGGGTTAAGATAAAAAGAACAGTTGCATAAAATTGTTTTTTTGTAGTCTCACAAAATGGATCCCAACATCTTAACATAGATGATTTTAAGGGTTATTATTTTTTTTTCCATTCAAATTTGCAGAAACTGTGAAAAGAATGTATGAAAAGTGTCAAAACAAATTGTCATCCAACATATCCATAAAGTTTGTTACGTTCACATAGTTGCTAACTCTTCTAACTTATTGTCACGTCTCGCAGTCACCCTGTAGATTACGAAATCACTCGGCTTTTAATTTTTAGTCTTTACTAATGAAATTGAGATTTATTGAATTAATGAAACTTAAATTGTTCAAATTTCATTCTCTCACTCTGTGATTTTCAGCATTATTTTCTTATTAAGTTGTATGTAATTTGTATTGTTTTAATGTATTGAAGACATTTGTAGAATTTCTTATGAAGATTCATTTAGAGTTTAATCAGCTAATACTTGTGTTTAATTTCAGTTTGCATCAGTATAGGTTATGTAATAGTAGGTATATTAATTATAAATTTTGTTTTCATCATGCTTCAAAGTACTTTAATTAATTAAAGTTTTCCTATTCCCTGTTCAGGATTTCTCAGTTTAAAAGTGTAAGACAATTGCTAAAATGAAATTAAACGTTGAGCATGAAATTTAGAGCATCTAATCAAATACTGATATATTTTAGATTGGAATCATATTATAAATCTCGAGTAACCCTAATCCTGCATTATAAAATGAATTTAAGTAAGTTTGGAGTTGTTTACAAATGACGGTTCAACAAGAAAGTCACCTGAAAATCCCTGGTTTTAGGTGCAAGAACATCCCAGTTTTTCATATCCTAAGATGGTAGCTATGCATTCGATTTTTCACTTACTTTATAAGTTCACTATAGCCACAAAAAAGCTTTAAGTGTATAGGAAATTAGATAGAACCAAAATATTTGTGTGTTGTCAGGTGTACTATGCTGGGGTTTGACTGTGTTTGCAAATTGCTTACTGACATAATATGAGAGCATAGATTAAACATGTGACATTATTTAATTACTAAAAATTTGTTCTCATTGTAGGGTATTTCAACTGTGTCTCGTGCTTTAATACATGTGAATAATAAAAACCAATATGAATTGCAAATAGAAGGCAATGGTTTAGGAGAAGTTATGGCCACTAGAGGTAATAAATAAAAAGGACCTTTATTCCAGTTTCGAGCAATGCATGATATGTTAATCTTTTCTTATTATTTATGTATTTTATTATTGATCTATTATATATGCTGTAACTATTAGTGATTATTAGATATTATTAACGTATCTATTATATATGCTGGGTGAGTGTAAGCCTATATATACTGTATGCAGTATATATAGGCTTACACTCACCCGGGGAAAAAGAATCTGGGGAAAATAAAAATGGTCAGTGAAACCCGGGGAAAATGAAAATGGTCAGTAAAAATACAATGTTAGGCGAAATCTGAAACATTTTCTGGAATCAAAATCACAATAACAACCTTGTATTTAGCATACATATATTAAAACACTCAATCGATTTCAAGAGCAGCTAAAGGTCCCTCCTCATCAGGAGAACAAAATTACTAGAAAGGGGGAAAAAAGAAGAAAAAGCATCGGCAAAGGAGTCTCAGAAAACCTGTGGTCGTTATCAGCACTGCATGTGGTCGTAGCCGGATTTTGAATCAGAGTTACACTGGCCACCTACTTTTACTGAGCCAGGCTATCTGATCAAACATATAACACATAGACTAAAACACAAAAAAAAAACAGCGAAGTAAAAAAATAGGGAGCGAGGGGCAACTGCACCTTCACGCACCAAGTCTGAACCTCGAATAAAAGGAAATCAACCTCTGTAATGGCTTTTTATACCCTCTGGTAGTACCATGTGCGAGGAGGCAATGCCATCTATTGGCAAAAATAATAACCAAAAATTATGTAATAGAATTTTAAAGGCATTAGGAAGGACTGGATTGGACTTAAAATCATTCACTAAACATGCTAAATCCTTATGAATATGAAAAGCTTCAAGAAAATCCAATTCACCAACGGAAGAAGCCTTTTGGATAATTTTTGCAGATCCAAGTCATTATGATTAAATTTCCAATTATGATACAGTATTAAAAACTTGTTAATTTCACCTTTTTGGACATAAGATTCATTCATGTTCCTTGATACGAAACTTTAATGCTCTTTTTGTTTGGCCAATATATCTCAAGCCACACTGGCACAATACACTATAAATTCCCCAAGAATTAAAGTCAGAAACAAAATCTTTTAGAATCGAACCATGAATTTTATTGATAGGGGAGAAACTGACTTGAAAATTGAATTTCTGGAGAATCCATGCAACTTTATAACTAACAGAAGGATAAAATGGAAGCACGACAAGGTCATTAATATTATTTTTAACGGTGGAATGTCCTCTTTGATGGAAATCAGAACAATTTTTAATGGCTTTATCAATGATCATGGGAGAAAATCCTCAATCAATAGCTTTAGCTACCCTCGAAATCGATTGAGTGTTTTAATACATGTACGCTAAATACAAGGTTGTTATTGCGATTTTGATTGTCACATTGGTGTGTTTCTCTTCAATTCTGTTTTCTGGAATGTCAGAGAAGTTAATAAAGACAGTTAACTCCTCTGAAAGAGTAAAAAGCTTTTTTAAATAACAGTCTATTTAACAAACATTGCCTGTCTGAAAGCAGTTGTAAAATTACTGTAATCTGTTTTGCTTGCTTAAAATATTTTCACTCAGCTCATATCTGAAACAGTTTTATAACCCATAGTTCTTCTGTGTACACACTAATGAACTCTTGCTAATGAGCTTCTCTTTAAAAATGTAACTATTCTGTCACACTCTCTTTAGACATGTAATTGTCTTTCAAAATTAAATAATGAAATATAGAATTCACTGACCTGTGTAACTATGTGTTATTATAAGTAACAAACACTTTTTTCAATCTAGTTATGGTTACTTTATTAAATTTAAAGTATCATCTAACCAGAGGAACTGTAAAAGACTGTAAGGCAAATTTTCTGACTTCCTAACTTGAAATATGAAACTAGAGTAAACTAAAAACAAAATATCTATTAACATGCTAATTTGATGCTCATACAAACTGAACTTCTGCTTTCTTGCAGTTAAAAATAAGGAGCTTCTTGGAGATTTAAAAGAAAACCAAATGTGATCACAATATTTACCTGATTAATTATTCACAAAGAATCAAAATAAGCAAGTCTTTGCTGTGTAACACCTATCGAGACTTAAACTAAATTCAGGTAGCTCAAACACAAATTATCAGGTATTATTTCTATTCATTGAGTGAGTTTTCACCTCAATTATAACTAAACTCTTCAAGCAAGCACACACAAATGTTATTCTACATCATCATGTGTAAGAGCTAAGAATATTACAACACAGATTTACCAATCACCTAGATCTGTCTGTAAACACAAGTTCTCCTTTAACTTGTTTGCAATTACAACCTCTAATTTTTTCTAACTGAAGTTAGAGTGAATCAAAATTCAGAACTTGCCAATGAAGTCTGTTTTGAGATTTTCAATCTGGCATGACGATTGGTTAATTGCCAAGTGACAAATTAAACAGCATGGTACCCACAGTCAATACAAACTTCCACATATGGTTCCTGTAACTTTATATTAAAATTGCTTACCATTCAACCACATAAACTTTGGAATGAGGGAATAAGGAAGATGTACATTGAATAAACTTTATTAGTGAAAGTCAAACATAATGCCACAGGAAAAAAGCTAGTGCAGCCTTAGAAATGCAGTGCAGAGTAAGCACCTAAGATGCCAGTCCTTAAAATGATGCCAACCTTAAAACTAATTTGCATTTCGGTGAAAGTTGATTAGAAATTAAAGTACAGAACAATTAAAATTACATGATAACTGGTTTATTAAAAGTAAACTTTACACAGTGTCGATTCAGTTTTACTTTGAAGTTATGTTTTCTATGACTTCATATGTTCTTTATGAGTGATGTTCTACTACTATTATTTTTTTTTTCAAATTATTTCCCCCCCATGTTATTAAAAAATGCTTGCTTTTCTGAATGATTTAAATATATTTTTTTATATATTTAGCCAAAATTTTCTTATATTTTTTTCACTTGCTTCCCAATATAGATTATCATTTTGTAATTGATAAATTAACATTTTTAGGTACCATATTTTCCACCCATAAGATGCCTTTATTTATTTATTTATTTATTTATTTCAAACCGTGTCCTGAAGCAAACCTGCACCCTGTGGGGTTTAACTTTGTTCTCTATGACTCATGCTGATTTGTCAGGAAAAATACTGTTAAATATATTTTCCCACATTAGGCATAGAAAATGGTTATTTTTATCAGAAATGTCAAATAACAACACTGTTTTTAGCCAGTAGAAGGTAATAAAGTTGTAATATTTCTTTGATAAATACTTCCTAAAAAATACCAAATAAATCATATGCATATATGTATACTACGTAGCATAATGTAGTTTAGTTTCATCTCATATATTAGACAGTTGGCTACAATGCTAAAAATATCTTAGACAATATCTTACGTAGCACTTATTTAGGAGCAATGCAGAACTGCTTGCATTTTTAAATGAAATTAGGCTTAACGGGGCAAATTACCGGATCCCATGCGATATGTATACTTTAAGAGTGCTTTTGTTTGGGGGAGGGGGCTTCTTTTTTCTTTCACCTGTCCTGAACAGGTTAATAGAGAGATAATCCTCAAGTATTTGAATTTATGAAATGTAGACTTAATTACATTCTTAAATTTAGTTTCAGAACAAATATATCATTCAGACATTGTAAAAATTTAAATTTTTAGACTATATAAATTTCATTTAGTAAAGCTCAGTGAGAAGTCAGGTTACGTTTAAAAGAAAACTGAGGTTTTCGCTGACGTACTCAGGCTGAAAGAGATGGAACATAATCCAATATTAGCCAATAATCCAATATATATCCAATATTAGCAAAAGTGATTAAATCTATTTAACTTGCTTTCATGAACCATTGCTTAAAGTTCATTTATTTATGTGGGTGACTATGACAGAATGTAGAACATTCTTGAAATCTGATATCTTAGGTCAGTGTTTCTCTCCCTCTCTCTTCCCCCCCCCGCACTCGTTTTAGCACTGCTAGATGATCACCCTCCCCTCTTTTTCTCAAAACTTCAAAAATACATACAAATTTAAATTTAGATTATTTTTAATGCATTTTATAAATTTAACAAGTATAGAAAATGTTGATGATTGCCAAAATGTAAATAAAAATAGGTTTATATATTCATAGATTAAAACTAAATATTTAACAGATAAATAAAAGGCTAATCGCATTCTTCCCTTGGGGATTTTATTCCGCTGAATTTTCCACTGCCCTAGACACAGACTGTGAAATATTTTTATTCTCGCTATACAACTTTTACATATGCAATATTTGGGTCAGAAAATCAACCTTTGAAGACCACATTAATAAAAATGTTAGGAGTAATTTATTGAATAACTGGGCAGCTTACAAAAATTCTTTACATTCTATGAACCATTCTGTTCTTTCTAGCCATCTCTTACCTTCATCATGTATTAATATGGATTCTCCAAGTTCTAAAGGGTAAATGTAAAGTCATTGTGCAAAAATCTAGCAAAATGTCTTGCTGAATATACTGGTTAGGTTATTTTATTTGTATATGGCAAAGCATATGAAGGCTATCTACCTTGTTATTCCTACTGAACTTTCAATTGTGGCCCCCCCCCAAAAAAAAAATTGTATAAGTGCAACATTTCCTCAAACTTATCTTCTCTTTTCTAGAAAGCGAGCTAAAGATAACAATTATTTTTAAAAATGTTAGAGACCAAAATGGTAGGCGACTGTATGAAATGATGTAGCAAAATATGAATTAATTTTCAATAAATAAAAGAAATACTTTTTGTTTCATTTGAATTCTGCGAAAAGGAATTCGTATATACATACATGAGTTTCGCATTAATATTCTAAATTATTTTAAATTAGACTGGATTTGTACTCTTTATGGTTTTCAGGATTTTTTAATGATGTCACAGTTAGTCCTGAACAGTGTAATGACTGATATTGTATTGATTTTGGCCAGGATCACAATTTCAGCCTTTGAATGGTTTTGTGGGGCTTGCATTTTGTCTCCTGCTGCAGTCTGTGTGAATCCTAAATTCCGCTGCCTGGTATCTCAATAAATTATACAAATTTTGCTGCCTCTAATTTCTACTGTTCAGTGTCTCTGCTAAATTTTAAAAATTTTGTCATCGCTAATTTTTGTTGCTTAGTGTTCCTCTCGATTCTCAAATATTTGTTGCCCCTTTATATCACGACACCTGGCATCAACCTTGTGGGAGGAGGTAGCATTTTTCTATCTGACCTAAGCAATAAGTGAAGACCCAGTGTTGCCATGTATATATGTCATCTTGCTATATTTAAACTGATGATCTAAAATCTGGAGCCAGTTGCCCACGATTCCAGAATTTGCACTATATATGTTGTGTGTTTATATATATATATATATGAAAACACACACACACACACACATATATATATATATATATACAGATATGAATAAAAAAGTAAAGGTCAGGATGAAAATGAATAAATTTCTGTTCCAGAAATATGAAGGTCTAACCTTTCTCCAGGTAAAAGTTGCCAAACTTAATAAATGCAAATTAAGAAAACTTTCAAAAATGGAATTGTTAAATGAAAAAAGAAATTTTTTTTTAAATTACAGAATATGGTACATAACGAAACAAATAACAAAATGATTTTTTTATTAATCTCGTCTGTTTAATTCTTCAAACAGAACTTGTCTGTTTTGAAGAACAAGTTGTTCAACAACTTAAACAAGTTGATTTATGAATTCAGAATAGCTTTTTCGTTTCTCCGAACCATTTGAGTCTTAACCCATATTTTACGACAGGATAGTACATCTTTGATGGCTATACAAAAAGAGTAATAACATATAAACTATTTCTTTCACATTGTATTATTGCTAAAAAGCTGCTTGTTATATTAGCTATTTTCTGTTAAATTTTTATTTTTACAAATCTGTTTCGTTTTAAACATACAAAAAGGACTAATTCTGATTTTTTGAACACAAAAAAGTGTAAAATAAAAAGTATAGATTTATTTTAAATAAACTAGTGTCTCCATTAATGTGAATGACAAAAAATTTGAAAGAAAAATATATTATAGATCTTTATTTTTCTTTCTTTCTTAGAGCGTCCTATATATAGGACAATGGTAAAATTCGCTATTTTGTGATGCTAAAACATAACACTGCTTTGGAGTGAAATGGTTATGTTCATTTCATCCCCTCGCTGTAAAATGTAGTGATCAACTAGTTCTTGTCCCGCGTCCCCTTTTGTAAAGAGTTATATTCAACATCTGAAAATCATTTCACGCATTTTATCTGTATGAAAGAAATTTACTTTGTAAGATTTATCTTAATTTATTTAACAGTTAAATTTTTATTTAAAAGTTACTTTCCTGCCCTCTCTGAATTTGAGCTTACACACTTCTGACCGTATTTTCAGATTCGTGGTCAAATGCAAATGAGGAGAAGATGTATTTAACTGTGAAGTTCTACTGACTTCGTTCGTAATACTCTCTCTTTTAAGCTATTATTACGCTTGGCCGTACCTTAGGCCCTTAATAGCTTCGCCATTAGTTAGCGTTAAGGGGACAACTCTGTTGGAATCTTGATAGCTTTGGCTATATCTTTTTAGTTAAGATTAAATTTTATTTCTTAGTTTTCTGAGTTTAAGCCCGAGTGGAGGCTTTATTGTAAACTACAAGAAGGAGTCTTCTGTGAACTTTATTTGGAATAATAAAAGCTATCTAACCCTTCTTGAGTATCTGTTCTCTGTCTACCAAACTAAAGCGATTATTCACTTATCAGTTTTTAAGGTTCCTCAACTTTAGCTGTAACTTAAAAGACAAGAATCTTACTTTTATGAACTTTTATGAATATTTATTTTGTGCATCTAAAATGAGTCAAAAATTTCTAACAACTGAAGAAGCTTTGGAATATTTTATGATATTAGATGATGAAGATACTGATCCAGAAATGGTAATAATACCACCTGATTCAGATGCAGTCTCTGATAGTGAAGAAACAGACAATGACTGCACTAAGACTAGACACAGCAAGCTATTTGTGATGAAAATGCAGCAGGAACTCTAGAAACAACAGAAACTGTGAAAATTTTAGGAAATGAAGATGGTGAAATATGTGTGCCAAAACCTGATTGGAAAGATTGCATTACTAAATATTCGCCGTGCTTCAGATATATTTGCTCAAGATTCTAGTCAGTCTGTACCTGATTTTGTTTCTGGAAAATCTCCTCCAGATATCTTTGAATATATCGCTGAAGAAATGATAGGCAAAGCTGTTATTGAGAGTAACAGATACGCCTGGAACAAAAATAATCATAATTTTTCATTGACAAAACAATAGGTATACTTTGTTATAGTGGCTACCACATTTTGCCACGTGAAAAAATGTACTCGGAAAATACGCCAGACACAGGAACTATACTAGTTAGTCGTGCAATGCCATAAAGTAGAATTTTGCAATCAAGTGGTACATTCATTTCATTGACAATAGCACCATTGATTCATTCGGACCGCTATTACAAAGTATGTCCAATTTATGATTTACTGAATGATGCCTTACAACAATCTAGTATATTTTTTTAACATCTAAGCATTGATGAAAGAATGGTGAGCTATTTCAGTCAACATGGTTGTGAGATGTAGTATATGAAAGAAACCAAAGCCCTTCTAGAATATCGACGGGCTATAACAGTCAGCTGCAAACTGATCATGTGATTATCAAAAACTCTGATGGACGTCAACTTCGTCATTTAAAAAATTGCACTAGGAAACCAATAACTATTTGTAAAAAATCCAATATTGGCTTATGTTCGAGTTGTTTTTTACCATTCCATTCAAAAGAATGTACTTGAAAGAAAATAATGCCTTGTAACTTCATAGCACTATATTTGACCATCATCCTATATATAGGACAGCCTGTAAACTCCAAGAAAATAAAAGTTTCGTATGTTTTTCAATTTATTATCTTTTCTTACTTATTTATAAGACAAAATTAGAAATTTCAAACAAAAATTTTAATTTCTTCGATCATTGATAAAATATGGGTTAAAACTACTTTCCATTACTAAACCTTTATTTTAAAACAAATTTCTAATAGGTCTCAAATACTCAGATTTTTCCCTACATGCATTTGTACTCAAAGTAAACAAAACTATATAAATTATATACAAATGCTTAAAAGTAGTACAAAAACCTAAAAATAGGCAAAATACTAATTACACGAAACTAAATTAATTCAATTAGGAAAATTCTACAGCAACAATAAATGAATCAGTTTGTTATTAATACTTAAAAAATAAATTGTTCAGTTGAATTATAACCTAATGCAAGGGCTGGCTTAATTACCCAATAATTTTATCTTTTTGTGAACTTTAATGTATGCCAAAAGGGAATCAATAAAATTTACTGCTGGAGCAATCGCAATTAATTATTAAAAAAAAATTAATGGAAAAACATACCTTTCCTTAAACCTCCATTTGAAGAAAATTCGTCAAATGCTTTTAAAAGAATGGATGCTGAAAGGTTGCTAAAATTTAAATGAACTCTGTTTAAGTGTCCTAGAAAGTTCAGACTTTTAAATTGTTTTTAGTTCTTTTCTATTCGACCTCCATTGCCTTTATCAGTTTGGTTCTTTTTTTCCCTTTTTTCTGGTAAACTCCTAAACAGGGTTCAGAACTCATTAATCAACTTTAATCAACTTGGTTTAAGGCTTCAAATTATTAATCAACTTGGTTTAAGGCTTCAAAACATTTTTCCCTTGACAAGATCTGTTTGAAGCATTAAACTGAGGAGATTAATAAAAAGTTATTTTGTCATGTATCATGCTCTGTAATTAAAAAAAAAAAAAAAAAAAAAAAAAAATTCATTTTAACCTTCATTTAAAGATTCCATTTTTGAAAGTTTCCTTAATTTGCATTTATTCAGTTTGGCAACTTTTACCTGGAGAGAAAAGGTTAGATCTTCATATTTTGGGAACAGAATTATAATTATTTTCCTTCCAACCTTTATTTTTTGATTTTTATCTTTTTGCAATCTAGCAGCCAACACACAGATTCATCTCTTTTCTTTTTAAATATTAAAACTTCAGTGATGACTATTCTCAAGATATATATAGATATATAAATGTCATAATCCCTCCCTCTTTTTTTTTTTTTTTTTTTGAAGGTAAGTTAATTATGTATAATTTTTTGTTGCTATTGTTGGGGGAGGTTAGATAATGTGTATAGTTTCCTTTAATTCAAGCTGTAACATTTTATATTTTATTGCAATTTTTTAAAAAAGTATTTACTTTTTGTTTCTAAATGTATAAAAGAAAAGGAAATATTAAGAAACATAGAAATGTTAATGTGTACATAAAATGTAATTGGAATTATCATATGATTTTGGAGGGTAAATGTTGATTATAATTTCCTCTGAAACATCTGAATTTTATTATATAGGTGTCCGGGGGACTTCTACAACTTCAAATCACACAATGGAAGTAGAAAAGTACCTTGGCATTGAGGCGGCAAAGTAAGTATTATGAATTTCTGTGTTTAGCAAAGGGACAGCATTGTTTTTTAAAATGAAAGTTTCGTGTATTCATGTATCATCTTAAAAAAAGGAAAGTTTAGTGTATTCATGTATCATCTTAAAAAAAGGAAAGTTTACACTCTATATGTGGAGGCATTTTCAACAATTGAATGCTTTTCTGTCACATAACTCGGAAACCGATAGGCATAAAGCTACAAAATATGGCACATGCTATCCAGGAATGCACCTCAAAGCTATTTATTTATTTATCCATTTAAAATTTTTCAGTTTTGGAGGTTCTTCCTCCTCTGTCATCTTTTTACTTTAAGAAGAATTTAATTTCAATATCTGCACCGTTGGATCGAACAGAAAAATCATTCAGAGTAAAAATTTATTCAAATCTCTACTTTGTTTTTCAGTATAAAAAAAAAAAAAAAAAAAAAAAAAAACTACTACTAGATTTTTTTTTAACCATTGCACGTCTATTGTTTTAAAATTTCAGCATCTAAAAGTGTATTTGTCATAAAATTTCGAATTTTTCACAAGTTATAAAACAAACTCTTTGCTCTCTTTTAAAACAAGAATTATTTTAAAAATATTAGATAACTTTTTACATTCCCTCTCATATATTATATATTATGTATTATATAGTGACTTCATTTTTTCAGACCCCAGTTGCAACCATTCTTTCTACTGCTGCCACCATGGTAATGTTGACATGTGATTCTGTTGATATCGTGATGCAGAATAAAAGCATCACATAGTTTTAGGTGTAAAATTTCTCTTGATTTGAGTCATATTTCACCTTATTTTCTAATTTTTGTTTTTTTCCCCCTGCACAACGCTATTTTAATAATTGATTTTTTTTATTAGGGTGTAAACCGGTGTGCAAAATTAAGATAATTTGCAGATTATGTCAAATTTCTGAGAAACAAATGCACAGATTTTAGCGAAATTTGGCATGGTTGTACATTTATAACAGAGGGAGAGATGTAGCATTCAAAAGTCATTTTATGTACGCACAGTTATCAG